ACTCTCACAAATAAATCCCAAAACCACTGTTTCTTTACAGTATTCTTTTTCTGATCTATTTAATTCATGAAAAACCCTAGTAATACCTCTCGGACCATGAGGCGCTTAACAAACGCGTGGCTTTGGGAATTTACAGAAGCAGCAAAAGTAGATGATCTGAATGCATCATGTCATCTCCAACTGTAGATGATTTACCAGTGATGTTTACTTGAGCACATCATCAGCGAACGCGTTGCGATTACGTTCTAGCGCAATGAGCGCACCGTATTCACCGCTGACACTCGTCGACGAGTCAGAACTTATCGATCGCTATCGATTTTCGTTCGTTAAGCTGATCCGTGTGGCTCTAATCACTTGTATTGTCGTCGTACGCAATCGTAGGTGATGGTGGCGTTGTCTCTTACCCTATGTTTGTCCAGTGACACACGGCTTGGCTGTTTGCCCAGTCAGGCGAGCAGCAGCGGGTCTCCCTCCTTCATCTAGTCAACCGGAACACCGGCTGTATTCATCAACCTTTTCTATACATCAGATCCCTAGGTTACTGTTTTGTACGGGTAACATCGTCTTTAACTAATTGGATTCTGTACTTCTATCTTTTGTATATGGGTTTCTCATAGAGACATTTCTACATATTTCGTATGCCACCAAGATGTAATAGTTATTAGTACAATAATATTGTTACGCCATATTACATCAACAAGGGACCAAGTTTTCAGCCCTGATTAGCCTTTAAAGAAACACTGTGTATTTGATTCCATTCGTGGCATGGTTGAAATGATTGAATGCATATTTTCCCTATACGGTTAGTTGAGTTATGGGGGCGTATTGGTGTATGGAGCCAGTGTTATTTATTATCCCACTTGACACTGGGACAAATTTTCCGATATCGAAGTGGTAAAGAACTTGGTTAGTTCAGAGCGCGAGCGTGATTGAACTGACGACCAAGAGTGCATTGCATCCTTATCGCACCGTTGACTAATGCGGTATACGTGGCACTGTAATAAACCTCTGCTTTATTACATTATTAAGGACACCTTCAAAAGTGATATAGACAATTTTCTAAGTGAAAATAATCATTTTATCAGTCAATAGGGGGAATATTCCACGTTTTAAACGTTATAAGACTTTTTCCTTTCTTAACCCTATAATTGCTCAAATTTTCAAATACAGTTTGTCCACAGATTTGCCTCGAGAGCGTTTTGATTGATGCGGTCTAAAAGCTTTTTAACTTAGTGAAATAGTACTTTTTTCTACCTCGTTTAAGCTCTCATTTCAATTCTTCATCATCCGATTTTTTCCTACCTCGTTTCAGCTGTCTATCCAGTTATTCTGGCCTGGACTTCCTTTAATGTAATAAAAATCCGATTCTCAAGTACGGAATTGTTGGCAGATTTCCACATTCGATTCGTAAAATCTATTATAAGTATAGGCAATTGTTCTTCTCTTTTTTCTCGTTATATGATTGAAACTCAATGCGCTGCTTCATCTGTGACCTGAACGAACATTCGTCTCCTCGAAAAACTATCGTCAAATTTTAATGCAGCTCCACATGAGTGTCGCTTCTTAAGTGTTCCCAACTGGCTTTTTCAAGTTTTCATTGGCTCCTATAAAATAAAAATCTACTAGAAGACATAAAGCAACTAAAAAATAGTACGTTTGAAATTGATTGCCTTTCAGAAAGTATTGAACAGTCAGCAACATCCAGGCACACACAGGAGGAGCCGCGTTATCGCAAGCAGTCTTCTATTCTTTCTGATGGCGTTTTAATCGCTAAAACATTGTAGTTGATCTCTACCGTAACCCTCCACAATCGTGCCTTGACCCACGCCTTGTTCTTCCAAGCCGATGTAGCCATTGATTAATTGTATAGTGACCGAAATCACAATGTTTCAACTTTTTATTCACTGCTCATTCCTTTTTAATGACAGGGTAGTATGTGAAATACAACCACATGGATGTTTTCGGATAAGGCAATCGCCGTTTCGAAGTGCGCCTGATGTTTTTAGCTTTGCTCATATCTCAGCATCCATGTGGTTTATAGAGTAACGCCCTTAGTACTAACTGACACGGAGGCCTTCGCTTAGTGAAATATTCTGACCTTATTGGATACCACACCCATTTACTCCAATTTATTTCAGTACATGTCGATTTTCTTCTGGTAAGTCAGATAAGAATCTTACAGCAATGGTACAATAAATTCACGTGATGTTTTTTAAAATATATGTTCAACGCTACTCTCCGATGACGTTTCAGGATTTTCATGCCGTTCTCAGCTCGAAGGTCTTTTGTTTTACTTTTGTTCGAAACAGTTTCGTTTATAGACAAGATCGATAGCCAAGATAGCACCTGAAATTTGAGATACACTTATAGTGGCATAACTTTCAATTTGTCTTTGTGCTACAGAATCGATCAAACTCGAATACATTATGCTTTGCGTAAGTTTTGTTACACTTGGATGCTTGGATGGCTCATCTCACAAGTTGTGAAGGCCCCAGCATAGTCTCCACCGCCTCGGAGCTTTACTGTTTTAGTCATCGGGGTTCTCTGGAGTCTGCCTCAGGTCGTCACCACCATAGGCAGCTCCCATCCTTGTGGATCAGAGGGAGATTTGTCGCCATCCGACTAGTTTTGTACCAGGGCAGCGGCGCACCCTGGTATTCGTTTACTCTTAGCTGGGTTTCCTCATGGAATCGCCGGGCCCCTTCTCAGCTTGGGAGACTCTGTCAAAGCGATGAATCCCTCCGCTGTACATCGCAGCCTGACACCCAGGAACACCTCCCAGCCACTATGAGGCGGTAAACCGTTGAGAGGAACTTTTGTTATACAATTTCTTACTTTTCTATGAAGCACATACTTTGCAAACTTATGTCAATAAATTTTGATAGAACTATATACACCTCCAATTCGCATTGGAGTTAACAATAACGATGTGAGGAACTCTGTTAATCCGAGAAAGACAAATGCGATGAAGAAAAAGGAGAGTTGTGAAGAAATTTTCGTATCAAAACACCGTGTTGTAGTTGTAGAACGTTTAAAATGAGTGTAGGCATATTTTTAACTGCAGGTGCTTATTACTGTCACCATGAAAATCTGAAGAGTAATTTGCCATTTTATCACGAATTTTCTTCGACATGCTTACTTTCTCCTTCCACAAATGCACGCCTTAAGTTTACTTAACTTTGGGATCTGATATCTGGCAATAAGAAAAAGACCAATGCGATTTCATCAAAAAGCTTCTGAGGATTATTGTTAAAGTGTATTGGAATACGTGAGTACGGTAATTCTTTTCTTATTGGCTCAAGGTCTCGTTAAGAGAAGACTGGATTGCGATCTAATGCTGAGGATCCATCACTCTGGCTGGTTAACTCAAGCTAAAGAGTTCAATGTTTTCATCTGGAACTTCAGCTAAGAATGAATCTATGTCGGAATGAGGTTTGGCCATGGCCGCTTACTTTCCATCACAGTGAAAAATGATTTCCCTCACACGAAAAGCGGAATGGATTCCTTCGCACAAACTGAAACCAATTTTAAGCTTTAGCGCTTGACAGAGATGCGTGGAGATTTTGGCGGTGCCAGCTCAGGTTACTGGGTTAATTATTATTAATCGAACTGGAAGTAATGCCAATTGGTGAATAGCTGGTACATTTAGGTAAAATATGATGAAAAAAAAAGTAAAATAGAATTGATTTAGAAGGGTAACTTAGAAGGCGAAAATAGGTTAGTACTTGCCAGAAAACCACTAAGAGCAGGCCTAATAGGCGATTTTATTCGAATAAAAACGAAACTGCATCTTTATGGACCTTCGGAGATTTTTTTTGCTTCTTTTCCCTTTCTGTATTTAATTATACCATCAATTTCCATCTACCTCTCTTTCCATCTACCTCTCTTTCTGTTGTCCTTCCACCTTCATATCGTAGCCTTGCACTTATTCTTGTCAGATTTTTGATCATATTTCGTATTGACTGCTCGTGATGGATCGTTACTCTTTATTAAGTTTTCATCTAGTGTGTTAACCATCTCATTTTCAAGCCTTCGATGCGGTTGCGATTCTCCCACATCGCACTCGTTGCGACGTTTTCCGCATTTGGTAAGTCTTCCTTAGAACTACACGCTTACGTTAACACTTGCATGGTCCATCTTCACCAGCCATAAGGTCTCCAATATCTTTGAAAGCGTTTTGGGTTTTCTGGATTTTTTTTGAAGTTTGTAGATGGGGGTGCTAAGACTTTTTTTTAAGNCTTGCATGGTCCATCTTCCCCAGCCATAAGGTCTCCAATATCTTTGAAAGCGTTTTGGGTTTTCTGGATTTTTTTTGAAGTTTGTAGATGGGGGTGCTAAGACTTTTTTTTAAGTCACCATCGTATACAGTCGCCACTCACTCGGTTCAAGGAGAATAGATTTGTCACTCTGTGAATAGTTTTCTCTTTTTTCATCACGATAGGAGTGTTTATTAGAACTGGGCCGCTCAGTAGCATAACGATTACGCTTATTACTAACTGTTGTATTCTTCAACAAAACTCACCGAATATTCGAGTCGTGAGAATACAGAAGAAATGAGCGAACATTTTAAAAATGGGTTCTCGAATTTGTCGAATAGAGGACCAAAATTTTTTATTAAAATTACAGATTTCGAAAAATGTGCAATCCGACGGCATCGATGCTTTTATTTTGGAGCGCAACGGAAAAAAAGAGAACCCCATGCATGACACCATTTCGAGAAAATAACTCGTATTCCCCTCTCGATTTACAAACAACTATTAAATTTTTTTCCTATCCTCAATAACTACACCTGTTAACCTACAAAATGAGGATGTAAAATTTAGACCTAGTCCGATTAAACACGGTATATTTAAACGTAATCTGCTCAAGATTTTTGATTCGCTTATGAATATGATTCTTCTGAGCCTTTCCCTATCATAAAAGAAACCTATTCGATCTAATGAAAAAAGGGTTAATATCTTATAAAACATGAAAACTAATTTATCACAAGATTCGTTCCTATGTTTCCAGTATATTATACGGATGCGCAAGCACTGAATGACCCCATAACGCAATATATCGAAGGAAGACTCGGTAATCGAAGGATATTCTGGTGTCCAAGCGGTTACGGTAGGTACTTACTCCATACATTTGAACGTTTTTTTCAGCCATAAGAAATCTTGTGTGGGACTAATATAAAGCTAACAATTAACATGAGAAGTCGTTTTATTATCCATTACATTACATTAAGTGTTTTCTACTCACGTCTGAGAATCGTACCATTTCTAATTGCTTAACTCCTCTTAAGGTGAACCCAGCCTAGTAATCAATAACAATAAAGTTGATCAGTTGATTTTCATCTTTTTTGTTGTTTATTCGCCACCAAAGTTCTTATAAAAAAAAATAACAGCATTGCCGGCTTAGTTGCCATAGCAGCGTTTGGGAGAGAGGTTGAAAACGGCCTCGATGTGGTCAGCTGAAGAGCATTAACAATGCTCGGTTACAGATTAAGCTAAGGCGTAATCACTGTTAACTGGTAACTTGTCAACAATTAAATTAAAGAGAAATACAACCACAATGGTGTTAATATATTTGCAAAACTCCGGACCGCAGGTGTCCGAGGTGGGGAACGAGCGCGATATTACCCTTTCCGTGGACTAGCGCGTTCGCCACCATGCCATGCGGATCCTTCATTTCGGCTGTCTCTCACCTAGTTTTTTATCGATCTATGCCATTAGCAATCACACAAAAAAATAGTGCAGACTCTAAAGAAAGCACTACTAAGCACTACTGTTAATTATCTCTCCCGCTTCTCTCGTATACGATGTGATGTTGGTTGAATACAAATCTCCATTCTACTGAAATAAACCACCTGTACCACTATTACCCCCGCTGATCGTCGATTGACTCGAGCGGCCGCCACTAAATCTTTCATTTTTCCTTGTCGCGTGCAAGAGTATCCCAGTGGGTTCTGATCGCTCTAGGGACTCGTCGAGCATCATATCTTTCTTCAAGGCTCTTTGTGAAGACCTCTGACCACCGGGTCAGTGGTCATCCGGCAGCACGCTTGACATCCTGAGGAATCCAGTCATTAACGGCTCTTGTCCATCGCTTGTCATTCATACACATTACGTGTCTGGTCCACTCTATCTTCGACTGTTTGGCGTACAGAACGGCATATTTGACTTTTGATCGTTGACGCAGCTCGGAGCTCCGGATCCCATGCCTTACTTGTGTGAAATGGGATACTCCTAGCATTGTCCTTTCGACTGCGCGTTCGATAACGCACGCTGAGTGACCTTTCTTCCTGCTTACGTAGCGACCAGGCTTCTGACGCATACGTTAAGGCAGGAAGTACCGTTGAGTCGAATAAAGGTGGACACGTAGTCGGGTGTTCTTTGTTCTCTTCACTACATCCTCTATGCTCTTAAAAGCTCCTCAAGCCACTCGTTTCCTTCTGCTCAGCTCTGGAGCTAGGCTGTGCATAATATTGACTCCCGACTTGGATATAATTGGAGCATTCGGAGATATTCAATCCGCTCAGCGTGAATGGGGCATGAGAAACCAATCCGTTCTTCATGAACATCGTTTTTGTGAGATTTAGTTCAAGACCAGTCTTACAGGCTTTATCAATGTCGTCAAGCATACGTTGCGCTTGACTAATGTTTGGTGTTATAAGGACGATGCAATTAGCAAAGCGGAGGTGGTGTAACTGCCCACCATCGATTTTCACTCCCATATTATCCCATTCCAATGTTCGCATGACGTTCTAGACAGCCGCGGTAAATAATTTTTGCGAGATGGTATCGTCTTTCCTAGCTCCTCTTTTGACGTCAACGTTAATATCGTTGCAGAATGGTGATATCTTGGTTGTGAAATTTTTGTACAGCTTACGAAGAATCTTTATGTACTCCTTGACTACCAAGGGCTTCCATGACTGCTTCTATCTCAATTGAATCAAAGGCCTTCTGTAAATCGATGAAAGTGGCACGGAGTGATTTTTTGTACTCTCGTAATACTTCAATGAGCCTTGTTATCGTGTGGATGTGGTCCATCGTACTAAGTTATTTTTGAAACTATGCTTGTTCACATGGCTGTCCTTCGTCCAGTGTTCTGTCAATCATGTTTAGGATCACTCGACAGACAGCAAGCAGGTTGGGCGATAGTTGCCGATATCGTGTAGGTCACCCTTCTCGAACAATAACACGATCTTACTGGTCTTCCACTGAGTAGGGACCTTGCATTCAGACAGGTAACGTCTGAAGAGCCGAGCCAGTGTGTTTACGAGGACTGGTGGAAGGTTCTTCAGGTGTTCTGGTCTTATCCTGTCCGGAACTGGAGCTGTTTGATTTTTCACCGACGAAATGGCATGTCGGATTTCGGAAGAGAGAACCGGTGGTGCAACGTATCCATCATCCTTTACTTCATATGACGGAAGGTGGGCGTGGCTATCGAAGAGATCTGAGTAGTATTCGTGAATGACTTTCTCCGTTGCCTTTCTGGGCGCTGTAACTGTTCCGTCTGGGCGCCGGAGTGCAATCATTTTGGGCGTGTAATTGGCGAAGTTTCGGTGGGCTTTACGAATGCTTTTCCCAGCCTCTGCAGCTTCGGCCATTACTGCTGCTCTTCTCTTTCCAAGATCTTCTTTTATCGCCTCTCTGCATTGTTTTGCAAGTTCGGACGTTAGTTCGCGGTTGCCTGCAGCTCGTGCGATTCCACACTGGCGAATCAGCTCGAGTGTTTCTGGAGACAAACGTCTCTTGGTGACTTTCGAACCCTCAGTTTTCAATGCGATAACGTGAAGATGTTGAATGAGCCGATCGTATTCTTCTTCGATGTTATCGGCAACGGCATCTTCCCAACAGCCGACTAATGGATTGATTAAATCGCAGTTTACGGTGGTTCTAGGGCTTCGGTTTTCGAATTTAGTGGATTTTTCCCCTTTCCGCGAGAAATAGAATCTTGCACGATGGAGGCCTTGGTCTGATCTCGTGTAGAATTTTGAGACAACAACGACATCGGTTAGGTAAAACCTTCTATTCACTATGATGTGGTCTACTTCGTTATGGTACTCTTCATTGGGAGATTCTCATGTCCAGCGTTGATAGTGGGGCTTCTGGAATTGCGAATTACCACGGATGGTCTTGGTCGTCATGATAAACTTAGAGAGCAGCTCAAGCTGTTTGTTTCATTCTAATCCGTAGGTCCTAATGTGACGTTCTTCTTAGTCCAGTCTTAGTCTTAAAATCTTCAGCGATGGCCTTGAAGAATGTATGGTCTTCTTTATAGAACTTCTCCAAGTCCGTATAGAACACTTCGACTTCTTCTTCGTCATAGTTAAGTGTGGGCGCGTAAACGACAAAGATTGTCAAAGCCGGCATTGATCCACATCCTCATCCTTTTAATCGTAAACGTCTGACTCGGGTTGTATGCTGTTCGAATGAATCGATGTCCGTGGATAAAATCATGTTGACGAGAACGCTGACGCTGCCGACTCCTCTGCTGTCGCATGTTCCGAGGAACAGTTCTTCTCCGGTGTCATAGGCACCGTTAAATAGGTGGCGTCGTCTCGTATAGGCCAGGTCGATGACGTCGTACCTTACACACCGAAACCGTTTTTCGAAGGACCCGGATGGTGTGGATAACGTCCTTCTTACTTACATGAGCGACTCTTCTATCGAGGACTCGGATGCAAGTGCATTGTAGGTACAGACTGTCACCATAGTTCTTTTCAATCCAGGCAGCTTCCATTGGCTCTGAAATTTTGGCAGCCTCTCTGTACTCGTCCTACCCAGCGCTGCGAAATTGGGCGCTCTTTCGGGGTCAGAGGAATAAAGCCCGTTTCTTTTACTGTGTTTAGCATTTTTGATACCGACGTATAGCTTGCTGGACTCTGAACCTGGAGACTGAGTATACTCACGGGTAGCTTTCCAGGCTCTCCCAGAGTGGACATGGAGCTTATTTGTTGGAGGTGACTCCTAACCGCCTCCCATATGCTTCCCAGGCACTTGATTGCATGCTTTTGGCCGAATTGACTGGTAGAATACGATCCGCATAAGCAAGAACGCACCCACACACGCATGCATGAATACGCCTAGCAAATACAGAAAGTATGTGCTAAATCGGCGCAGGAGAAACGGAGTCCATCCACCGGATCCACTTGCGTCTCAGGGAAGTAAAGGTCGCTTTTGGTAAGCGATTAGCCCCTTATCCGCCACCTAGGGACGTGCCACGTTGCCTCGCGACTAATCGACTCGAGATCCCTCATATGAGGGAGAACTGTGGATCCGTGATCCGCGGTGATTAAAAACGTTTTAAAATATATATGTGTGGCTCACTTTGAAGTAAAAACTATTTGTTCTTTATTTCTACCTCTCAGAATCTCTCAAATACGTCCAGAACATATCTCCATACTTCGTAGTTTTTGAGAAAATCTGTCCACAGTACTCCATTATACACGAAAAATGTGAAGTTTGCTTAGTGCGGATTTGTTCTCGAGGTATGGTAAATAACCCTCTACTGATAAGAAGCTCTCGTGTTCGCTATCGTAGGCATTATATCAGCTCATGCGATTTTTTCCCATTACTACGGTACCATTATTGTTATTTATTGTTTCTTTCACATGATCCGTCGTCACATCTACTGTGCGGATCCCAGCATTTCTCGCATTCGATTCGTTTCCTCGCATCAACCATCCATAAGGATCTTCCAACTTTTTCGTGTGGCTTATGCTGCTACTTGAGGATTTTCTTTCCATCATTAATGCCGTTGAGTGCTGATTGCTAATCCAGTCGATTCTCTCGATTCTCTCAGGAGTTCTGAGATAGACAGACTGAAGCACTCCCACTTGGATTACAGGAATGGACTTTTCTCAAAGAAGTTCAGTACCAATTTTCCCACTCCGGAGGGATGAGATGCTTGATGAGCGCAGATCCGGATCGAACCAGCACCGTGGTCATGACGATCGGCATTTCATGTTGGCGTTTAATTAATTTATTATGGGTCAAAAGTATTATTAAAACTGATTAACTAAAATTAACATGACTATTAACGATTACAATGTGCTAATTTTTATTGACTGCCTATCCTTTTTTTCCCATGGCAAGGTACGGTACCATCCTCGGTGACGAGCAATCGCTGATAGCACCAATAAAGTAATAACACTACTGAGAGAAAGGCATAGCAAAGGCCCCATTTGGTGTGGTGTCACACGTGGGTCTGCGGTAAGGGTAATCGTCGGCTCGAAGCTCACCTGAGGTTCCGATTTTCGCTCATGTCTCAACATTCTTGTGGTTATTAACGGTCAGTTAATTAAAGCGCAAATAACCGTACGCATTTATTTCAATTCATACTTTTTCTGATTGATTGTTTTGCCACAGGGTTCATTTACTACAGTTCTTCCATCCAACTGATAGCTTATCTACACGGAAGTTGTGCTGGACGTGGTCGTTGAAAAACTAATCTTTAAGCTTAATAATTTGCAAAAAAACCCTTTATGGAAGAATTTTCCGATGGATCCCACGTGTGGAGAAAAATTAGGCATAGTCCCAAGTGACTGCCACATAAAATCAGGCATAACCACGTATGTATTAGAATCCAATCACAGTAGATCGCTTTAATAGGCAAGATTTTTGTAGCTGTATGCCTAAGTCATTTGTAAATGTGAAATAATAAAGGGGTAGAAGCCACTAGAGATCAAGCCATCGATGCGCGTTTCCGATCAACAACCGATTCGTTCTGTTTTTGGTGTGTTTATGATCGCACTACTTATCAATAGTTATATGTTTACGAATACATATGAAACGTAGCATAGATTCATCCAGGATACCTGGCGTATTGTCCGCAACCGACCGATTGGGACAATTATAACTGGTGTTGTACATGGCCATATATGGGATCATGGAAACCGTCGTGTTGTCCGTTTGCCATACCGACTGGAGCCATGGTGGCAATTATTATTGCTTCCATAGTACTACTTGCAGGTATACTACATCCACTTATAGCTTGATTAAATGGACCCTATCAAGCAAACAGAAATCATGCTGTAAAAACCAGTTGTTGATGATTCGAACATGCACTTTCATAAGGCCGGAATCATTAAAATCCAATTGAAATGCGACGTTTACAAGAAAAGTTGCCAATTTTTTCCACCACTTGAAAAATACTCATTTGTAGAGTTACTGATTGGTACATTGCAGAGACCCTAAACTTGTGAACCTCAAGAACACCACGATGAATTCGAGCTTTAGATAGATATGATTTGGGAACTTCTTTGAGCATTTTTTACACAATCCGTTCTCACAGCTACTCTGTGGATCGCAGCACTTTGCAACCATCGTCTACGAAGTTATTAGAATTGCTTTGCATGTGGGTTCGACTGTTGCGTGAGAATTTTTCCGTCTTCATTGCAAATGTCACTGAACGCTGGTCAAGTTTATTTTTCTCACAATCCATCGATAGCCGTGCTAGGGCGTTCCGCTATGGATCATAACAAGTGAGCTGATTCTAGACAAGTGTGGTACTAAATCCGATGTCAGGAAATTGGACGCTTAGTGAGCCCAGTGCGGAGTCGACCCAGTGCCTTGCTCGTAATGAACAGAGTCGTTACCATCGTGCTACCCGCTCCCTTATTGACTGCACTTCCGTTAGTAATTAAGTCAGTGTTCTCAATTTTTTATTTCCGAAGGCTTGAAAAAATGCAATGATGAAGTCTATGGTGAATCCATGTTTGTATCATGTCTATTCTCGTTAGTCATTGAATATCTCAAGCAGACACATGTATGTCCTCCTTTCACTTGTTCTTGTTGTTCGTCAAATCTCCAAATTGAGATTCACCTGCTTCATGAATGTGAAGAAAATCACATTTTTACCAACCGACCGTTTATTTTTGCACTTCTGGAGGGCTAAATAACTAGACGTAGACAGAAAGGGTGCATCCAAAGCAATGTCAAACATCTATCCTTTCATGACCCTGCAAGGAGATAAATCCTTTGCTGTGTACACTAATCCGATGCCCAGCAGCTATACTTACCACCACAACCTGTATCACCTGTCGTCCTGTTGATCGTCGATTGATTCGAGCCGTCGCCAGTAAATCTTCCATTTCTCCTTGTTGCGTGGAAGAGTATCAAAGGGGGTTGTGTTTCCTTTAAGTACTCGTTGACCACTACACTTCCCGCCAGGGTCTTCCGTTAAGAACTCTAGCCGGATTCTTCGGGTTAGTGGTCTTACTGCAGTATGTCTAACATCGCAAGGAGTTCAGTAGGCTCTTATCAATTGGTTGTTGTTCATACGAATTACGTGTCCGGTCCACCTTATCTTCGACAGTTTGGCGAGTAGAACGGCGCCTTTAAGTTCTGATCATTGAGGAATATCGGACGTTCGGATTCCTTCCCTCTTTCACGTGATACGGGTTACTCCTGGTATTGTCCTTTCGATTACGTATTCTATAGCGCTGAGTGGCTGCTCATCCCGCTTACGTGGCAACCAGGTTACTGAAAGGTACCCCAAGGCAGAAAGGATTGTGAAGTCAAAAAGGTGTGGCATGGAGTCGGATGTTCTTTGTTCTCCTCAATACATCCTCGGTGCTCTTGAAAGCGTTGCTTAACTCCTCTTTTGACGTCGATGTTAATTTCACCGTAGAGTGTTAAAATCTTAGTTGTGAAGTTTTTATACAGCTCACGAACAATTTTAAACACTGAGTGGTAACTCCCTGACTGTCCAAGGCTGCCATAGCTGCCTCTATCTCAACTGAGTCAAAAACCTTGTTTAGGTCGACGAAAATGAGGCAGGGCGGTCTTTTGTACTCTCGTTCGCAATAGTTAAATGAGTCTTGTCGTGTGGATGTGGTTCATAGTATTGAGTCCTTTTTGAAACCCAGCTTGTCCACATCGCTCTCCTTCGTTCAGTGTTCTATCAGTTCTGTTTGGGATGACTCGAGTGAAAAGTTTGTAGACGCCAGACAGCAAACGGATTTGGCAATTGCCGATATCGTGGAGGTCATTCTTCTTGAACAATAGCATAATCTTGCTGCTCTTCCATTGAGTAGGGACCTTGCATTCAAACAGGTAATGTATGAACAGACGAACCAGTGTGTTTACGAGAACTGGTGCACTACCATATCGCATTTCGAAAGAAAGAACCGCTGGAACGACATATCCATCCTCTTTTATTTCATGTGAGAGCAGAAGGACACGGCAATTGAAGAGATCTGAGTAGCAGTCGTGAATGATTTTCTCCATTGCCTTCCTGGACGCTGTAACTGTTCCGTCTGGGCGGTCGAAGTGCCATCATCTTGGTATTGTAGTTGGCGAAACTTCGATGGGCTTTGAGAATGCTTTTCCCAGCTTCTGCAGCTTCAACTATTACTGCTGCTCTTCTCTCTTTAAGATCTCCCTTTATCGCCTGTCTGCATTGTTTTCCAAGTTCGCACGTTAGCTGGCGGTTGCCTGCCGCTCGTGAGATTCCACGCTGGCGTATCAGGTCTTATGTTTCTGGAGAGAGACGTCTCTTGGTGACTTTCGAACTCACAGCTTTCACAGTGTTAACGTGATGTTAAATGAACCGATTATTTTCCTCGTCAATGTTATCGAGAGCGGCATCTTTCTAATAGCAGACTGGTGAACTGAGTAGATCCAAGTCTATGGTGGTTTCAGAAGTCCGTTTTTTTTTTAAAATTTAGCGGCTAGTTCTCCTATCCGCGAGGATTGAAATCTTGCATGAAGGAGGCGACAGTCTGATCTCGTGTAGAATTTTGGGACAAGAGCGACATCCATTAGACAAAACTTTCGATTTGTTATGATGTGGTCTATTTCATTATGTAACTCTCCATTGGAACCCTCCCAAGCCCAGCGTTTAGAGTGGAGCTTCTGGAATTGCGAATTACCATGAATAAATGGGCTTAGTCGTTATGATGAACTCAACAGCCGCTCACCCTAACTGTTCCATTCTAATCCGTGGGTCTCACTGTGACGTTTTTCAGACGTTCTTCTTGGTCCAATCTTAGTCTTAAAATCTCCAATGCTGACCTCGAAGAATGTACGGGCTTCCCTGTAGAACTTGTCCAAATCTACATAGAATGCTTCGACTTCTTCGTCATAGTTTGTTGTCGGTGCGTAAACGACGATGATTATCAGAGTCGGTATGGACCCACATCTTTCCAATCATAGCCGTCCGATTCGGGTTGTTAGTTGTTTGGATGGATCGATGTTCATGGCCAAACTCGTGTTGACGAGAACGCCGACGCCGCCTACTCCTCTACTATCGTATGTTCCGAGGTACGGTTCTTCTCCGGTGTCACAGACGGCGTTGAATGGATGGCATATTCTTGTCTCAGCAAGTTCGTTTACGTCCTACCTTATCCACCTTGTCTGCATAGTCAGGTCTATCGAGGACATAGATACAAATGAGCGTTCATTGTAGGTACAGGTCGTCACCTTAATCCTTAGAGAGTTGGAATCCTGGAATGGCACTGATTTTAGCAGCCTCTCCGTACTAGTCCTCCAAACGCTGCCGTATCAGGGGCTCTTTAAGGCTCAAGGGAATGAGGCCCGTTTATTTTACTGTTTAGCGTTTGATACTCATGTATAGCCTGCTGGGCTTTAAAGGTGGGCACTGGGTATACTCACAGGTAGGTTGCCATCCTCTCCCAGAGTATACGCGGCGTTTATTTGTTTGAGGCGACTTCCAACCACCTCTCATTTATTCCCCTTTCACTCGATTGCAGGCTTTTTGCCGAATTAACTGGTAGAATACAATCTGTATAAGAGAGAACACACCCACGCACGCATGTATGAATACGTCCTCATAAACACAGAAGTTATATGCTAAGTCAGCACAAGAGAAACGGAGGGTCCATGACCTGTATCGACCTGCGTCTCAGAGAAGCATAAGGTGGCTTTTTGTCCGCGATTAACCACCTATCCGCTATCTGGGGACGCAGCACGTTGCCTCGCGGCTATCCAACATGATCCCCCTCTATGTGGGAGGTCTATGGACTAACCACGATAGAGCTCTAAAACAAAGGACGGAAATCGGTACTTGTGTTTAAAATCCTGTTGTATTATATTTATGAAGCTTCAACATAACTATGACAATAGAGCAATTGATATCGGCATTTGGATGTTACTAGATGACCACCATGATTGCGATAAAAAATACCGCTGCTATTCGATGTGTGTCTAGGAGTACTGGAAGAAATCTTACTATAGTTAATTCGACTTCAATAACAGTTAAAATAGATATGTATTGATTTCAGTTCTAATCGCCCTATCGTGTTGGTGCTGTTACTGTTGTCCTCTCTATAAGCAACTATACGAATATGAAGATGATTAAGCAGAGGATACTCATTTCATCCACTTCAGTTCACTTATATAGTTAATACAGTAACTCTATTTCATTCCCATTTTCTGAACACCAACCTTGCAAGAAAGCACTTAACATTTCATTTTAGTAGGTGATCAATCACTAGAAAGATATGTATCAATTTCCCTAGGCGACAAACTCTTTTGTGCAGTACCAGGAACAATCATCTCAATAACAGATATAGACATAGAAATTTGATCCTCTATAAAGTTTACACGTCTAGTAGAGATATCTGTTATAATTTTTCATTGTTACCTACTTAAGTATACTCTATGCTACTCTATGCTCAGCAAACTCATGTCCCTTGTAATCGTTTGACACTTGAACAGCTGCCATCGAAGATATTCGGACATCGAACAATTTTTTAACACTTAAACGATGTGAATAATTTCGCAATCCTTGCAATGATTTTGTAAATTATAGTGTTATCCGACACAATTATACATTAATTATAAAATTTATTGTTTTTATAATAAAAACGACAAAATACTTTGTCAACAAGAAAAAAGATAATGGTGAATGCAAACAGATTTTTAACCCTGCTCTCGGTTGAGCCTACTGTAGAAGGTATCACACAACCACATTTCTGGACAACCTAGCAGTCTTCATGTATTTAAATTGTTGAGGTTACACGAGATTAATAAATAGACTAATAAATAGGCTAATGTTTCGACGTCTTCGTCTTCATCAGAATCGATGGTTCTTGTCGACGGTCTGTCTCGGTACGACAACGAAGACGCCACATCGAGATAACGAACAACTGTGGACCATCAATACGGATCATCAGCTTGATGAAGACGAAGACGTCGAAACATTAGCCAAAATAAACCTATTTATCAACCTCGTGTAAGCTCAATAATATAAACACATGTTGATTATTACAGTACCGAGATTAAATGACGGTCGGATTGAAAACTGTTTAGCAATCTTCGATGGTCAAGAGTAACATGGGCTATAACGTGAATACATGACATTCCTGATTTTTATAACTCGGTTGATTCTATAAACAGTTAGGCAAATTTTGTACAGTTTCTACATCAGTAATTTTCAAAAAATTCCTCATTTGACAATTTACTACTTCAAGGAAAGGATTGCACAAAAGATAAACACGCAACACATGAAAGACTAATGACGAGTCTAAGACGATAAACCATCTTTTCTACCACGTTAAAACGGTCTTGCCGCGACCACGTAAAGCAGACACTTTTTCGTAAACTACAGGAAGTTCGTCGAATGTATGCACTCGTTCCACTATCGGGACAATCTTAAAGAACTATAAAGTGGTATCCATAAATTGAAAAAGATTTCAAAACGAACTCCGTTTGTATGTTAATTTCTGCCTGTCGTTACAGTACAGAAAAACAGAACTGACAAAAAAATGGGTCAGCATTAGGTATGTACAGAAACGGCTCCAAACACCCACCATCCCTTCTTGTGCAAATCGTGATAGCTGTAACATGCATTCCTTGTTAGGTGCAAAGAACGCATATGAAAACCATTGTCCTCGAAGAGCACTCTATAGAGAACATAGTTCAGATATAAACTATGTAGTAACTAGTAATGGTAAACCAAGTGGTGCAACCGATGAGTAAATAAAAGGTTCACGACCAATAATTATACGAAAAAACCAAATCCCAGAAGTCAGTGTCACAAGACACAGATGCTAAAAGTCGTAATCAGGCAAATGAAGGACTAGTTCTTATGGACACTTCAGAATACACACCTCATAACTTCTGCACAAATATTTGACCGCAGTTGATGATAACCCCATCACAAGCCCATGTCTGTCAGTTTCTCTCAACAACGGAGTGACGACGGACACATGTATGCAATTGCGCCAAACACCCATTGTCTGAAGAAAGAAGGAACGATGATTCTCTCATAGGAAAAGTTAAACAGCAAGAAAAAAAGCCAGAGGATCAACATCTTCTTGCTTAACCGAGGCGAAATATCAGTAAGAACTGTAAAAACTGGACTTGCTTCTCACTGAAACGCTACAAAAACAGCGAAAAATTTTTAGCAGACGTATCAGTAATTAAGCCTTCATTTCTGGTTTCCCACATACCTTATCACTCCACCTGGCCAGATCAGAGGCTACGCAATCCAAGATCACTTCATAAGGTCCTTCCGCAACAAGATGCTCTCGAACGTTTGACGATCGATAGTCGATAGGAATGGCTCCAAGTTTCCGTACCATTTCTGCACTAAATGAAAACAAAGGAATAGAACGGAAAAGAATTTATTGAAAAAAGGGAGTGCAGTTAATAAACAAAGAACATTCCTAAGACAACAAAAAACTAGGTGAGAGAAAGGGGAAACGAAAGACCGGCATGGTGTAGTGGTGAACGCGTTAGCCCCCGGAAAGAGTAAAAGCGCGTTCGTTCCTTACAGCAGACACCTGCGGTCCAGAGTTTTGCAAATATCTCAGCATCATTGTGGATGTATCACACATAATACCCTGCCGTGAAGAATTGTAATAGGCAGTAAATAAAAGTGAACATTCCTAAGAAACTGGAATTTCACTACAAACAGCAAAGAAATATTAATTTCAAATACCAGTATGAAATAAAAAATTCTTAATAAAATAAACTCTGCTATGTGCTGTTCCCCATCGAATCTTCTTTAAGTTCGCTGAGAACATCCATTAATTATATCCATGGAAAAGATCATACACCAGAGAAAAGTTACCTATCGTCAGAGCATGTAGCTACTATTTTGTCGGCACCCCATGCTCTCAACATTTGAATCGCCATGGTGCCCAAACCACCAGCGCCACCATGAATTAACACTCGTTCAGCTAAACCAGAGTACTGTATTCACATAAAAATATGACTTTGAAAGCAAATTCATCAAAACTCTAGCATCGGTAACTTGGTTTAGATCGTGGATTCATCCTTGCCACAGAAACAAGTGCAGCCCAGACAGTGTTCGCTACGTACGGTATGGCAGCAGCTTGGGGGAAGTCGAGATTAGACGGCATGCTGGAGCAGCAGGATTCTTCCGTCACGACATATTCAGCATGCGAACCTTGCAAAGTTGCAGGAATCACTGCTATCACCTAATATAAAACAATGCATAGTATCTAAAAAATAAGATAGTCCACTTTTAATACAGTCGGTTACAAATAATTGATGAGATTAAAAATACGTGACAGATACCTTATCCCCAGGAACAATTCCTTTCACTCCTGGTCCAACCGTTTCCACAATACCCGAGCAATCTCTGCCAGGAACTAAGGGAAAGCGACTCGCTGTGGAATCACAGGTTTCCACTCGTTTCCATGTTCCGAGAATCTCATCACCATATCCTTTCACCATCAAAGTATCGATTGGATTCACACTAGCTGCCTAAATCTAGACAATACACGATGCAAATATCACCATGTGTCGAGTAACAACATGAAACAACCATAGGTTTCTTCTTTAACATGTTTAGTGCGGTCCTCTAAAACAATTACAAAGAAGTTGTCGAAGAGTGACAACACTCACTAGACACTCCCTGCTTCTTAACACTTTGTCAAGTTAAATGGTTTTCAAACGGTAGCTCCATATGTAGATTCAACGATTAGACTTTCCTTAACATATACAACTGCCAACATCTAAGAGGAAATATTTTGTAGGAGGATAGTTCATTTATATCAAAAAAATAACAGACTTCTTAACCTTTATAACCTCAATACTTCAAATGCATTTGCAACAAATAAGCAACTCGTTTGGTATAGCAACTATTCCCCTGAATAGTTCCCATTTTACCACATTATCGCACGTTTCCTATGCTAATAATATTTAATATAACGACATTTATCCTTGTCTTAAGGGCGCGTGTGGCTTAGTGGTTGGGGCGCCCTGCAATACACATGAAATTGATTCCAGCTCCTGAGACCCACCTAGCCCTCCATCCTTCGGGTTAGGCAGATTGGTACCGGACATGTCTGGGAGTATAGCAGCAGCACTGGCTCGATACATCGGTAGGACATTGCGAGTAACTGTAAAGGCCAGATATGCATTCAATCACCTCCAACGATGCTTAGTGAAGTTAAATGCATGACGCATGTCTCAGGGATTGGTTAACGCCGCAAGCTCCATCCTTTTTATCCTCTATCCATGTCCTGTTCTGCAACTGTCACTAAATTCATCCACTCGTTTCCCATATGTTGTAGACTTCAACTGTTAAGCTCTCCATTCGTATAAGAAATACTGATCACCATCACATGTTCCTATTTCACTCTTTCAATAATCACTGTTGTTAAGGCTATCCTTGTCTTTCGTATTATTACGAAATTAATCGCTAGCGCTAGTTTTCTTTAAATGCCTAGGTAGCAGTATCGTAACACGTTGTGTACCTTCCAACCCAGCCTAGGATCGGAGCACTCAGGGTAACAGATACTGTATAAGGATTCATAAATATCATATTTCAATGCATAACTTTTATCTACTGCCCATTGCTTTTTCCACGAGATGGATATATTATGCGATGTAAAACTACAAAAGTGCTGAGATCTTTGCAAAACTTGGAGCTCAGGGCAGATCGAACCGCGATTACTCTCTCCGGGTGCTCGCGTGTTATGCAAGGCACCACTGAGGCTCTTGCTTTGCTTTTCTCTCAGTCAGTCTTTTAACCCTAACGGTGCCATCAGCAGTCACCCGTCAACGGGAATGAACTAACATTAATACATTAAACGAAACATAAAAAACATAAACGAAAAACAACAAACGAACATGCAAAACGATACCCTATAAATGATGTCTTCCACTCTGTTATACGATTTATTTCAAAGGCCATAATTACTCTATACACATTAAAATATAATAGTAATTTTACCTGGACTTTGATAAGAACTTGGTTCGGTTTCGAAAGCATAGGTACTGGAATGCTTCTCAATTGCAGAGGATCGTTCGGTGAGTGCACTTGCCACGCTCGCATATGTCCAGCTCCGGGAACAGAAAATCGACAAAGGCGAGTCACATACATCTAGAAACCATGTACTATATACAGTGGTCTACTTACAACAATTAGACAAAGTCCTTCTAAATAAAATAAAATAAAGTAAACATAAAGCCCCAGCATGTCCTGTTGGCCGTGTGATAGCCTACGTCATGTGTGTGTGCACTACACTGAATTTGTCATCATCCTGAGCCACAAGAGAGGAATTATGGAAGATCTGAACAATTCCCAATGGAATTATTACTTTTACATCGTGGATTCCTCTTTGTGGATTATTGGATGCTATTGTAAAAACAGATTGTAGTTCCTCAGTAAGTATTCCTCCATGACGGATGGGAAAGAGAGTTCGCCAAGTTGCTGACTGCTTTACGGGTCTTACTACTCTGAGCATTACTCTGTTTCATATACTGATTGAGATGTTAGAGTTGAATTATAGTGTGACTGTGAATCTGTCTGCGTATTTCGAAGACTGATTTCTCTTTAACCTCTGCTTGACTAATCAACACGTATTTCTTCATTGATAAGCTGACACTAAGTTGATGAATAGAACTTTATTCGGCTAACGTTTCGGTGCCTTCGCCTCCTTCAGAGCCAGACTGATCAGAATCGGTAGTCCACAGTTCTTCCTTCTTCCGATGTGGATGCTTGTGATCGTATCGAGTCGAATCCAGTGGAGCACCGCTCGAATGAACTAACGTTGCTGGACAGTGCTCTTCTGTAGAGGACGGATGTTGCTGATGCTGATTGTCCATTGATAACAAACCGTTTTCTCAGGACAATCCATCCTGCAGCGGTCCTTATCATCATCGATGGTGCTTGTCATTATCCGTCCTGTATAAATGAGCATTGCCGGTTGTTACTTCATTCGAGGAGTGCTCCACAGGATTCGACTGGATGATATCACGATGGTCCAGATCGGAAGAAGGCACAACTATGGACAGTGGACTCGAATTAGTCCGGCTCTGAGGAAAGCAAGAGCTCGAAACGTTAGACGAATGAAATTTTTTCCATCAACCTCGTGTTAGCTCATCAGTGAAGAAAAAATCTGTCATATCTTAAGAGTCCTTCCTTCCTGATTACATCATCATTGCAAGTGGGTGATATGCTGTACTACATTTTTTACGTTAAAAAAAAGGAGAAGTGGACTTGATTTTATTTTGGAAGCCTACTTTCATTAAAGTTTGCATGGCTAATCTGTAGTATTTTATTTTGCTTATGAGCTTATACGAGATTATTATAAAACCTTTGTCATGGCAAACACTTCATCGCCTTAATCTTCTTCAGAGCCGCAACAATTCAAGTCGTTTGTTCACACTGTCTTAGCCTTAGTCTTAGTTTTAGGTCTTCGTCTATGTTTTGTGACAACTATCTAGCTTGAAGTATTTTTCTTTATCGTTCAAAGTCATTTTTCAAGCTCTAGATGTCTACTCCTCAAAAGACTGCCGCCAAAGGCGAGTCGGTAGGTGATGCTACTGCGGCTGAAAAAATGGAAGTCGAAGAAGTGAGTATCTACAAGTTCTCTCAATTTTTTTACTTTCTCTGATTTACTACCTCTCCACAAAGATCTCTCTGAATTGCAGTTTTGTGGAGTAAGCCACCCGTTGTCGTGCTTTAAGATCTTGGTTACATCCCAGGGAGCTGACAAACAGTTCTTCTCAGGCACTTGACGATGAGATTCTCCGTATGTCTGCAGACGATCTTAGAAGCCGGACACATCTGCTTGACAATGAAATTCGCATAATGAGAAGTGAAGTACAACGATTGAACCATTCTGTAGCGACGGTGAGGGAAAGAATTAAGGATAACAACGAAAGGATTAAGGTGAAATATATTTTTCACTTTCAGTAGTCAAACATTAACTTTTTTCACCATCTCAGGTCAACAAAACTTTGCCTTATTTGGTTTCAAACGTCGTAGAACTCTTAGATCTAGAGGATAACCAAGAAGAAGAAGGTATGTTTCCCTATTGGCAGTTTTCTATTGATAGCTCCTGGTGGGAGTGTTTCGCAAACTGTTGAGCTCCTACAGTTTTTTGTGACCATTCAGTGTGGTCACTTTTTTATTTAGTGCCTAATCTTTTTTAATGGTAGGGCATTATGCGAGAATAACCTTGATGACGCTGATTTATTTACAAAACCCCGGACCGCAAGTGTCTGCGGTGGGGAACGAACACGCTGTTAGACTTTCCGGAGACTAAAGCGTTCACCAGCACACCATGCCAGTTCTTTTCCTGGTTGTTGATAGCTCCTATAGATCAAGGAAACGGCTGGAGGAAAGGCTAAACACGGACCGGCGCGTTAGGTCCCGGAAAGGGTAATAGTGTATTCGGCCCTCATCGGAGATACCACCGGTCCGTAGTTTTGAAAGCATCTAGTGAGTGTTCGTTCAGGTGCGAATGTTGATTTGGATGCGCACAAGACAAAATGTGCCGTTATAAAAACGTCTACGAGAGCCACTTATTTCCTTCCTGTTATCGGGTTAGTTGAGCCATCAGAGCTTAAACCTGGAGATCTTGTAGGAGTAAACAAAGTAGGTGCCTCCGTTTCATGATTTCTTCTCGAATTATTCACACGCAGAATTCTTTTATTTTTCAGGATTCTTATCTTATCTTAGAGAAGCTCCCAGCGGAATATGACTCCCGCGTAAAAGCAATGGAGGTTCATTACATATTTGTCATAATTCATTCAGTTCCTATCCGTTTTTATTTCTGGTTTCGTCTTTACTCCAATCATTAACTTTTATGTTATCTCTCATGCAACTTATCACGTTCTTAACGGTGTGGATTATACATAACAGTTACCTTTTGAACCTTAGGCAGACACATCTCAGCTTGTGAATTTTGTTAGTTTCAGTAGTAACGATTGACAGGTCTTTGCCAACACTGCGCAACTTTGCTTATTTAACCTGATGAAGTCCTCAATTTTTTGAGTTGTTCACAGATGGGGTTTTCCGCATTTTTTCCGTGAGAACCCGTATCCTAAGCGGTGAAGAGCGATTCAACAAGGACAGTTTCGTCAGCAGGACGCGACAGTGTCCATGTATATCAAGGTGTTTGCACCTGCCTTCTGCTTTCTTAAAGGATTTCATATATTTGCTTCTTTAAAGCTTTATTTGTGGGAGTTTGGAGTTATCACGGTAGAAAATTTAGTTTGCTCTTACTGAGATAGGTCAAAGTCTGTTTGATAAGTCTTAATTCTAATATTCCCAATTATTTTAGTTATAGAAAAATCGGCTTCATCACGAATATATTGAAGTTCTGTTTTATCCCATGCGCACTCATTGAATTTTATTAAATGATTTCGGTGTTTTAGGTAGACGAACGCCCTACAGAGCAGTATTCTGATATTGGAGGTTGTGACAAACAAATTCAAGAGCTCATAGAAGCTATCGTTCTCCCAATGACCCACAAAGATCGCTTTGTAAACTTGGGAATTCATCCTCCCAAAGGTGTCTTAATGTACGGCCCTCCTGGTACGTTTCTTAACTATTAGTGCGCAAATTCACAAACGACAATTTTTCCCGGAATACTTGGATTGTCCATCTTCACTGGTTGTATAGGCCAAAGTATAATCCATTCGTTTCTCTCTTGTGCGGTCGTCATCTATGGTTGTGGTCTGTTTTGAAGGTCCATTCCGAATTTCTGCAATCGATTCAATCTGCGAATACAGGTTGCTGAAGTTAACCACGAACACATGCGCCCATTGTATGGGTGGTCTTGCAATGGGGCGTTTGCATTCTCTTAAAGTCCACTCTACTGTTCTTTTCGTCCATTAGTCATCTGTTCTTCTTATTATCTGACCGGTCTACCTGTGTTTCGCTGTCGATGTCGATGTATATTCTCCTGGATCTCGAAGATGCGATAGGTTTCGAAGATCTGAGCTGCACATTCCGGCTTGACGTGAGTGCGGTTAAATTTCAGAAGGCATCGTTCAAGCGTTCTGTGGGTAGTGCTCAGATTTCTCGACGTGGATGGGGTATCAGCCCACGTCTATGCTGCATAACAGAGCACTGGAAGGACTGTTAAATCGAAAAAAGTGAGTTCGGAATTTTGCGTCCGTTAGTTGGTCGCTGGCCTCTTTGAGTAACTCAGATGCGCCCCATGCTATCTAATTCCTCCTTCATGTTGCTCTCCACGTTCACTGAACACACAGCGTACACATGCGCAGTGGTTTCTATAATCCATTCCTCCAGAACCATCTAGTTCGATTTGTTCACCTTCACACCATGGGTTTTATGAATGGATCTTTATTCTGTAATCCACAGTCCAATCTTTTTTCCTGCTTCGTTGAGTTCATTGAGTATCGTCTCTACTTCACTGATACTCCACGAAAAGATGATTTCATCCGCGAAACGAATTTTTACACTAATACTTGTGCCATTCTCGTGACAAATGAGTGACTTCATTACGCACAGCAATGTGGCAGTAAACAGCTAAGCATGTCGCCTCGCCGAGCTTTTCCTGTGGATTTGATGAGGGATCGATAGGAAGTCTGTGTATTTGTGCCACAGTTCCGAAAACAGTCTCCTAGTGTACGTTTATAGGACAGGATTTAACTTCTTGGTTCAGAAGTGTTGATAGGATTGCATTCATTTCGACACTGTCAAACACTTTGTAGTAGTTGATAAAGATTAAGGCAAGAGGCAGATCGTATCCCTGGCAATTCGTATTCTATGTTCTCTGGTACGGTTTGGATGTGGTCCATACAACAGAGTCCCTGTCAGAATCCTGCTTGCTCAACTGGTTGTGCTCCATCCGCCTTCGATATGCGCAAAACGACAATCTTTGTGAACAGTTTCTAGAGTACACTTAACAAGCATATTGGACTGTAGTTACGAAGATTTTTTCGATCACGCCTCTTGTGTGGGGTAACTGTGCGTGAGCTCGCCCACTTATTTGGGATTTTCTCTCTTTTGAGATAAGGTGTCATATGGGTTGCGAGAAATAAACGTTGTACTGGAGATGTACCTCTGTTTATAGTTTCCATCGCATCTCGAAGTCTAGAGGGCAGAATCCTGGGCGTTTTTTCACCAGTGGTGATTTCGGGTTGTGAGACGGGGATATGAAGTGGAAAAGAGTAGTATTGAACTTCTGTGCTGTCGATTTCATATCATGGCGTGATGTAGTGATAATCCCATCTTCGTTCATCAAGGTAGGTGCGGAACATTGTAGTTGCAAAAATCCCGACAGTAATTCCTCGTAATGATCGTTTCTGAACCGCTTCCAATAACTTTTTCTGCGTGTAACATCGAAAACCCTACTGAAAATGTCTTCTACTTCTCGCATTTATTATAAGTTGTGTTAGGTGTGTTGCAGTAAGATCTTGCTTCAGTTTTATTCTCTTTTGGAGCAGTTTTATAGCGGTAATGGTGCTCAGTCTGAACTTCATTGTTGAGGAACTGGGGCATCTTCGGCACAATTTAGTTCCTTCGACAAGCAGCATATTGTCCTTAGTCGGGTCTTTATTTATCTGTCAGTTATATGAGGTGATAATTTTATTTAGAATATCCTCGTCACACATGACGTGTTTCGTTTCTCTTCTACGATGACCGATTCTTTTCCAGTTAATGACTGAATCGGATTGTCGCAGGGAGAAGGCGGTGATCAGATCCTGTACAGAATCCAGTAACCACTGAGGTGTCAAAGAGGCACCATTTTTTTCTTGAGAGTGTTCGATCTCTGCATGCGCGATTCCCTCTCCGCGGAAAATGGGTTACCTCGAAAGAGCCTTGCTAAGGGGAGCCCTGAAAGTCGGTTACCATTCTCATTTCGTCCCCCTCTTCCGAACTTCGCTATCCTATACTAATTTTCGTTGGTCGTTCGTAATCTGGCGTTGAAGTCTTTAACAACGACTTTGTAGGACTTCTCGTTGCGGATTACTTTCTCCAACTGGTTTTCGAGCGCATCTAGTTCCTCTCATCAGCTGTACAAGTTAGTGAGTAGCAGCAGACTGTACTGTTTCTTTTGGCGTGCAAGTAGGAGACGAAGAATGGCCAAGCGCAGTAATAGGATTTCGTCTGAGGTAGATGGGAAATAGATTGGTGTACGATAAAGCCAACGTTTGCGACATTTCGTGACGGAAATTTCCTTTCATCAATGTTTCGTCATCCAGTTGGCATATGCCGGTCTTAATACTGTTCAAGTGGTACGGTCAACATACCTCAAGAAGGGCGTAAAGGTCGCCATTTGAAGAGACTGTTAAGGCGATATAGGTGCGCTTTAAAAAGCAGTCTCTGTGGCGTGTCATGGGGCTCCTCGTTTCGTTAGGTTCCACTGACATCTGTGGAACCCGGGATTTCATTGCCTCTCACCGATTTACCCAGTGCTCGACGTCGTAGATGACAGTGCCCAGTGTGTAGGGTAGTGAGACCGGAGATTTTCTGGTTTAGCCAATGCGGTTACCTGGAGTTTCCAGGCTAGCCTAGCCAAAGCCTTCGTTAGGTCGTCACTCCTCAGGCAGTCGTCGGCACTTGTGGATGAGAGGGTGATTTGCTATTATGCAACTATTTAGATTCCCGGATGGTGGTAACTCGTGATATTGGTCTACTCTTAGCTCGGCTTCCGGGTGGAAACGTTCATTTCTCCAGCAATGGGGCAACGTTCTTCTCAGCTTGGGAGAGCTTGCTGTGGAAATGAACCCACACGGTTCATCGCAATCTGACATCCAGGAACGCCTCTATATGATGACGCGGTAAACCGTTGGGAGGGATTTTCTTGAGAAGATATTTGCAAAATTACTTCAGTCTAGTTTTTAAATCTAAACCAATTCTTTATTCAGTTAATATTTCTATTTAATCCTTTGATTTTAAACTTTAATAACTTTCGGTACCCGGTTTTTCGATTGTCAACGTAGCGTTCCGTTGTGTAATAGTAATGGTTTCTTGCTGTTGCAAGCTGTACTTTGTTCTAGGCACTGGCAAGACCATGTTAGCGCGTGCCGTTGCGGCCCAAACTAAATCTACTTTTCTCAAGCTTGCTGGCCCACAACTAGTGCAAATGTTTATTGGAGATGGTGCAAAACTTGTACGAGATGCGTTTGCACTTGCTAAAGAGAAGGCTCCAGCGATTATTTTCATTGATGAACTTGATGCTATTGGTGACTTTTCCGTCATTGTTTTCCTATTCATTAACTGTTCACATTAATCTCAAATCTCTTAGGAACAAAGCGTTTTGATTCTGAGAAAGCTGGTGATCGCGAAGTTCAGCGTACAATGTTGGAACTACTCAATCAGCTCGATGGGTTCCATCCTAATGATGAAATTAAAGTCTGTATTTGACCAAAATGTACTTATAGAATCGAAAAACTACTATATAGGATAGCATATAGTCTCAGTGCTTGTTGTAGGTGATCGCAGCAACTAACAGAATCGATGTTCTCGATCCTGCTCTGTTGCGATCTGGTCGTCTGGATAGAAAAATCGAACTTCCACATCCAAATGAAGACGCCCGAGCTCGAATTATGCAGATTCATTCGAGAAAAATGAATGTCAAGTGCGTTTACACGTACTTACTTGATACTTGAGCTAGGCTTCCTGATGGAAACACCGGACTCCTCAACTTGGGAGACCCTGCCGGGGACGAATCCCCCCGCTGTACATCGCAGTCCGACTTACCCGTACTTTTCGTTTACCTTCACTTAACCTTATTAGTGATCATGTTCCACAGGAGAGATTTCTAGTCTTTAAAGTGAAAAGGTTTGTGCATGTGAGAGATCTCGACATCCTCTCGTGACACTGTAGTGAAGTTTAGGTTTAAATTTCAGCAAAGATGTGAACTTTGAAGAACTTGCACGGTGTACTGACGACTTCAACGGAGCTCAGTGTAAGGCAGTTTGCGTGGAAGCGGTGGGTTTCATTTTACTGCTTCTTCTTCGTTTTCACTTTTCCTGTTGGTTTAGGGTATGATTGCTCTTCGACGAGATGCAAGCGAGGTTGTTCATGAGGACTTCATGGACGCTATTCTAGAGGTGCAAGCGAAGAAGAAATCAAGTCTCAATTACTATGCGTGATTAGGCCAATCGCTTTCTACCTGTTTCACTCTGTCTGACGTCGACTTATTGTGCGAGGATTCCATCAGAAAGTACATTTGTCAAAGCGAGTTGTTTTCCACAGTATCCTGTCCTAATAGATCTTCCCGATGACCGCAAACGTTGTCACAGTTTGACCTCAGTCAAACGATTTTCATTCGCTGTATCATCATTTAATCTCTTGACTTACAGATGTAACTTTTACTATTGTTGTTATTGACGAAATTATTAAATATTCTGAAGCAGTTTTGCTTTGTTTTAACAGTGAACCTTAATTTGTCGCTATGACTAATCGTATATTCTGTAGTGTTTTCTGTGAGGATTTATTACTTAAAAAGCATTAACTTATCATAGCTATCAAGGATATCATAAGGATTGGATCAGAAATGCCCATTATTAGGTAATGTCCATCATTGCTCCTCTACCGAAGGTGTGTGGTGAGTCTTAGTGCTTCTTTTTAATTTGAAGACGCTCTTCGCTAGTGATATGTACTAATCTAGAGGACGTGGTTTTCGTTTGAGGACCAATGCCGATTGTGGTTGGATCGTCATCATACAGAAAGGATGCTCTTCTACCACAGCAGTATCTTTCACCACCCAGAGAAGATGAGCATAGGACCATGGTAGGGTGCAACAACGGTGGTATGCTCAATGTGATTGAGTGGCATCATATGGATTTGTCGCTCTTCTATCCTGCTGCACTGGGAAGGTATTCGTTTTGTTAGGAAGTCATGCAATGGGAATTGTGTAATTTTATTATTCTGAAGCACTTGGACGGTACGCACATGTCTATATCCACTCACTGTACTTAGAAGTCGCCTCCAGCTTCAGAAGCAGCATACCGTATACAGAAGTACTTGGAATGCATTTACTAGTATATTCAAACAAGAAGGCATTCCTGGACTTTTCAGAGTTAGTTTGTGTGTTCTTCTGTCATACTGGCGAGCAGCAGATAAAACATGTGGATATCTTGTAAGATTTAATATAGCTTTCCTCGATTAGCAGCTAATTTTGCGTCAGTAGGTAAGTGCTTAGATTGGTCAATCCCGGTTGCTCTTTTGTGCAACTAGTTTAGATTTTCGTGGTTTTTGACTACTAATGTTGAGTGTTATTATGGCGAAGGATGCTATAGATGCTCTACAATACACACGAAGTGGCTGGTTCGATCCTGCTTGGTCCAACGAATACACTCGTTTCTTCGGGTTCGACAGTTTCATGCCAGCACTGTCTAGGGGGCTTCACAAAGTATGGCGACTGTTTGTGGTGAAAGCTTAGAAACGCTTTAATAAAGCCTTCCAAGGAATGCAGTGGGAATCAAATCGACCACCACCCAAAATCATTTATGAAGGAGATAAAGTCGTGAAGTGGAATCAAATCTTACCTCTTAACCGGACACCTTCGTGGATGACGGATGATAGACAACGAACTAAATAAACGAAGTGCTTGGATTTGCACAGTATGTGAAGTGAGGTCATGCAAGTGAATAGGTGATGGGTGATATTAATGTTTCGAATTCGTGTGTGGGTTCTATGGAGGTTTCAAAGTGTTTCCATCTTTTATCATCATTTGATATTTTGGTAGGTTTAGCACGGTTTTGCCTGAAATACTAAGAGAGTATTGTCGCGGCATAGCCATGCTCTGACGTTTGATAGCCGTAGTATGACGTTTTCAGGACTTTTGCGCTGACAGTTACCGGCCATTTTTCACTGAGTGGAGGACTTTTGCCGTAGCACTAGACCTGTTCCTGGATAGCAGCGATCCTTGCAATTATTCAACCCCCCACTCGGAAATGACCTTTTGAGATGAATCCTATTGCTGTAACTATCCATAATAAGTCCTCAATCAATATTTCTGTATCTAATCAGGGAGATAGCTGAATATTATAAGATTGATGTGACATGGAATTTGATACTTACTTGATACTTGATACTTGAAAGGCCCCTCCTCACTAGTTGTGTGGGCCCAGCATAATCTCCATTCGGAAATTTGCTGGTTAAGCCATTGTGGTTGTCTGGAATCCCGAGGTGTACCTGACCAAAGTTTGCTCCAGGTCTTCACCACCAGAGACAGTCGCAGTCCTTGTGGATCAGAGGAAGATTTGCCACCATGCGACTTTGATACCAGGATGGTGGTGCATCTAGGTGTTGGTTTACTCTTAACTAGACTTCCTAATGGAAACACCAGACTCAGCTCGGGAGACCTTGCCAGGGGTTGAATCCTCCGCTGTAAATCACAGCCCGACAACTGGGAAAACCTCCCACCCACGATGGAGGCGGTAAACTGTTGGGAGGACATGGGATTTGTTAACGTTTGATTGCTGGGAGGTCTCGTTTGCTCATCGTTGTCTGCTAACCTGTTATTTATTTAACCGTTTCTCCTCAGTCATGAAGAGGTAACACTTTGGCTTGTAACATGATTGGAAGTTGTTTGTAAAAGCTACACTTTTGCAATGCTTAACTTGTTGTAAATTTTGTTCAAAGTTAAGCATTGTGATTTCGACTACAGCTTCGGCTTAACTGGGTTCAATCCCGGTTTATTTTTCTCAGATCATTACCTTTGACATGTGATTGCTGATAGCACCTATATGGTAAGACACTGCTCAGCGAAAGGCGAAACCAGGGACCCGCATGGTCTCGTGGTGAACGTGTTAGCAACTAGAAAGAACAGTAGCGAGTTCTTTCTCTACCACTTCGAACGCTACGCTTCGGAGTTTTGCAAATATCTCACCATCATTGTGGTTATGTCCTTTTACACTTTCTGACCATTTTTAACTTGATAAATTGTTCACCATTGTGTACCGTTTGAGCTCTATGTTATTCTATTTGCTATCAAAAGCTGTGGCTGATGAGGTCTATTTACGCTAGGGTTTCTGGGTGACGATTCCTCAAGTCGGTACATCATTTATTTATGCGACTGTCTATGAGAAACTGCGTGCTGTGCTTCTGAATGACTATGATGTACGATCCGCTGCTGGAATATCCAGCATATCTGGAGGAGCCGCGAGCTTCGCCTCTCAGGTTGGGAATTAATTTACATCGATCTATTGTCATTTCACTTATAATTTCGTTTGACGGTTATTTGGTCTTTACAGATAATCTTTGTTCCTACCGACATTATTGCTCAGTATATGATGATATACTATAGAGCCGAAAAATTTATTTCTGGCCACGACAAAGCAATTATCAGTTATGTTATGGACGAAAAGAACTCTCGTCTTACACTAGGAATGAAGTTTCTTAAGGCCATTTACAAAGTCGATGGGCTGAAAGGATTCTATCGGTGTGTTTTTTCTTTAATGTCTTTTCTTCTTCGTAAGTATTTCTTTTCAGAGGATTTTGGGCATCGTCCTTCGTTTATGTTCCTTATTGTCTTGTTTTCTGGCCAACATACTATTGGGCTCAGGATTTCTGCAAATGGGTAATATTTCTTTTTCAATATGCTTAACATTAAGAGGATAGAATGCGTTTAAGATGCGCCCTCAATGTACTGAAGATTCCAGTCTTCTTTTATTAGACCAAGCAGTGGCGGCTTTTATTGGTGGGATCTGTTCAACTATAAGTACCAACCCTATGGAAATGTTCCGCATAAGAGTTCAAGTATGTTTTTCAATGAATTTCTTTCTAGAATACTTTACGTCCTAACAGTGAAGTCACACTCCATGCAATTCAGTACATCCTGAAAGTACATGATCTACAGGTTCATCGATCAACATATAAAGAAACACTAAGCCGTATGCTCAAGGACGAGAAGTATCATATTTTCACAAAAGGATTGGCACCTAGGTCAGTGCAATGTAGAATGCTACGATTTCAGGGCCTTTTATTTTTGTTTCTATTATTCGTTTCTCCTCCTAACGGTTTTCCCCTCATCGTTACTGAGAGGTGTTTCTGGGTGTCTGGCTGCGATGTACAACGGGGCGATCCATCCTCCCGGTAGGGCCTCCCTAGCTGAGAAGGAGTCTGACGTTTCCAAAGGACGAGGATTGCCTCTTGTGTGACGATTTGGTGCAGATTTTGGCCAAACTGACCTAGAGACTGCAGCAAAACGCAATGGCAAAACCGGCAAAACTCCAAAAAATAGAGAATATGCTAGGGCCCGCCCAACCAGTGAGGGTGTGCCGTCCAAGTATCCAAGTAAGTTGGTATTGCTTTCCATCTGTTATAGTTGAAAGAATCCGACGATGCTACATAGGAACAACTACTGGTGTTTGTTTTCATTTTCGATGCTCATATATGGTTTGCATAGTATTACGTTCTTATGACATGTCTTATCCCAAGTCGTTAGTATAGTAGGTATCCGATCTAAGAAAAAGTACTGTTAAAGCGGTGTTAGCCCATTGTCTTTCGTAAACATTGTCCTTGTCGAATTAGTTTTTATTCCAATGTCGCCACTCATCATAGATAGCTTTTGTCTCATCTAAAAGGTAAACAGTGTATCTGGAGCAAGTCACCTAAATGAAGGCGATGATTTTGCTGTATGCCAACTCCACTTTCAATACCCTATCTCTTTACTTAACCTCATGCATAATTTACATGCGAAATAGATACCAGTGTAAACGGGATTGTATTATCTTGTGAAATAACGTCTTTCCAGTGGTGTTATCCTTGTTCAGCGATGTGATTTTTGAGCTTTTTAAATCTTAATAATAATCGTAGTCTGTTGTTTGAAAATTCTTTTTTGAAACAAGTCCTTGATTACTTTACATATTTCTGTGAATTGGAAAGCATATGGACCAATATGAAGCAGAGCTAGTTTTTTTTTGCGGTTTTTTTAAAATTAACCGTTTTCCATCCGGGATATCCACGTCAGCTTCATTTACAGCTCAACGGAAGTTGGTTTAAATACTTACGTGGCTAATAAAACGGGCGATATGAATTGAATTCCACTCATACGTTGTCGGCAATTCTTGTTCCTTTCAACTTTAGACGGACATATTTCAGTTCAGAGTGGACCTTGGAAAAATAAAAGATAAAGCTCTCGGCGTTGACCAGTCTCTGAGAGATGCGCTATCCATTCGATTTCATTAAGCACTGTTGGAGGTGATTGAATGCACATCTGGCCTTTACAATGACTCGCGGTGGCCTAGGCCTACCAGTGTGTCGAGCCGGTTCTGCTACTCTCCCACACATGTCTGCTACCAATTTGCGGACCCCGGAGGGATGGGAAGCTCGGTGAGCCTGGGGTTCGGGGGTCGATTCCTTATGCATTGCAGGGCGCCTCCGACCACTACGCTACACGCCCTGTAGTGGAGCTTACTAAGTGAAATATAAATCAGCAGAAGTTACAGATATTCGCTAACAAGATTGTTTAACAAGACAACAAGATAAACAGGTTTTCTTATTCTACAGCAATGAAACGCTGGTTTTGAAAGCTTACAGAACGTTTTTCTTCTTTTGTTTCCGTCGGGACTCGGATTTCGAACGACGAAGAGTTTGAACAAACGCAATTTTGTCTGCAAAAAATATCCTCATACATCTTTAGTATGAAGGATCTTCACGCTTGCGTGAAAATTTCTGAAAAATTGCATTTCCATTTCAATCTTTTGAAGGTTTGACTTCTAAAATGTTTCGAAAATAAAGTGAAATTCCAGCGAAATTATGTTTGCTCTTGCAATGAGCTATCTATTGTAAAGCTTCGCGAATGTATTAAGAGTTTTCTGACTGGCTGCTCAGTGTTAACATCAAAACTATTGAGTTGAATGAATGGAGGTGTGATTGTGAAACGTCAACAGAAATTTTCACATGTTATCTCGGAATGAGGCATATCACTCCACTGTTTACCACATGTCTCTGTCAAATGTTGTTTCTTTAGTCAGCCTACGATGTGAAACTGGAACGTTATTCTGCTGTAGTACCACACAAAAAACATTTCACATCTTCATACGGAAGTACACTCAAAAGCACATGAATTAAATCGTTGCTGATGATAAACTTGTATGCAACCTCCATCCGTTTCGCTAGAATTGACGAATTTGGCTATTGCTAAGATTTCTTTGAGGGAGCTCACCCAAAATTGATCAACTGGTAAAATTCCAATGGAATAGAAGTTGCGTTGAAAACGTCCACTATTCGTTAAGGTAACTTGTGCATCAGGTAACTAGGCAAGAACAAAAGATAGGCAGAAGCTCAAAGAAATAGGTTTTTCGTATGGGATTCATTGAGTTTTTATAGCTTGGTTCCTGAATTGTTAAGTCGTAGTTTATCATGTTTATTGTATAGATGGTAACCTTTTCAGATTGTTGAGCAATTCAATATACACATGTGTGGTCATGGTTGGATACGAAATCGTGAAGCGCTTGTGCGTTCTTCCCGAATACAAAGACAGAGTTAAATGGTAGTTAGGATACGAACTATCTAGTCGTAGTTCTAATTATAATAGAGTTGTATCTCAATGCCTTATCTTTTCTTGGTTTCTATGCTTGCTCAAGAGTAATTCTAATGTAATGGGCACATTTGAACAATTTTATGGACCTGTGATATGGTTGCTTGTCCTTATTTTACTTGCTTTCGAAGCAGTTAAAACTGTTATTTATTTTATCTCAGTGTGGTCTACTGAGCTTTCCTACTGATGAGCTTTAATGATTTGGATATGCTGCTGAATAAAGGTGATATTTGAGTATCGTGATCAATAAACAGGAGCTATTGTTTTCTGCAAATGCCTACTTAATGGGTTTTTTTGGAGGTAGTACTTAATGTCTTTAGTTCCATAACAACAGGTTGAACGCGTCTTTATTTCGGCCTTTATAAATTCAGGTACATCACTAGCAGCGATATTACGCTGCCAATGTGTCAGTCCTATCTAACGTTGGAATATTGCATAGCAACTTGTTTATGTTTATACGGTGTACGGTAGGAAGTTTCCAGGAAAACATGTCTTCAGAGATGTCGGAAGCGATAGATTTAACTTCCAAAGTGAGCTCATTAATACTTAAATAATAGTCGAAAGAAAGTAAGCAGTCGTCTAGGAGAGACTGCTCGTCATCCAGTGGGAACACTTAGATCTCTGGCGTTTTTATCCGCTTGCGTTAGCCAGCTCATGGTCAATACGATGCGTTCTTTACCCGATGTACGTCGTTTGTTATTCGTTTCTACATTTTTCCCCTTACCTCGTAGAAATATTTTTCATGACTTTTGTGTGTCATTGCTTCAAAGTGTATTGTTAAGTACGATATTACAGGTCTGTTGTGAAGAGTCGACTACAGCTACAACGTCAGAATAACGTGTATCGGGGCATGCGACATGCCTTCACGGAAATCTTAAAGGTCGAAGGAGTTGGAGCCTTTTACCGAGTTAGTTCACTCATGTGGCTTTTAATAGCTGCTAACCATATATTATTTACTTGTCTCTCTTACGCGTTAAAATTGAAGCTTCCATTTATTATACGTCATCTTATGCACGCACCCCGCCTTGTTTCGTTTTCTGTGTGTTCTCAGCTGTGATGTGCAGCGGTAGTACCACATTTACAATTTAACAAACTAACGCCAAGTCAGAGTTCGACAAGCTTTCCGTGGCTATCTTCTTGCCAACTACGTTGAATATGTGCCTGTCCTTATCCATCGAATCAACAATCCTCGGAGGACATAGAGTAGTTAGTTAGCAGCGTCGAACATGATAGACATGAACATAAGTTCCCAACCTTAATAGGAAACGTTGGCTAAAGTGTTGTCGGTTTCTTTTGGTCTAAGCCACAACCAATGTTTCCTACATCTGTAGTCCATTTCATTTAAGATTAAGACATTTAAGAACCACAAGGTTTGCCCTTTATTAGGCCCCGAAAAACGGTTCTTCGCTTTCTTATGTCTTCTCTACGTAGCAGCAGAACCTACAGGCATGTCGAAAAACCTTAGTGAATGACAGATGCATGACAGCGAATTGGATGAAAGAAATACTGTGGTCCGCAAGATATGTGAGGAATGATCAAAGCAAATAGACAGTGTTTCTTTGGACTGAATTTTTCGATTGCACAAGTTCGACAACCCATATGAGAAACAGTACATGGCAGTGCCAAGATAGCCATGCAATGTTGCTTGCACGTTGCGACCACTAATAGTTCTTCCACGACGGAGCCACCTTCCGCATAAGTTTACGCTTAGCTGGATATCTGAGTGGAAATATCGGATCTCGAATCTTGGATGTTATTTTTGGAAGAGGAGTGTTAACATTGTCCTGTATATCGCAGGTCAACGTAAAGAATCTTCAATTGCTACAGTGGTAGGGTAAAAAAAAGATAAAAGGATGAAGCTGTTGGCGTTGATCAATCCTTAAGGGGTACGCCATGCATTCGACTTTATTAAGCATCATTTGGGGTGATTAAATGCATATCTTACCTACTTGGATACTTGAATGGCCCGTTCTCACTGGTTGTGTAGACCCTAGTATAATCTCCATTTTAGGGAGTTTTGCTGGTTTAGCTATTGCGGTTCCCCAGAGTCTCGCGATCAGCCTCGCCAAGGTATCCCTCAGCTCGTTACCACCACAGGCTGTCGCCACCTTTGTGGATCAGGAGATTTGCCACCTTGCGACGAGTGTTATACCAGGACGGTGGTGGATCCTGGTACTTGTTTACCCTTAGCTGGACTTCTTGATAGAAACGTCGGACTCCTCAGCTTGGGAGACCTTGCCAGGAGGATGAATCACCTCACTGTGCATCGCAGCTCGACATGTAGGAACACCTCCTAGCCACAATGAGACGGTAAACCGTTGGGAGGAAATGCGTATACATAAGTGCACATTTGGCCTTTATAATGTCGCGGTGACGTACTGATGTATCCAGCCAGTTCTGCTATCCTCCCAGACAGGTGTGGTACCAATTTGCCGACACCGGAGATGGAAGATTTGGTGAGCCTGGGCCAGGGTATCGATCCCACGTTGTTTGCAGGGCGTCTCCGACCACCGCGGTACACGCGCTACACGGTGATGCGGTAAGCCATTAAATGGTCGGATATATATAAGGCGGTATTATGAAGCTTTGTAGTCCTAAAATCTTGTCGCTGATTTATGATTTAATATCATGTGAAGATTCCATTTTCGTTAGCGTTAGGATAAAACGTATGACCTCTAAAATCTTATCGACATATTGCAACTATAACTGCGGATCCATAGAATCATATTTTATAGGGGTTTTGGATGACACTACCGCAACTATCGGCTTCTTTTCTGTATTCTTCAACCTATGAACGAGTTCGCGATCTTTTACAAGTTCATATTGGTATCAGGAATCCTTCACTTGTATCAGCTTTAGCTGGTGAGTTATATGCCTGCCGGTTTCGTTCCCGTCATCCTCCATAATGTTTTACTATCACTTCGTTTTTAAACGCTTCTATCAACGATCGATGTCTATAGGAAAAGAATTAAGCATAGGAGTTTTCCTTTCTTTTTTCAATTATAATCTTTCAGGTGCAATAGCTTCGCCTTGCGCGCAGTTAGTTTTTGTTCCAACGGATATTGTTGCTCAACATATGATGGTTCATAACAATCCTGAAGCATTCGGAGGTAAATTCTTAATCTCTAGAATTGTATTCTTTTGCATGACGCAAATTTGTTAAGCATTTTAGTCTTACTGATGCTTTCTATAGGCAGTAGAAAGAATATTGCTGTCGCAAATACTGTTCGAAATGATGGGCTGGAAGGCCGATGGACGTTAGGACTGAGAGTTGTTCGTGCTGTTTACAAGGTAGACGGCTTGTCTGGTTTCTACCGGTAAGTTTGTATTTTCCTTTCACCCATATACTTCTAAATCTCTAGAAGAAAATTATTTGGATTGGTTTTTTTTAAAATTTCTCTATGAACTCTGCTATACATCTTTTTTCTGCCAGGGGTTTCTTTTCTGCTGTGATGTTGTATATTCCGTCTACTATGGTATTCTGGTCAACATATTACCATGCGTTAGGAATTTTCCGACGAATTCGGGCAAAGGTTACCATTTATCCTTGTTCTAAGGGAACTGTTCTTTTTCTTTTCACAATGTCAATGAATATAAGTCTTTTCACCATTTTGTGCATTGAGTCAGCATTGCCATGTTGATCTAGATACCCCAGAATTTATTACTTTAAGGTCACGGAAATTCAGAAAGGAGTAAGACCAAAAACAGCTGCAGATGTTGATAATCGGAATTTCTTTGTAGACCAGGTAAACCCATATTGGTAATTTCATTAATTTTCCCCTTTTCCATTGGATACTTTTAGGCGATATCAGGGTCGATAGCGGGAATTGCTTCAGCTTGCTCCACGAACCCTTTAGAAATGCTTCGCATACGACTCCAGGTAGTTGCAACGGATCTTTGTTAACAATTCAAACCCATTAACTGATTTTAAGGTTCATCGCACGAATTACACGGAAACGATTCGGCGATTATGGAAATATGAAAAGTCCCAGATTTTTACGAAGGTAGTCTGTTTTTCCAGATATTCTAATATTTGTTTTTCTCCTTTTGTTATTTGATGAAACTGAGCTTCCTGTCTGTACGGTTCTTTCCTTTCTCTGACTAGTTTCTATTCAGGGGTTAGCGCCACGTGTTGTCAGCAATGCGCTTTATTCGAGCTTAGTAATGGTTGCATACGAAACTGTGAAAAAGCTCTGCGTACTGCCCGAGTACCAAGAACACGTTGTTTGGTAATTAGTAGCGTTGTATTCCCACATAGAAGTCTTCATTTCTGCCCATTCATGTCTTTTTGTTTTCCCCGGCATTTATTGTCCTCTTCAAAATCTCTTTACTAAGTAGTCCATTTAGCATCTAGTCGTTCACTATGTTTCAGAGGCTTGTTTTCTTGTCCTTACGTTCGTTGTGCTTATATTAAAACACATGGATGGCTCTTCTTAAAGTAGTATGTTGCGACTACTAGCACATATTCCACATGACTGGTATCTCGTTGACTATAAGATTTTTCGCTCTAAAATCCAGAGATAGCCATGCGCAAAGGCAACTATCATAGTAGCAGCCGTTGTAGACCGGAAAGAGATGCGCATTTTTGCGAGGTTTCTTTCTTTTAAAGCTGCAGCGATTCCTCGCACACGCTGATAGCCAGTGTCCCGGATGAACATATTGACTACCTCAGCTCATCCTGCCTAGGATTGCATTTCATTTTATGCGTCGTAGTTTTACACCAAGAAAAGGTTTACATCATTGTTCCTCAAGAAGTCTTCAAACTCAACACCTTCACTGCTATCACTTATATTTTTAAGAAATCGCTCAAAATAGATGTAGACCAAAGTAATAAAACTAAGTACCTTATTGGAACTAATGACGTTTCTATGCATAAGATTTTCACTCATGCTTTTCTAAAAACAGTGATAATGTTGATATTTTTGCAGGTTGTGCTATATTTGTCCAAAATAATCACTGGTTTCGTTAGGTATCGAAATAAGACGCATCTGTTGTTGAAGATAACCCTATCATACTTTATCGCTTAGAAGTCATAAATCATTATTATAGAGTGGTCGCCCAGAAGTTTTTTTTAAAACATTTTGTTTCTGCTCCTTTTTTCTCGGAATTCCCCTGCTGAATTCGTACGAAATTTGATATGCAGTACCGTCGATGCTAAATGTTTATGTCTTATGTATGCCCACTCTTAATTTTGCGAATATAAAGAAGATTTAATATATGTTTGTAGTATATATGACACTGGTTATGCATCCAAACTATAATTCCAGTAATTCTTCAATGTTACTCATACTTTCTGGCTTTTTATTTGGTCAGATTTCAACATATCGAACAGATGTCGGCTCGCCGTGGTTTGTCACGATTTGACCGTATTCATCAATGGCTGCAGTTCTCTCGTCAGTGGCATATAGTTGACGCAAATCATCAGGTTATCACTACCTTAGTAGTTTTTACTATTGACACTACACAAACGAATGAGTTCTTCACAGGCAGTCGTAGCCTAGTAATTGACTTGGGTTCATTACTCAAACAAATTGCCTTTGGATTCCTCTCTCTTCCTCCCCATTGCATTTCCTCCTCATAGAATTCTGTAGTTATCTTTGGATTTCTAGTAATATTTGCTACATTATAGACACTTACGAGGGGTCGGTCATTCCCACTTTATTCTCGTTTTGCATCTATAGTCCAGTATATTGTAGCAGAAGCTGCTTACGTTCTTTTCGTGTTTTCGTAATACTTTAGTTGCGATCCTAGTTTATTCCTAATCCTATCAAATATTGGTGAAATTTTGAATATACCTTTCTGAAGTCTACGATATCTATCTATTATTGAAGGATGTGTTCAAACTAGGGAAGCATGTTGCTAGACATCTAGCGGGGAAGCATAAACCAATTTGGCATCCAGAAACAGATTGTGGTGACCATGTAGTGGTGATAAACTGCCGACATGTCGCCATGCATGGCTTTGATTGGAAGCATACCTTACTTCACTTCAACAGGGTAGGTATGATCTAACATTGGTAATAATGAACACGTCCAATGATAGTCGTCTTAAGGAATATCCAAAATCAAAAGCTGACATACCAGCATGGCAAATACACGAATACGATCCGTGTCGCATGGTGTTCTATGCTATTTACAAGGTATAAACTCCATGTTATGCAAATTGGAGTCTGGACAGGTTTACTTCATTATTATTTAGGCATTGGAGAGAAATTTAACACGTCGTCGTCATATAGAACGGCTTCACTTGTTCCCTGGGACAGATATGCCTGATTTCGTAAGGGAAAATCTTGGTAACCAGGTGAAATATGTTCCTGGTTTTGTGTATAGTCTCACAAAAATAACTAGATCATGTTTATCACCGGCACTTAAAACTCCTCATGGACGTGTCATAAAATTTTTTCCTGAAGGAAAAAACTAGTTTTAATGAAATTACTTCCCTCTTGGATTATCAAGCTAACATGAGATCGATAAAAAAAAACTACTCAGTTAACGTTTCCACGTCTTCGTCTTCCTTAGAGACGATGATGCGAGTCGACGGTCCAGAGTCGCTCGTACTCTCGATCTGGTGTCTTCGTCGCACCGAGTCGGATCTTCTTCAAAGAAGCACCGCTCGAATGAGGCAACCTCATCTATCAGGACTTTTATTACAGGGCGATTCCTGTTTCAAAAAATACTGACTTGCTATTCGCTATGAGCTAGTCAATACAGACTGCTGCTGGATGGATTGTCTGTTGAAAAACAAACAATGATCAAGGTACAATCATCAACAACAATTCTGTACAATACAGCACTGCCAGGTGAGGTTAGCTCATTCGAGCAATGCTCCAGTGAAGATACGATACGATACGAACTCGATACGACGATGAAGACACTACATCGAGAAGACGAACGACTCCATCGACTCGGATCATCGGCTCTGAGGAAGACGAATATGTCGAAATATTAAGCAAAAAAACCTTTTTATTAAACTCATGTTAGCTTAATAATCCAGGAAGGCAATGATTATTAATGCCGAAGTTTAATGACGGTAGGTTTGGAAAATACTGATATACAATTACTTCCGTTACTTTACTTGCTAGTTATTGACCTACAAGTACCAGTGACGATGAAACTCATTCAACTGTTTGCAGTTAGAACAAGTGCAACGTGTACCACGACGAAGCGATGAATATACTGCCGAGGAAAGAGCACAATTTCCGAGACTACTCAGGTAATCCTTTTTTAGTTACTGCTCTTCTATCCATCACAAAACTTCTGAATACAGCAAGAGGTTATTGAATACAGCATTATTTGTACCAAGGTTTCCCAAAAATCACGTGGAGGAATGGGAGCGCAGCATACCTAACCCAGGAACGTACGAAAAATCAAGCTCTGATGACAAGAAAAGGATCTAGTTCAGAACGAAAATAAAGTATATTTCTAAACCCGTCTTATACTTTTGATTTTATGCAAGTCAAAACCAATACTTTATGTTGATTGAAACGATAAAAAACCATGAATTTGTCCTGTCACTTGGAATTATCAAAGATATGGGCAAATTTCACAAAGGCTTTGCTGTATACTGGCGATAAATAATCTGATCTAAGAATACCCAACTGTTGAAAAAAAAATAAAAAGTAGAGTGTGAAAGGTTGAAATATCTCTCAATCTCTTCTAGTCTATAATACGAATACCCCAATACTGTACAGTGATGCCTCCTATCCGAATAAACTGGGCAAGGAATTTTGGCTCAAGTGAAAGACAAGAGACTATCTGGCCAAATGACTGCACTGCATCCTTCCAGTTATCGTTGGGCCAGTTTACTCGCATCTTCTCATCTCCGGCTACGGTAATGAGAAAACTAAAATTTTTTGTACAAACTTAGTAAGTGTAAATGTAGCAGTGAATCAGGACCAATTATGTATATGCACACGTATATATATACATCTGTGTATATGTACACGTATATATACATACATATATATATATACATATACATATATATCGCCATATATACGAATGGCATAGATAATACATATGTTATTTAAACAATCTAGTAACAAACCTCAAATGTGCGCTGGTAAGCACAGTCTTCTGCTCCTCCGCAAGACGAAGAGCACGGGCAGCTAACAACCGTGTCATTGTTTGTATGAACTTGTCTGAGTGTACAACACCTGCCATTTCACGACTGGCTGCAGAATCCTGACCGGCACGTAGAAGGCATAGTACTTGCTAAATAAAAAACGTCCTATGCTCTACAACAATGCTCTCGAAACACCAAATAATCTAGTTATATTTGGCGGATTTGGATTCCCAGAGAGGCTGCAATGAAAGTCGTGGCATGATCAATTAATCTGACCACAGAAGAAGCTTTTTTTGTACAGCCGGCTATTTGGAAGCAGAGAATTACAAATGTGGTTTACTACTAAAAGTTGGGAAGGATTAGATGGACAACTAAATTCAAAATCACTAAATCTCAACGGTAATAACGATTCTCTTATCTATAATCTGTAAATATTACAAATAAATGTGTTGAAGTCTTAACAACTTATCAGTGATAATTCCTCTGCTCCCTACTCTAGTGCCTCACCTCCCCATGAAGCCTGAAGATGTTTATGGATATGGATACGACGTGCAGTACAGGTCCACCGAATACATATACATGTGCAAATATATGTACATATGTATATGGAGCTAGGGAGAGCCAAAACGAGATCTAAAATGTGATACGACGGGGACGAATGGGGCTTACTCATGCTCGCTCAATGTAGTTGATAAGACTTCAAGTGATTGATGTGAACATATCTGTGATTCGACGTATACATCTAACAAATACCGTTGCTTGAATGGTGTCAACAGTCAAATTCCACTCGCATGATAGAATTCGTACCAATTTCCGGTCAACATCTGTCCCTTGTTCAGCGATCTGAAACCGCAGAATAAAAGATAATCTTACCAATTTCCACGAAGATGTGGCATCACATCCTCGTACTCTCATACGACTGTGTAAACGTATTCTCTCTCACTGCCATAACGTACGCGTTTACCGAGTTCTATTGATTTATGAAATGCTAGTTGATAAAGAAGTAAACCTTAGCAATGAACTGGTGTCTTCGTTCCATAATGGTGTCATCAACTCTATCCAATGGTATTAGTGGGTGCGAATCCAAAGGGAGAAAAAATGCGCGTTGACCAATAGGACAAAACAGAACCCGTAATATGTGGTTGCGAAGACCGGCAGACAACTAAATTTTAATACATGTTACATATATTCACAGAAATCTTACTGGTTTATCACCTGGACAGTCGCAGCGATCGCTAAGTGGTAATGGTGTAGAACAAGATGATAATTTACTAGAGATTGACGAATAGCTAACTCTACGAGTGAATCCCGTGAGAAACCCGTGGACTGTAAACAGGCGGGTGGACGCGACTGTACAGTCTGAAGCAAAAATTTTGAAAAGTGTAGACAAATGCATCCAAATTCAAAGCAGTGGGATTCGAAACAGTAACTAGTGTTACTTCTATTAAATGATCCCGTTGAATGTGGGAAGGAGGTGGTGCATCTCTAACGTCGTCCATTAGCATTTTGAGCATTTCATGACACCTAGATAGGAAATCCACCTGGAAGAAAAAGTGTATTTCCAACATAGTTAATAACATAAATAGATAAGGAAGTTGCATACAGATTAATAAAGGTAGACATAGTGCGATAAAACGCAAAAAATGGTGGAAAGGGTCGGACTATTGTTAGAAGTGAAGAAACCACTCACAACTCGTACTTCCGGGATTTGCAATTGCTGACGAGATTCTCGTTCTTTTGGGGCACGCCCAGTTTTCTCAATCAACAATATAGTTGCTTTGAAACGTTCTAATACAAAATTCTGCCATATAAGCACCAAGACACCATGGCGTAATCGTGCATCATCGACGACTTCAACATACCTCATGGCCAACTTAATTTATACCATCTATTCGATAAGTAAAAATGAATGAATTAATAACTAGAATAACGTGTATGAACCCATTTAAATAGAATTATGCAAAGGATAATTTGCTACGATATTAATCCATTCGCAACATCTGTTTTTCGACACAGGCCGATAATTTTTCAATAACTTTCTGCTAGAATTCTTACAACCAACCAATACCCTGTTTCAGATATCCCGATGGGTGTTGCAAAGAAAAGCTATACTTTACACCTAGCATTATGATTTTCTGTCCCACTAGTTCGGCGATTAAATGCACTTTGTATCTTACGCAGTGCCATCAACTGTTGCTAGTGAAGGCATTTGATGCCACCGTCTTGAGTACGCGAGGTCATACTCAAAACACCTTTAGCCTGTGATGTGAAGGATTAGACATGGGGCGTTTAGTGTCAAAGCTTAAGCGCACATTAATTTCCAAGAATGGTGCGCATTGGAACCAACGCGCAACATCGCGCAAGTATTAATACGTGCCGAAGTGGGATACTGTGGTTCTACTCAGTGAATAAGCCTTTGCTTTGAACTGCAATCTAATAACATGGGTTAAATTATTGTTCTCAAGAAGTAGTCAATACGAAGTCTACTTCACAACGCCAAGCGTTTCTTTGGATTCCGCCTTCTTGAGCCTATAGAAGGTTATACCTACACGCACCGTACTCTTTCAATCTGATACTTAACATCGTGCAACGAAAAATGCCCCTCACTGGGTTCTTACTGCTTTTGAATTCCTCGACATTGTTAATTTCAATAGGGAGCAAGAAGGACGAATTTAGCAGCAGTTGATAGCAGGATCAAAACTCCACTTAGTCTTAACCAAGTGAACAAACGCCAGTAAACGGAATCTTCGTATATAAAAGGTTCATGGAATCTGCGATAATTCCTAAATGTTAAAAATGCCAAAGTCGCAGAAATTTGTAGCACGAAAGAGCCGACTTTAAGAGATTTGGGACAATGTATTAATGCAAAACACAGTAAAGAACATTTTTTTGTCACCAACCAAAATTTTCTTTATGCAAAACCCAGATCTCTAAACTTTCAAAGTTTTTCTTCAGGAAAGTAAAACTCGAAGTCCATCAAAATGGTGGCAATAGTGAAATAGTGCATTAACAACCTCGTACCTGCCCATAAAAAACATATTTATTGATCCACTAAACTGTTAATTGAAAGTTTTCCTACGAAGTGTTAATCATCCGCTTGAACGTTTCACTCTTAAAAAAAACTACAAAAATACCTCGAAGTTATCAAAGTTTTGCGAAGTATCCCTATACCATTGGCTCATAAGTTCCCATGCAATGTCGCAGCGTATAAATTTAGAATTTAGAGTATTTGGCAACAGTGAGCGTAACTGTTCGATAATATCCAGTCTGGACATGCGCTCCTCTAACTGGTTTGCATCCCACTTCTCTCGTGCAGCAAACTCAGCAACCTGTAAGGTCTTTCCCAACATGAAATAATAAGGAATACCCAGAACTCTGTACGGTGGCAAACCTGCTCGCGAAAAAATCCTCTGGCACAATTCACAAGTTTTGAGAATGATATTGTCTGCCTCAGCTGACCAGCAAGGAAAGCAGCGTGCATAACAAGTATTACACAGTCAGCATTCTCTGCGGAAGGATCAACAGCTTCCCAATCGTCACCTGTTGTATAGTATTCAGGTCTTTGGGCGAATAACTGTACATTAGGATTGTATCAAATAACAAATAAAGAATAAAAAACAGGTGCATTCAAAATGTTCACACTACGAATGTTTAGAAATGTGCCATTTCACGGATAAGCAATAAAAGGTGGTCATACCGGACATTAGGATGTCCTCTTCAGAATCCACTTTTGTTACAGGTTTCTTACTTTTCGAAAATTTCCGCCTGATAATACTACAAGCCGCAAACAGTAAAAGAGCGCGGCTTATATCACAGCTGAAATAAATGCAACCAAGGATAACATTTGAAGAATAACAAAAAGGGGAAGTCAAAATTATTTCACTAGTAAAACAACCTCTCGAGAGCCATTTTTTCACATTTCTCCAGCGCATCTGGTGATTGCTGTACAGCATGTGCCAGGAATTCGCATAAACCCACGAATCCAACTTTGCCCATTCTTGACTTCGACTTTGTGAACACGAAACAGAGTAGATCGGGAAACTCCTCCTGAATCAGCTCCATGAGTATCGCTTGCACAGAAATTATAGGAATGAAACAAAAGTATTCAACAAACCCCGGTCTACCTTGTCAAATGGAAGGTTAGCCAACACGGTTTCCTCGAACTCCTGAATACCAATCTTCCCAGACAGAACAGGAGCAAACACGAATTCGCCAAAGCGTAAAAGTTCGACATCAGAATAATTTCTAAATATAGTTTATATTTCAAAAAATGACAGTGACAAAAACAATAAAAAAACAATAGATTTGGAAACCGGTAAAAATTGTGACCTCTCCCAGAGGCAGCAATTCGTTGACTTGCAATCAATGATGGTGAAAAACTCGCCTATGGTCATTGCAGAAGGCTGAACTCTATAATACGGTTTAATCGTGTAAATGACACTATTACCAATCAAAATAAGCTGGAAAATAAACACACTCTTCGCCAATAAAATAGTGAGTCCTAAGCACTTCTTCTACATCCTGGTTGAAATGAGATTCCAATACACCCACGACTGTCTCTTCGAGATTGCTGTACTCAATCAACTTACTGTATACAGAGATCTGACGTTGTATGGAACTAAGGAGCTCTTCTACGGGACCACCACCTTCAGTCTAGAAATAACCATACATATACTCCATTACCATCAACAAAAAGCAGTGACTTACCTTTGGAATGTCATCTAGCAATTTTTGTAATGAAGAATATTCGCTAATATAAGGTAACACCGAGAGAATTAACTCTCTCTTTGATTTCTGCATTCGTAGCGACGAATAAATGTCCATAAAAGATTTCATATTAGGAGGAAATGGAAGCTGAAACATGAAGTAAATAAATCCTATCAATATAAAACTACAACTGCATCGGAAAATCTAATGGCATTAAATAAATATCCATAAGACACCCAACTGAGACTGGATACCTCAGAAAAGTAATCTGACCTTGGACAACAGCAATTGATCATGTTGGTCCTGAGAAGTTCGACACAACATTGAAAGGTGAAAAGGCACCATCAACTGACTAAACCTTCCCTGGAAACAGTATGTGAAACATTGATGTAATTGAAACGAAATTGGCTTGCTAGACGACCTGGCTATCCACAAAAAATGCATTCCGCTCATATCGGGCATTTTGAGAACCACATAAAACGGGAGCAAGCCCTCCATCTAGTAAAACTCCTGCGGCATCCACATGTAATGCTCCTACTCTAACTCCGTTCTGTGAATGGAAATGTTGTAAATACAATGGAATTTCTTTTGTTAATTAATCAGACTAAATACCTGTACATTCCAAACTTCAAGAAGTGCTCGCCGGGGAGCGAAAATTGAAAGAAAGAGTGCAGTCTGACTGCCGTTTGTTGAAGTGACCCACGCAACAGCAGCATCTCGATAACCTTTCCATATTCGTATAATCTGACGATTCGGTACCTGAAAATCTATCCATCTAAGTAATCTGAATATATAAGTAAAACTGATGCTGAAAAATCGCAATTATCACTGCGTATGAAACTTAGTAAAATTCAGTGGAAAGTGTCTGGCTGATTGACCTTTCCAGGCTCTGAAGAAACCGAAACCGCCGAAATGTCAGCAACTGTTAACGAACAGTGCAATAACAATCTCGTGTGTGCTTACGAACAGAACAAGTAATTTAACGCAATTCGTTTTCCATTCATTTGGATCACAACAAAATTTGGAAAAATAGCACAGAAACGTAAGACGCGTCAAACCCTCAATACGTAACGGGAGAACATTTCCCCACAGAACACGGCGACAGAGGTCCACCAGTGACAATTACGCATAAAAAGCTACTCATGTCTTCTGTAGCGTCGTCTTAACTATTATAGACGTACCATTCGACTGCGTATGAGATATGACTAAACATAGTGCTGATCGAATGGAGCTTTAGATATCAAGAGCTGCCACTGTTTTTGCAGAACTCCACCCATTAGGTGGCGCATCATTCTGCGGCCCGAATGCCCGATTTTGTATCATGATAACACGTTCATGTGTTCAAGAATACACAATATTTAGGGCCCGCGAAACTTGAATAGCTAAAACAGCCTCTTAGTCCTTAAGTCTACCAATTTTTCTCAGATGTGAGTCATCTCAAACTAAGCGTGATTGCCAAGCAGTGGAGAAACAAGAAAAATCGTAAAGTCAAACGTTCGCAACAATTTGAAGACATTCTCATCACCTACTCAGAACATCGTGTTATGAAATGACGTAGGCTTTGCTATGTTGTTCATCAATCTGTTTGCCATTTCATCCACTCGTACAACTTCTTTTGTTTATGTGGCCGTTCTCTGCCACCATTCTCCACTTCAGAATAACAGTAGGACTATAAACTGCTGCTCACAAATATGGACTGTGGCTGAATTCGAACTCCTATCAACAGCCATCACTGATGATGACTATTAGACAACAATAGTACATAAAAACTTAAGGAAGTGGTGTGCTTCTACGAAAAAGGAGAATATAAACCATTACCTTAGAGGTTGGCAAAACCCTGTGGATATAAATGGTTCTCATTTCAATTAATAAAACATTAAATTATCAGGCATTACATTAATTATTACACATCAGAATTATCAACTTATCAGACATATGTTTAAAGTTGCAAGACCAATATATTTTCGAAAATATATTGGATAAAGGAGTGGCCACGAGACTAGTAAAAAAATCACTGTTAAGAAATAAAACTCAGAAATAACAACAACTGACCCTTCGATACAATGGAAATCCCTTGTGTCCTATCTACATATCCTGCTCATAAAACACTCATGAGAAACTAATGAGAAATTTGCAAAAAGTGTAGCAAACACTGGGATTACCTTCAAATTGAAATTCACAGAACACATGTAGCTCTTATATCCAACACAACGTCCACTTCATAAGAAAAAGGACCTTTAATACTATTCCGCTACTGAAGGACCATGACAATCTGTGATGAAGATTTCGTTATATGAACTAATCTACAAATTATATACAAATTCGACCATCGAACATACAGAACATCAGAGTCTGGACAGTTGATCAAACGAAATTCTGAAGACTTTGTCACGTGCAGCTACAATGGTTACAGAAGTAAGCCAGAAAAATCACTTTCTGTCCGTTCACACAATGAACAAGCCACCCAGTACCAATCTCAACTCGTAAAAGGTGGATCATATAGTCATCTACAATTACTTAAACCACAGCATACATGTACTGCGATGAACAAGTTGAAATATTTCCTTTCACACGATTTCTCTTCACGTCTACTGTGAGTATCCCAGCACTTCTCGCACTCGAGTCATTTCGTCGCATCTGTCATCCACGAAGACCTTCCAACTTCTACGTGTGGTTCGGCGGTGGTTTGATTTTCATTTCACCTTGAATGTCGTAGAATGCAGGTCGAGTCCACTGTCCCTGGAATCCTCAGATAGCCGAGCTAGAGCATTCCAGCTTGAATTGCAGAGAATGACTTTTTTCCCGGACAAGTCCGGTATCAACTTCTCAATCAAGGAGGAATGAGAGGCTTGGTGGACCCGTAGCGCGATCGAATCGGCACCGTGATCGTGATGGTGAGCATCAACACAGCTGTGCTACCCGTCCTTTGACCACCTACTCGAAATGAGTAATTCTGAGACATAAGATATCTTTCTTGATGTGTCTCTGAGGTTTTTAACGTAGAAATAGAACAACTTGCAAGATGATCTTAAAGAATTGAAGAGATTGCTGAGAATCTCACAAATCCACCGAGTAAATGACATACACAGGCTTTCGCGCTCATTTGGCCAATTTAACAGTCTCAACTCTTCATCGTTTTCACGCAGCGAAAAACGACTTCATGACAACGGCCTAGAAATTTGAGACACCTTGTGCTCAACATGGACCAAACCCATAAATAATCACGAGAGATTCAAACTAAAAAACTGTCGCTCTGACAGCATATCATGAAGTAAAGAAACGTTAGTTTGCCACCGTAGAAAGCACTAAAACGTCTTCTTACATCAATCAGCATAACTCTGGCGATATGGTCGACAACAGCAATAAGGCCTCGAGTGACTTCTGTAGCTACTGCCACAGCTAGTCGCGAATCTCCTAGCGTTCCACGAGTAGTGATCACATGAGCATTTTGGGACATCACCGCTTTCTTTCGTGGAGTAGAAGAAATCCCAAACATGTTACGAATACCGAGATGTGGCACGAACTGCAACGAGACACTTTCCAAGAAAGTAATGAGTAAGAAGGAAATACAATATGCAGGAGAGCATACCGATTTGCCGTATTTTACTGCTTCTGACCAAATCCTTTTCTTATCGCTCTCAGTTGTCCATGCAAATGTCGAAAAAACACGATCAGATGTGTACATATAAGTAAAGTACTGAGGAGGTGTAGTGGAACTAATCGTTTCCTAAAATTTCCAATTTCACATAAACACCATGTCCCAAGTAGCTCTTTTGTAAGACTGAAAACAAACGTTAAAAGATGCCATTGAAGCAGTTAAATACTGTTCAAAAGCAGACTGACGATGGATTCCTGTGAATAAAACATGTCGAAGTCCATGGTTTCTAAACAATAGATTTCTTCAGTTGAAATCCTCTTCAAGGATTATCTTCAATCGCACGGCATAAAAAAGATGTCTAGGAAATATCGTGGAAAAAGAATACGCAAAAAATACCCTTTTTCGGGTTTAAGCCGATCGACGTCCAATTCCAGTGTACTCGACAACTGGTCTGCAGATTTCTCACCTTTTGCGATCTAAATGAATACGAAGAAGGCTTGATACAATATTAATCAGCTAGGTTTTAAAAAACTCAATGCACGTAGAGACTAAGAAAATGCAACATAAACGAACATTTATCGACTTACAGCAGTCTTAGCCTTTAGAAGCGTCGAATGCATGCTGACAGGATCTACAGCAAAGAAGTCCGCAGTGGAAACCACAGTAAGCTGTTGAACATATTCTGTTTGATCGAAGCTAACCGAAAGAATATCAGATTCCGAAAATTTTTCAAAGTACAGAAGTGTTCCTTAACTGCGAGCAATACAATAGTGTGTAATATTAACGAATGAGAATAATAACACTAACCAAAACATATATAAGCCCTGACTAACCTTTTTCTGTAAAGAAAACTATGTGGCCGTTAGACATTCCAAGAGTGACTATTAAACAATCCAATGTTTCGGAAATCCTATGTGTTCCCAATCCAAATAAGCAGCCGCATGTTATAAAATCCTGTATATAACGAAAAATCTTAACCATAACCAGCTCAAATATTCGCAAAACCTAGAGCCCTGGCCAGATCGAACCACGATAAACGTATTACACATTGCACCACGGAGGCTCTTGTTCTGCGCTTCTCTCAGCTCTTAAATAATTTTAACTTCTCATTACAAGTTTTGAAACGCCAAGAATGGAATTCAGCTTGGAATCATGTACTCTCAGATCCATTGGGATGTCATATTCACCCAGATGGTTTTCGGGGCTTACGGCAATATTCACCGCGCAAAATGTTAATGAGAAAATTTAAAAATATAGCCATATCCCTAGTTTTTATAAAAATTAGCAACTAAACAAATACACCTACGATAAACGAAGACTATAGGTCGATGTGGTGATATTTTTTATATTTGTAACTGTTGAAAAGAATAAAATATGTAACCATTTCAGACACTGACTTGCTCCGCAAACTGTAACTGGCTGTCTAGTTCCTTCAAAAACCGAATTTCCAATTGCATTTCATCAGTGGCCGACCTAATTTGATTAAATAAGAAAGGTATTAGAACTATGAGAGTATACCAGCAACCTCGCTAGGAGCACAAGTCTTTGTTGGTTAACCAAAAGCACATAGTCCATAGAATTGTACGTGACCATATAGCACTGGGATATCCACCACAGTGGTGATGCATCAACGTTCTCCAATGTAGTTCTCTTAATAAGTCTTAACTTCAGCAACTATTGAACACTGCATCATACAAAGGACAGATACCATGAGTGTCTAGTAAGATGTCTTAGCAATTCATAACCCTAACGGATACCTGCTCGGGTGCTGAAAACTCCCAACCGAGAACACCAGCCGGTTCCTCAGAATCATGGACATCAATCTCATCACTGCTTGAGCTCAAAGATCTTTTCACGAAACCTTCTGGAAAATTATAACCGAGATGAAACATTAAAAATTTGTAAAAGATCAAAAAATAAAAGAAATAATGGAAGTAGAGGACTCACGCGACTCATTATGACCACCACCTAGTAAATACTTTTGTACCTTCTCTGCTAATTCTTCTCTTAAGAATAGATTTCCTTCCAATGAGAATGAAAAGGCCATATAATTAGTGCCTGTCGTATTACTATGTCTCCTGAAGTGATAGTTTCACTTTAATATTCCGAACCGCCTTCAGACCTCTACTCCAAGACGTCCTGCAAGTAACTATAACAAGTTATAACAGACAGAATAAAAACGCTGATTCTACAAGAGGAAGTGACGAGAATCATATTGCAGCTGAAAGATGGGAATAGAGAAAAAGAACCTTAATTACGACATTACAACGTGACTAATTCTCGTCGACTGTCAAAGTGGTTCACATAAAAATCACATAGGAGCAAAGAAACATGCCTTCGTTAAAACTAAACCACGATTATCCATAGAAGTGAATTCTTTGTACAGAACTGAAGTCTAATGCATTCGCTTGCTATAACTTATAATTGCTGTGCAATCACACACGTCCGCGTACCGATTAACGATGACGCCTAATTTCTAGTTTTTGCGAACTTGTTGATTTTTTTTTTTTTGATGGTAAATAGCAGTTTTCGATTATAAGAGGACTTGAGGGCTCGAAAATGTGACGGTAGAAGACACTTTCTTCTATCGTTCTATGGGTATGGGTGGTATGTGTCCTACTATTTAGTAGGTATTACCAGGTTCCATTGTGCAAATACATTGGTGTCAACATATAGAAGGGTTTGCTAACCTATAGTGGTTCTATTTATTTTTATACCCACAAATTCCACGCAATAGAAATGATCCGTCATAGCGGTTAAAATGTGTTTTTTGTTTATTTTATTTTATTTTATTTGATCCGTCTTCACGTTCACTGTGCGATTCCCAGCACTTCCCACATTCGATTCGTTTTCTCGCATCCGTTGTCCACGAACATCCTCCAATTTTTACGTGTGGCTTCGGTTGCTGCTTGAGGATTTCCATTTCGTCTAGAATGTCATGGAATGCTGGACGAACAATTCTCCTTGGAGTCTTGAGAGAGCCGGGCTGGAACGTTACCAATTGGATTGCAGAGAGTGGCTTTTTTCCCGTTTAAGTCCGGTACACCAATTCCTCGACCCCGGAGGGATGAGAACCGTGGTTGGCCCGGAGCAGAATCGAATTAGCACCATGCTCTTGATGACGGACATCACTACCTATGCTGCCCCACCGTTTATCGATTTACATGTCAATATACTTATTTGCCAAAAAAGGTTTCTTATGAATCACACTAAATCCGGAGAATGTCTTTTCTGGTTGCACCGCTCCTACTTCTATGTGCTTTCGATTAGCTATCGAGTGAATGCACATAAAGCATAAAACTTTCGGCGTTGGTCAATCCCTGGAGCATCCGGTATGCATTCGACTTCATCGAGCATCCCTTGAGGTGACTGAGTACATATCTGACCTACACAGTGACTTGCGATGGCCTGCCGATGTATCGAGCCAGTGCTGTAATCTTTCTAGACGAGTATGTTACCATCTGCCGACCCCGGAGAGATGGAACGCTTATGAGAGCGGGGTGCGGGATCAAACTAGTAACCGATCCAGTTTGCATTTCAAGGCACGTCCGATCACTGCGCCATATGCTCTCTATAAATATACACATTGTGGTAAAAAACGGTTCTCGAATCCACGGAACTGAACATGTGAATTGAAGTGTACATGTCAACGTCGACTTACGTCGCCACGTATTTACACTATAGTGCACCTACCGCTCGTTATGGGCCAATGCGTCCCACTTGCCCAAGCGACACTAAAGCAGTGTCGTTAACAATGTCATTTTTGGCAAGGTTTCTATTATTTTCACTTGTTTCCATTAGAGAATGTAGCCACAGGTGAACCTCCATGCTGTTCCATGCCAAAGGTTTACTTTCAGCCACAAGATGGAACTATCGACCCCGTTTTTAGCTTTGATAGCCAAATTATGGCAAGGAATTCGCGCTGCACATCGTTGTTCAACAAAGAGCAACATGCCTCAGCATAATGAACGAAACCTGGATGAACCGAGGAACAAGTAGGCAGGCAGCGCAGTGGTAGTGATGCCGTTGCTACGAGCAGGGCCCTGGTTCGACCCCGTACCGATCCTCCTATCCCCATCTGTCTGGTGTCAGGAAACTGTTATGAGAGTTCTCTGCGATCACCTTTGTTTCCTTCAATCGAAAAAGGATGGCACGTGTTTGTGATGGAGATTTGGGAAGGCACTTGTACAGACATTCATCGACATTTAGAAGACCATGAATTCTGAAGCAGTACGCGAACCCACGGGCAAATCCGAAAACCTGACAAGATTACGGATGGAAAAAACGGATCGATTTCGCATGCTTGGATCAGCAAAATAATAAGTCTCTGTAAAGTAGTGTAAAAAAAAGTTCAAAAATTAATAGAAAAGAAGTGACGTTAAGATCCAAAGCAGTTCATGTTCGGACGATAGTGAACCTTCGATGCGTTCGTCGTACACAAACATACCGAGTCACTTATCATTGACTGACGATCTTGATCATTGACGACCAACGGTCATATTCTACAATTGCTTTATCAGCCCTTTCTTTCGTTTTACAAGTAACAATCTCTTTTGAGTGAACTTCCTCTCGGATGGGAATCCTTCATTGCTTTACCGTCTTCTCATGGATAGGTGTTGTTGAAGGATGTCGAACTACGATTTTCAGTTGGATATTAACTGTCGTAATAATTATTACTCAAAGTGCAAATCAGGTGCTGCGAATAAAAGCACAGCAACTGCTGCCATCCTGAAACAAACCTCAGAACACTATATTGAAAACATCCTGAAGAACACCGGCACAGCGGCTAAACGAAAGATGTGTTAGTGCACGCGCAGTTCACTGTAAAAACGGGCCACTTGAGGGTTAGTGTTGAGCCGATAGGAATTTTTGGAATGTGTACGCCTACGAAACAAAAACAGGGCGATCAGCTCAGTTGTAGTGACACCGTACATCACGAGGACGATTTCGATTCGACCTCTCTTGGACTCACCAAGTCTCCATACCTCTGGCGTCGTGAAGCTATTACCAGATTTGTCTGCGAAAGGTTTACTCTGTGCAATCTAAGTGGGAATGATCTAACGCGGCTATCTCAAAACTCCAGGGAGAATCGATTCGACCAGCATTCGACGACGTTGATAAACAAGACGACAATCCAGAGGCGACATTAGGACTTACACGCGAAAAATTCGATCACCTTCGTGGACGATGGATAGAAGGAATCGAATCGAATGCATGCAGTACTGGGATGCGCACAGTGGACGTGAAAGACGGGTGTTGTAAACTCATAAAATAAAAAAAAATTCCAAGCAAAAATGAATGTGGTGTTTTTGTTGGCGCTGAAGCAGCGACTGTGTTTCCTCAAGTCTCTTCACATTAAACTGCACCGCGTAGACACTTGACCGACGTTCCCATCCAGAAACTTAGGTAAGAATAAACCAATACACACCATTGTTCTCATTTAAAACTTGCCTCATAGTGGCAAATCTCCCTCCGATCCACAAGTGCCGACGATTGGCTGGGGCGATAACCACCAGAGGAAGGCTTCGGCTAGGCTGACCTCCGAGCTCCAAGGAACCACCTTGGCTAAACCAGAAAATCTCTGGTCTGACAACCCCGCACACTGGCGGTGTTGTCTGCGACGTCGGGTGCTGAGAGAGTCGGTGAGTGGCAATCAAATCCCGGGTGGCACAAGACATCACTGGAAGCGGACAAAACGAGCACATCGACGACACGTCATGGAGACTGCTTCTTGCTGTGCATCTGTAACTCTAGAATAGTCTCTTCAGACGCCGATCTATCTTGATACTGCTGGTTGCATTAAATTCCACGTAATCGCTCTACAAGAGACGAAAAGCTGAAAGACCGTCATTCGACAATTAGATGACGGAACCCTTGCCGTTCGTTGAAGAAAATTCCCGTTACGAAATGTCAGAGGCGTTGGTCTTGGCGTTCACCGATCTATTTCGCATTTAGTCACCTTATACGAGTTCCTGTTACCGCGCTTAACCATTCTTCGCCTTATATTTTGGCATCAAATTAAAGTCGGTGTGACCAACTGATGCGCCCTAACAGGTATAGCTAGTGAGCACGAACCAAAGCCTTCCAGTAAAGCAACTAAACAGGTTCTACAACTAGTTGGAGGAAGTAATCAGGGACAAAAAGTCATTCAGCAAGTTCGTTATACGAGGATGGGACTATCACTACATCACGCCATGATATGAAAATGATAGCGGAAAGTTTTATACCAATCTTTATCGTTCTCCAATCCTTTTTTAGGACCCTGGAATCGCCGCTGTTGAAAAACCGCCCCAATTCTGCCATCTAAACTTCGAATTGCCCTAGAAAGCATAAAGAGAGGCACATCTCCAGGACACGATAATATCACCGCCGAATTCCTTAGAACCAGAGCATAAAAATTGCACTTACTTCTCGCTACCCATATAGCATCTTTCCTTCAGAAAGAGAAAATCCCAGACCAGTGGAGGAGTTCGCACACGGCTTCTCTATCCAAGAAATGTGACCGATAGGGCTTTCATAACTACCGTCTAATATGCTTATTGAGTGTACTCTGCAAGCTGTGCACATGTATTATCCTTTTGCGCATATCTAAAACATTGAATGAGGCACAAATAGCAGAGCAATCAAGATTTCGAGCTGAATTTTGCCGAATGGACCAAATCCAAACCGTGTGGCGAATCATAGAAGTCTTTCGGGAGTGCCATCTACCTCTTGTTTTAACCTTTTTCGACTACAAAATGATGTTAAACAGCGTCGAAACACATAGTCCTATCGGCAATCGCCGACGAATGAGTGGACCCGTTAAACGTAGAAACTCTATTTGACCGTTATCAAATATGCATGCGAAAATTCAGTTTTCTCTTCGACTGCTTACAATTCTCATAGGAAAAGGAGTTCGACAGTACGACACCATATCAGCAAAGCTGTTCGGTGCCGCACTGCGATGGATAATGAAGTCACTCGAATGGCAGGAGGAAGGCATATATATTGATGGAAAACTTCTATCAAACCTTCGTCTCGTCGACAGCATCGTCGTCTTCTCAAAAAGTACCAGCGAAGCAGAGGCGATGATCAACGCGCTCAGTGAAGCGGGAGAAAAGATCGAACTACGTATAAATCGGAACAAGAGCCAGTTTATGAAAAACCCATGGCGCGAAGGCGAACAGATCAGACTGGATCATTTTCTGATTTCTGAGACTACCTCGAACGTGTACCTTTGGCGTTCAATGAACACGGAAAAAAAACATGAGGGAGCGATTCAGCAGAAGAAGAAGTCCGTCGTACAAAAGAAGTGATCGACCAGTTAGCGAACTTATAGCTGTGCGCTCACCTTTTCAACTCAACACTGCTGTTAGAGCTCTGTTATTCAGCAAAAACATGGGCTGATTCTTCAATCACCAAGAATACTGCACACTACTCACAGAACGCTGGAACGATGTCTTCTCAAATATGAACAGCACACACAATATTTAGCCGAAATGTGAAGCACTGATCTCGAAATCTATCTCATCCTCGAGACCCAGGAGAACACATCGATAGCGAAACATAGATTAGCCGGCCATGTAATGAGAAGAACAAAAGGCAGATGAACGAAAAGAACTTTTGAGTGGACTCCACGAGGATACAGGCGTCTCCTTGAAGGACCTACACGATGGGCAGACGTGTTCGTAATCAAAACCAATCAGCTGTTCTTGAAGCGGCAGTTATTTCATGAATCACGATATGAAACTCGCATCGGCCACCATGCTCAAATCAAAACACCACCATGTACGACGGCTGCGAGACAAGGGAGCGAATGCTAAATGTGCTGTGGTCCGCGCAACTCGTGAAAACGGACAGTCTAAGTATTCAATTAAGTCAGTCAATTGGTATGAAAAGGTATGGGAAAATAGTTCAATGCATTAGACCTAAAAACCTACAGGCGTTATACCGTTCATTTCCTAGAAACCGAATCGTCGGTGGTGAAAGCGTCACAGACTCACCATGCATTGCCTTCCATTCTTAGTATCTTTAGAGGTGATTGAATGCATGAAGGATGAAAGATAAGGCTCCCGGCGTTGATCAATCCTTGAGAGATGAGTCATGCTTTCGACTTTTCAAGCATAGCATCATTAGAGGGGAGTGAATGCATATCTCGTCTCCAAAATAACTTGCTGGTGACCTCCCGATGCATCGAATCGTGTTGCTATCCTCCCAGAAAAACGCGGTGCCAATTCACAAATCCTAGAAGAATGGAAAGCTTGGTGAGCTCCACGCAAAATATTCAACGAGAGATCACCTGTGCATTGGTGAGTATTTCTAACAACGGCAAGCGTGACTTCCAATAGCACATCGATTTGCGAAACAAGTGCTTCTGCCTTACCAGCCTCGCCTGATGAAGATCTTCGTAGCGCGAAGAGATCGAAGGAATCGAGCGAACAGCGTTAAAATTGTATTGCACTTCACTTCTTGACGCTGACGTCATATTTTCATGACTAACAAACTGGAATGTTGCTGTAGATAAGTCAGAGGAGATGAACATTACTTGCTTGAGTGACACAGGCTCCAGTTCTATCTCTCCGTCGTTGTGTCGGGTTTTTCTGTACGGTGCAAGCGACTTGTTGACTTGGGGCGGTGCTGCTCTTCGTGATTCGCAATAGCTACCCATTCCTCTCAGAGTTCTTCGTGCACGGCCGATGATGAACGAGCTGGCGTCGTGACAGGTCAAACAGCTTTTCCCGAATGTAAGTCGTTTCTGATTAGAGTACCAAGAAACTGGCGTTCTTTACTGTATAGTTATTACTCCATTTCTTAAGTACATTACCTCACGGCTTCCTCTTTCTTGTTGTTTGTTTGTCCAACTTTTGTGGACCACACTTTTGCCTGTGATATTCAAGGATTTTATCGTATGATATCGCATGGTCTTAGTTTTTTTCTCTAGGCTCTCTTTCTCTTGAAGGCTTTGATTTCGACTTTGTATTTCTTCGCACTAATTCTTTAAGTATCTGTTTACAGTTTTAATTTTTCTTTTTTCATTGTGATCTATCCAGTTTTTTATAGTCATTCATTGAAACCTCATGTATTTCTGTATTGCACGTTCTCTTGAATTTCTCAGATCGGCTCTATTTTTGTTAACAGGATGACTCAGAAAAACTTTAATCACGATGTTCTTTTCAACTACATGAAAAAAACAAGCAGATAACTAAAAGTAGTCTGCATAATGAGAGACGTGTTTAAACTAGCTTGGATGGCTCACCCACAAGAATCTTAGTGTTGTTTGATGACAAACCTCAACTGTACGCTCGCAGCTCGTTAACTTTCATCGTGATGCAGCTGGACAGCCAGAAACCACCAAGAGGTTTAAAAACTACTGACCTATTTATGATGCCACTAACCATCCAGCTAATGTAGCGAGCACCAATAGATGTTTACATTCATCTTCTTGAATAGTAAAGATGCTCAATAACATCCGCTAGCTCAAAGGATATTATAACTGTCACACTTTTCGTAGTGAGGTTCTCACTACTTCGTTTTACTATTTTCCGCGAGAAGTTGGTTATGGAAAGCCCGAAAAAGACCTGCTACGATATGGATTTGCTCATCCACATACAGAGCCGCTTGCCAGCCATTGGTGCACAAAACCATTGTTTAGGCCAAAGATAGTAATCTAGAAGAGTAAAGTAAATGAATAGGAATACTTCACCAATGTGACCAAAAAACTGTTTTTTAAAAGTATCCACTTTTTTTCCTTCTATTTTCTGGATTATTCTCACTTTTTTAGGCATTTCATCCAAACGTGGTGCTATTTGTTGTACATTCTCTGTAGCACCGTCGTAATAGCGCTCAATTGTCATCATCCGTTTGTTCCTGAAAATGGTTATGTCACATTCGACGTTCCGGCTCCGTATATTCCAAACACCATTGCCAAGTATAGGTATGTAAACTATGCAACTTTTTTTCCTTGTTTATTTATTCCTTTCTATCTCATTACTTCCAATATACCAGAGCAAAGGATTTTGTAAAAGACGATCTATGGAAGAGTTCAAAAATTCAAGAACGAATTTTTACAGGAGTTATCATTAAAATTCTTTCGATATTTTGTTCCATTCATGGGCTTATTATCGGCTAAACCTTCCTAAGAGCTGAAGGCTAGCCTAGCCTAGCCCATTAGCACAGCTGTTCAAAGGACGCTACTGAATGAAGTTACTTTATTGGAGCGGTACTCCACTCCAGAAGATTCTACTCAATGTCACTATGAACCCGACATCATAAGCACAATTGGCTACAGATCATCGACCCGGATCATCGTGGAGCTTAAGAAGGGGAAGACGGCGAAAACAAAACAGAAAGATAAGAAGAAAAATTTTGGACATGAGAATGTTTGTAACATACGAGTTCCTCCTGTACTTGCATGATAAATTTAGCTCGGTTTTATCTTTCTTAACTGATATTTTCGAAGAAAAACTATCGAAATCAAAAACTTGTGCTGACATTCACTCTTACAACGACAATTACAACGGCATTCCTTCCTATCAGTGGATTCTTTTCAAGTAACTGAGTGAATGAGCTCCTTAATAGATTTTTAACGCAGCGACACACACACACATTAAGTCAGACTGTACCACATACGGTAGCCATAAAGTTGCCAAACCAGAATTGAAACGAAGTGGAACTGGTTCCTGATGGAAAAATTCTAGTTATAAAAGTGTTACCGAATATCGTCACAATGATGCTGAGACTTTTGCAAAACTCGGACCCCAGGAGAGCTTCGAACCTACGATTACCATTTCGTCAGCTCACATGTTACCTACTGCACCTCCGATGCCCTTTGTTTGCCTTTTTCTCAGCCAGTTTTTTGCTGTAATGGTGCTATCAGCAATCACTCGTCAACAGAATGATGGTGCAACACTGGAGCGTCTGGAAAGGGTAGTCGAGTGTTCGCAGCTAGCGTGGAGTTCCAGTTTTGCAAATATCTCAGCATCACTGTGGTTGTACTTCACATAATACCGTACCATGAAGAAAATAATAAGCAATAAAGAAAACAAGGTTAAACGATGTTATCGAATAGTTGATGTTTTGTGCTAGGAATATTTTGGTTTTATTCGTATTTTTGAGCAAACGCGAGGTGTTATTGTTCTTTGTTCACGATTAAGCTGACGTTTCGGCGAATTTCGCCTTCTTCAGAGCCGCTTTTTATGAGGTCTCCACTAAGTATGTCACGTAGAGACCAACCGCACAGAAATCACGTGGAAGTGTAATGTAGGGTTTCTTGTTTTGGTTTTAGGTAGGGCCGCTGTTTTTGTTCTGAGTTCACTTGCGATAGATTGGATGAAGAAAAAGCGAGTGTAATACTGACGAAATAATAAAACCAAAGAAAAACATAAAACCATGATGAAAATGGTGAAGATTTTCCGTAACCCTTGGCTTAATGATTTCTATAACGAAGATGGGGCCTGGGAAGCGCAGCGGTTAGAATATCGTGCAGTACACACACTGTACTAACTCGTCCAAAGTCGCCTTGGCTACCCAAGCCCCACCCCCCTGGTGTTGGCAACTTGGAATCAGCCTTGTCTGGAAATAGCCAGCTCTTGTCCACAAAGGTAGCACCTTCTTACGGTGATGACCTGAATGTGCCTCAGTAGAGTTGTCTCAGGATTCCATCCAGAATATTCTTGGTCAGCACTCAACAATATTCATGAAAAATACGATGTCAGTTGAAAGCAGATACAAAAAGCTGAAGATCTTCACTGATGAAGGATGCTTGAAAACGAACCGAACGAAAGAGGTACTGGGATCTGCACAATATGTGAATCTTTACGAATAAAATGATATAACAAAGGCGACGACACCATTCCTTGCTAATTGGGTAAATAGAATCCTACGACGATCCTGCTAACAAACTAACTGCATCTATGGTTCGTATATTCTGGTCTGAGTACAGAACTTCACAGTGGTGAAATATCTTCAGGTTCCAAGAGTTCATTTAAACCTGCAGTGGTTTTTTCATAATTTCTTGGGCTATCGTTGGTTGCGTTTTTGTTTGTCTTCCATGAGAAAAAAACAATCATCGTCAGAGCGATGATCTCCCTGACTAATCAATAATTTTCTACATGATGGGCAATTGACAAGGGGTTGGTATAAAAACCATGTGGAAAACTATTTATTATCTTCGTATTTTTGTTGAGCAAACGCGAGGTGTTACTATTCTATTTTACTATTGAGAATAGTAACACCTCGCGTTTGCTCAACAAAAATACGAAGAAATTCACTTGGTCAATGCCGAGCTTAATAGAAAGTCGGTCGTGGCAGTTACTATTTATTATGCTATACCTTTTTATTTTCTGCCTACTATAATTTCGCGGCAGGGTACTAAGCGAAATACAACCACAACGTTGCTGAGATATTTGCAAAACTCTGGACCGCAGGTGTATATGGTGGTGAACGAGCGCGCTATTGTCCTTTCCGGGGAGTAACGCGTTCACCACCACACCATGCGGGTCCTTTGTTTCGCCTGTCTCTCAGCTATTTCTATCGATCTTTGCCACAGCAATCACCCGTCAGCGGGAATGTACTATTTATTATTCTTACCGATGCTTCATGAAAGTCGATTTCTAGGATCTCTCGGATTGTTTTCTTTCCAGCTGTGCCGCTGGTTTCGACAGAATCGGCGGCACCGACCGACGAGCTTGTACGTCGTCGGGCCGATGGACTGGCGAGGCGCCAACGTGTGCCATTGATGTCGCCGCCGGTAAGCCGGCAACTCAGGCCAGTACCTAGGAAAGAAACTGTTACTCTTTTTTGTGACATAGAAAGTTTTTCCTACGAGAAATTTTCATTGTACATAGCCATAGAAATAAAATAAAATATGGAATGTCTTCGTAACCAATTTAAAAGCTTCGTGTTTTTCAATTCACTAAGTCGGCCGTTAACAAATCTCACGGTAGCTTTCTACCCACTTATTTTTTGTATAGTTTCCTTGACCACTTGCTATTTTGTTATCCGTTACTGTGACTAATAGCTTCGAAGTATCATCTTTTGTAAATAAGCGCTTACAAAAATCTCATAGTGAGGGATGAAAAAAGACTGACTTGATCATAGGATTTGTTTTTCATTGTTTTATTTTAGCTTATATCATTTATTCCATTTCGTGAATTTCAGTCATCGGGCAACTCTAGCGATTCTGTGGCTCATAGACTTTGCACCATCACCGATCACCTTCAAGGTTCATGGTGGTACGTCAGTGCCATTCCTTCATCATTTTTTTACTCGACGTTACCTTTTTTTATGTAAAACGATAAATTTTTTGAACGTAGTGTAGAAGAACGGACCTATGGAAATGGGATTTTTTACTCTGTTTGCTTTCTACTCACAAAGGTCACTGGTTTTTTCGATGGTTGTTGATCGGATATCTGGTCGAGTTCAGTTCACTGAGGTAATGGGTGTTTTGAGAGAAAAACTAAAAAATGAATGGTGATAGGGACCAGAAAAGCAGTAATCTTTGGGAAATCAAGCATAAAATTAAGATAATTTCAAATGCAATCTGATTTAATGAAATTGGCCAAGCTTGTAACGAACAGTTACTGAAGACGTTTTTAAAAAGTCCTTTTTAGACCCATGCAATCCGGAGAGAGACTTAGCAATTCTTGAACGCAATTAGACAACTCGCAAGAAATTTCATTTTTGAGAACTCCTACGAAGTAATCCACGTCATACTCATGGTTATTGATTTTCAGCACGTTAAGGATAGAATCTCGTTTCAATTGACAAATGAAAACAAAGATAAACCGTTAAAAACGCCACTTAGAAAGGCTCATGTACGATTCTAGAAAAAGCTGCGTGAACAAAGGAAATAGCAACAAAACTACATTAACAACATTTGTTATCGATCGATCACTTTGATCTACTAGATCAACGGAACGTTATGTGCTCATATGTTCTAGTTAAGATTATATTCAATTAAAATCTAAAAGAGTTTAATTAGAAGCTTTTTGAAACAGTAATAAATTAATTTTATGAATAATAAAACGAAAATCATGGGATTTTGTAATGTTTGAGCTTACTACTTACTGCCTATTCTTTTTTCAGAGCAGGGTATGAAGTGAAATACCACCACAAGGGTGTCGAGATATGAGCAAAAGTCGAAACCTCAGCTGAGATTCGAACCTGCGATTGTTCATATCTCAGCAACCTAACGGCAATGGTTGGTTCATATGTAGTGCAGGTGGTTTTTCAGGGAAGTAGAGTTGCTGGGTTCTTTTAATGTTCGCGATGTGGCCGTACGTGTTGGGAAATATTCGTCACCAATCGACAACATCTATCTTATTCAGAACAATGGCAATTTGCGTGTTCGTTCATTTTTCCTTCTCCTAAAAGCATTTTTCTCTGTATAGGAGACCTTCACCTTGTTTTTTAGACTTCTTCTAGTCTATTTCCTTTATGCATTGACGACAATGCGCACTTTTCGCCCGCTATTTCGCTCGTTTATATTTGATTTTTCAGACATCAGTTTAAAAACATGGACAAGAACAATATGTGTATGTTTCAAAATGCTATTAGGCTGTTTAGTGATAGGTTTAGAAGCGTTCTTGGAGTGCTTCTTTCTAACCGGTACTTTTAATAACTCGAAAGACCGACTTTCTATGAACCTCGGCATAAATAGTTGATATATTTATTTATGAGATCTTATAAACTGATCTTCTTAAGCTGACGCGAGGTTGGTACAGATCTTCGTTGTCGTTGTCGTTGTTTTTGATGTTATTGATCGATGGCTGACGTTTCGGCGACTTCGCCTTCCTCAGAGNAATCCGTTTAAACACCCCTCTAGGTACGCATAGGGCACAAAAGCACAACGGCGATGATTTTGAAGTGAATGTGCGGATCCTAGCGCAGGAATCAAAAACATCAACGCGCAAAACTCTTGAGGCGTTTTGGATAAATTTCAAAAATCCAAAGATGAACCGGAAGGACGAATGCCTCACTATCACACGTGACCTGGCGCCCTATTTCAAAATGATATTTTGACCCCGGGGCGTGTCTTGCTCGCGACTCCACGTGAACTACGTGTGGGCCAGTCCCGCACGTAACATCACGGTGAGTGGCCTTTCTGTTCAATATGGCGTCTATTTGAAAGTTTGATCTTCATTAATACTTTAACCTTCTTTTCCACCGAATAATAAAAAGTATTCTAACATAAAGTACGTCCAGGCTCTGAGGAAGGCGAAGTCGCCGAAACGTCAGCCATCGATCAATAACATCAAAAACAACGACAACGACAACGAAGATCTGTACCAACCTCGCGTCAGCTTAAGAAGATCAGTTTATAAGATCTCATAAATAAATATATAACCGGTACTTTGTTATTATGGGATGGAAAGGACTAGGCAAAATTTTAAGACTAGACTAAATGTTAAAAGATTAGCAGTGCAGAAAGCTTAGTAATATATTATTGTATATTAATTAAGTAAAAATATAAGTTTTCCATTAAAAGCAGGCGTACAGGAGTCTGATAAAGTCGTTATCATTTTTCTTAATATTTCATTAGCTGAAATGGTTGCCTGTACAAGTGAAAATCGCAATCAACATCGGCACGGCATCTCAAATGGGTTCCAGAACTTCCAATGTAAAATGATTTTATCAAACCGACTGTTTTTTCTCAACTTGGGGAACTTAAACAGTTTTTTTTCTGTGAGCCATTTTGTACGAAACTGAAATCCGTACAAATCAGCTAACATCTCTACAAGGTTTCCATGGACTGAAACAAGACTAAGATGCTACTCTTTTGGACGGAAATCTTAATAAAAATTATATAAATATCATGGTATTAGAAATAATCTGTGCATAATTTCAGCAATGTGATATTTCACACTACTCTTTTACCGAAAACGCGACCGTATACCTCCCCTGCAGAGTGGATGACGTCACCAAAGTTCGTATTGTTTCTGAATTTCGTCTGCATTTGTGTACTGTCAAAGTATTCGCCGTCAATGCTGGTTCGTCGAAAAATCCTTTTTCAATTCTTTTTCAATTTTATTTTTCTTTTTTACCATAATGTTAGTCAAACAACTCTAAATTTTTATGAATTTAGAAAAGTTATAGTTGTTTATTTGTTTTGTGAACGTGAAGGAAAAAATGATTGACGTGGCGCTGACTTGTAACTAATGCAGCTGACCAATGGTCCAGTACAATGCGTCGCCGCTGTAGGACATGGTGTCTATGTTCGTTTACCTGTCGGTAGGACTAGTGTTGCAAAACAGGAGAAATTTGTGCGTAATATCATGGCGATCACTTGACTTCATATGAAAGTGGTATTGTAGTACGACGAACTGTCAATCCAGAGCATATAGTCGAAGGTTCGAACCCGTTTCAGTTCGGCGTTTTTTTTCCGCAAAATAAGCGAAATTTTGTATCATCATGATGGTCTTCCGAAGTTAGGGCAACTGTGGAAATGCATACCATTGAGATTCATTAGCTCCGATTCATTAGCTATTCTCCTAGTGTTTCATTTTTAATGAAATCCTTCTTCAGCGTTTTATAGGAGAAGGGTCTTTTACTGTTATTACAAGATAAAGCATTTTACGTCAATCAATCCGTTAGGGATGCGCTATGCATTCGATTCCACTCCACTGCCTCCCAATTAGGTACCGATGTGTCAAGTCACTGACGCTATGATCGCAGGTAAATCTGGTACAATTCGCCGAGGGATTGAAGGCTTGGTGAGACCTGGGAGCAGGATTGAACCAACGAGCGATCCCATGGTTATTGTAGACCACCTGTAATCACTTGGCTAAGCGCGCTATTCGATTGTGACTACTTAGAAAAATCTTGTTTGTAAGCTCACTTTTTTGGTGAAATCTCCTCAAAACGTGAGTAATACAGAAACTAGCTTATGAGATCACCAAGAAATCGTTGGCTCTAACCTTTTCGACTGCGCACCACTTTAATGCACTTATGGATTGTTGAGGAAAGTCATGTGCACGAAAAATCACACTGTCGTCGTAAGATGTTTACTTTGTGGAGCTACGCTCAGCTCATTGTTGTCGAAAATCAGTGGTTAGCCCGATCGACCCGGTTGGCCCGGTTGCTCTTCTTACAGCGACAAACACCTCGTGCGCCAACAAACAGTCATCACCACCATTCAGTGGATTAAATTCGGTTTCTTGACCAGTCGCCATATAACTGGAATTCGGTGTAATACGGAATCGACAACACTCGGCCACCATTGTAGGAATACGTTTGTGTACAGGCTAGACTCTACTCACCGATGAAGGGAAGTTTCTAGGTGTCTGGGTGTACTGGTACTTAGATCTAATAGCCGGCAGTAGAAATAGTTATTGTATCATAACATCTTGTGTTTTATTTTCTGCCTATTCTTTTTTTCGTGGCAGGGCATCATGTGAAATATGAAACGAGTAAAGCTCGGAACCTCAGGTGGTATCAATTAACCGAGGCCATTGCTTTGCTTTTTTCTTAGAAATGTTTTAACTCTATTGATGTTGGCTGACGTTTCGGCAGTATCGCCTTCTTCAGAGCCGCTTTTTCGTGACTTCCAATGAGGAAGTTCAAGGAAGTCACGAAAAAGCGGCTCTGAAAAAGGCGATACTGCCGAAACGTCAGCTAGTGTTGTATTGTATTGCCTTGTAGATTGTATATCAGCATGCCCTTCCAGGCTCTGAAGAAGGCGATACTGCCGAAACGTCAGCTAGCGTTGTATTGCATTGTGGTTTCTTGTGGAAGTGAATGTGCGCTGTTTAAAAACCTCGCGATTGCTGAACAAGAAAACGACACATTCATATTCCAATGCCGAGGTTAAGAGAAAGTCGATCCTGGGATCTATTGATGCTATCAGCAATCACTAGTCAACAAAAATCGTGGATAGTACGTGAATTCCCGGAGAAGATAATCGTCGGTTCGAAACCGATCTGAGGTTTTGTTCATATCTCAGCATCATTATAGTTATTGTATCAGTACTAGAAATAGTAAATGTACCATGCATATCTCGACAGTGGTCGTATTTACTATAGAGATATAGAGATACCCTCCATCATCATCACAATCTTGCTGTTCTTTGGATGTTACGGGCACACTGACTTGTGCCTAGACCTGTAGAAACATTAGTGGTTCACTATATTTCAAGCTTACCTATTTCGAATTCATCAATCCAGAGATGAATGGAAGCTTTACTAGAGTAAGAGCGGAGGCATGAAGTTTAAGTGAAGATGAGCAGGATATTCAGCTTAAGGACGAGATCTGAGCTAGAAGGACAACACTGATGTGATACATCAATAGAACACCGCGAGTATAGGTCAAATATAGGTCAAATACAGTACTGTGGAATGGGTAGGGACATTATAGTTGCCGACAGTGATGGTAATCTTCATCAAAATCAACAGTGTCACAAAATTGGGGATCTAATCGAACATTTGTGGTATTTTCCATAAGAGATAGGAATGTAATTGTAAAATCCAGTAATAATCGACTCTGATAAGGTTTCGACTTCATCCAACAAAAACCCTATTAGGAAACCCCTATGAGAATTAAGTTGTGTCTTTGCTGACTCCACTGCCTATCCATCCGACTGCTGATGCTAGCGGCAGTAGTGGTGGCTTGGTGGCGACAGCGATGGTGGAACATGCGAAGGCAAAGCTCCAAAATACGATTCCATCCTGTAGTTTCCGGTTTCTGTATGTAAGCGGTGGATTCGTTTGTCTAAGTAAACACTGTTCTAAACTCGCCTACTGACGAAACAAGAAAGAAAAAAGAAGACGAAAAACAAACTAAAAACCTGCATCCTTGCAAAGCAATCTGTTATAATGGTGCAACACTGGTGCAACGAAAAAAAAAAAAAGAAATAAACCGTTAACAATGACTGACGATGTTTCAGTGTCGATATGGCAATGTTCACAATCGACAACAATGCAGGTGTTGGGTGTATTCGACGGACTGTGCTACAGTTCATCACGTGACGAGAAAGCTGACTGGCAAAGAGCTCAACGAAAATGCCTGGATAGGTAGGTGATGGTCATGTTTTTACGAACGTCGTCTAAATCCTCGTCATTCTGGTGGAATTGCTCCTCATGTTACCAGAGAGTAGAAGAACATATTGATGAATGATTAGGACAGCAGAGATCATTTTAATATTGAGATCCATTCTCGCTAAGAGTTTCTCATCGACGTTCCAGAAGTCCGATGAATTTCAGTCATGGTAATGTTTACTTACTACTTTGTCTATCATACATTGGTTCTAAAGTTGCTTATGGTTATGTTGTTATAGAATTTACTAGTTATTCACTTATTAACACGACCGAAAGTCACATGTTGTGCGAACTTTAACACATTTCTTTTATTGGATTCATTTCTTGCTGTCCATCATCCACGATGGTCTTCGGGTTAACATGTGAATCCAGTTGCTGCTTAAGGACTTGTTCTTGAATGCTGCTTGAAAAAATTCTCCTTGCAGTCATTGATCATTGTGCTACATCATTCCCAATTTCTCAAAGTGGACAGTCCCTAACGTTTGTGGATACGAGCGAGTTCTATGGGAAAGAACTGGTAACTGCTTGCCCATCTGGAAGGTTGACAGATTCAGTTGGCCGTCTTATTTCGACTTAGTGCATCAACTTATAAAATTTAGTTTCAAATTATAGCTATTGTTGCAGAAGTTTGAGAACTTCGGTTATTGAGCAGTTTGGTTTTAATTTGTTACTTTGTCTTTTGTTTTGCATTTTCCATTAGTTGCTTGGGGAAATATCCTGTGAAGGCTGCCAAGAAAGTGGAAAAAGCGAGAAATGAGGACACCGGAATTTTTCTCAGTATTCCTATCATTTTTTTATTGTATATATGAAGTGTCTCCTAGTAGAAGTCAGCGAAGTTTTCCTACATTAATTGGATTACCTAGACATCGATAGAAATGATTGTGATAGTGAAACCCGCGAAAATTTAGGCTTAGACGGGCGTGAAAAGATTTTTTGCGTTTCATCCAACACCCCGGGCCTAAATTTCGTCATCGTTTTTCCTTGACGACAGTGGTTTCTTTTTATCTGTCTCCTAGTTTTATTCTTATCTATGGATAAAGGATGAAGCCGTGGACGTTGACGAATCTCTTAGAGATGCTCCATGCATTCGACTTCATTAAACATCGTTGGAGGTGATTGAGTGCATATCTGGCCTTTACAATGACTCGCTGTGGCCTATCGATGTATCGAGCCAGTGCTGCTATACTCCCAGATATGTCTGGTACCAATTTGTCGACCCCGGAGGGATGGAAAGCTTGGTGAGTTTGGGGTGCGGAGATTGATTGTATGTGTATTGTAGGGCCCCTCCGACCACTGCACTACTCACACCCAATATCTATGGATATAAAACTTATTGCAATGAAATCCTGCAGAAGAATTCTATTTTTAACTAGGATTTAGCTTACAGAGGTGCAACACTTCCGATGAAAATAACCGAGATAGCACGACGAGGTGTTCGATCGGCATTAACTACCGCCGGTCTTCACAGCGACTACTACTGGATTGGTTAGTCCTTGTTTCGTACCTCTTTTATGTGTTTGTTTATTTATTGTTTTTGTTTGTTTTGTGCGGCTTTTCCTTAACATCACGTGACCGGATCGAAATAAATTAGCAAAATTTCTTGGTCTCGTATTCATGAGTTACGGAGCATTCCACTGAGGATGGAAAAGGGTCTAACAACAAAAAAGAAACAACCATCTTAAGAAGAGCGGAAGAAGTTTCTGGAAAAAAAGAAGAAATAGGAGAACAATGAGACAATGTGATAGACATAAACACGAGAGGGAGGGAAGGAGAGAGAAAGGGAGGGCAAGACAGAGGCTGAAAGAATTAGGGGCTTGTTTCCGGATAAAAAAATTGTAAGCTGACCTTATTTTTAGCTTTGTTCAGCGTTTGAACTGATCTTGGTTCACTTCTAAATGCTTTTTGTGGTATAACAACTTTTGTTTTTTGTAGTTATAACTTTACACAATTCTGATTTACCGTAGGAGGCACTTGGTGAACTTTTAAGGTGCTTCCTCATCGCTGACAAACTGGCGTTGGACAGACGGTTCTGTAGTGGATGAGGATGAAGCTGATTGGTCCACCACTGCCATTTTGCCATCAATTCATCCGGAGGCGATTGTGTTAGCTCGAGTAGTTGACTGGAGATGGATCCCATCGACGCAGAAAGTCTGGAATTCGTTTTTATGTCAAAGCAGTCAGTTCATATCCAAGCTTTATCCAATACTTATCGATTTTTTGTTGGTTTTTCGTTTAACCTGATGATTTCAGTGACAAATTGTGCTAGAAGAGCGTTAGAAGTACTTTAAATTATGAGTGGAAATCTGGGTATAAGCGCTTTTTATTCGTATATTTTTGCCTTTCTTTTTTGACTAAACCTCAAGCACTCCCTTCAGTTATGGAAGTGATTGGTTTGTTACGATTTCAGCCTTTACATTAACTATTTAATCAATGTCCTCAATTTTTTTATTTACTGTCTTCTATTTTTTAATGGCAAGGTATTATGTGAAATGCAACCACAATGTTGCCGAGACATTTGCAAAATTCCGGCCCGATGGTGTCTGCGCTTGGGGCCGAGCACGCAATTGCCCTTTCCGGGAGCTAACGCGTTCACCACCATGTTTAATCAATGTTATTCCATGATGTGAAATATTAGTGTTTCCAGAAGCCAGTTTCCACTTCTCGATCAAATCCTTCTCGTATAGTACATAAATGACCATACTCACTGAAGCATATTTCATATTCTTTACGTTTTTATTTTGCTTCAAGGAAAACTTTCTTGCGCTACTTTTTGTTCCCAATAATTTTTCAAACCGACCGTCATTTAACCTCGATGGTAAAAATGAGTGCCATCTTGAAATTTTAGGCTAACAAGAGATTGATGAAGATGTTTATTCGGCTAATGTTTTAACGTCATCTTCTTCACCAGAGCTGACGATTCGAGTCGATGGTCTACAGTTCTCCGTCGCCTCAGTCTTCCACTGAAGATCCGACTCGGTACGGCGACGAAAAGGCCACGTTGAGAAGCTGAGCGACTGTGAACCATCTACTCGGATCTTGGGCTCCTGAGGAAGACGAAGACGTCGGAACGTATAAAACATATAACAGCCTCATTTAAGCTGAATAATTCAGAGGGATATGTTTATTATTTATGCTGAGGTTAAGTTGAAGCCGGTCTAATAACAGTAAACATTTTTGCACTTCGTCGACACATAGAGGTAATGTCAGACGTGGTCAGTGAGAAAACGTTAACACCTAATAGTTTACAAAAAATAATCTTTTTTAAAATTCTTTTAACACGCAGAAAGGTCGTTGTGTTCTCAAGCTGCCGACACACAGAAATTAGGAGTAGTCGCGCATGTGCTGAAACATTTCAGAAGAGTTGGAGATTCATCCCAGATTCTCGTTAATTGTATAGATAACGACAAACTCAGTTTAGCACCTATGGATTCAAAACTCCGGATTAAGAATAGGATGTCTGCTTTCTAATCACGCTTCTTCAAAAGAACTATATGCCATTAATTGAGGTTCTTCAGAACCGAAGTCGTGCACATTTCCGGGAGTCGATGCCGCAGGTCGAGTCTCGTTTACATCGCAGAATTTGCTCATCGGAACTTATGCGATCTACTCGTGTGAGAACGGGTAAGTTCATTTTGGTGTGGCTTCGGACAAGAAACACTAAATTGATGGAGGTCCGATAAGCAATTGATTTCCTTCATATCCATCTGATTTAGTTACGAAATAGACGGTCTTGCTGAGCGAAGATGTGAAGAGAGTGCTCTTTGGAGCGGAAACATACCAAAGTGTAGAAGTAAGATAGTCATACTGTAAACTGAAGAGTGATTCTGTAAGTACTGTAACTTTAATCTAGAGAGAAAATGTGGTCATGTTGAAGAGTGGAATGGTGAAGGAAAAATTCATCTCGTAAATGGTTCCACGGAATTTGGCAGTGAGGTAAGAAACTACCATTATCGATCTTTAACAATTTTGTTTAAGAACTTGCTCTAAAAAAGTAGTACAGACAAAAGTAATTGCCTGAATTATCCGTCATCCTGAGTTACTAGAATGGGCATTTGTAAACTTTTGTCTTTCTAGTATGCCAGAGTGGAACGAGCAGTTCTTATAGAGCCTTTGTTCGCTTTAGAGATAGAGACACCGCGAGCATGCACCTATCTGTCTGGACGTTTTACTTTCGTAATGTTTGTCGTTAGCCACGGGCATCTTAGTGTAGCCACGGTTAGCTTGTTGGAATCCACCTTAGCTTAGGCTTACGCTTAACTGAACTGTTGACTAGAGGTGTCGAACTCACCAGCTATTGTGTTCATGCAGGGGAGATGACGCCTCTCTTCACGTCACAATCACAGTCAATGCAACAACCAGAAATTCCTATTCCATTCATCATGAGATAACAGATCGGCTTACTGTGGTTACAATTTTAAAAAATTTGGGTTACTAATGATAACTATATATCTATATAATCTTAAAGCTATCTATTCCCCTCCCAATGGTTTACCGCCTCATCGTGGCTGGGAGATGTTCCTGGGTGTCGGGCTGCGATCTACAGTAGGGGATTCATCCCCTTGGCAGGGTCTCCTAAGCTGAGGAATCCGGCGTTTCCATCAGGAAGCCTACTAGGAGTAAGCCAATACTAGGATCTACCACCGTACTGGGATCAAAGTCGCATGGTGGCAAATTTTCTGATTCACAAGGGCTGTGACTGCCTATGGTGTTGAAAACTTGGGGCAGAATTTGGCCAGAGTGACCTCGGTTTTCCAGGGAACAATGGCGTAGCCAGCAAATCTCTGAAAAATGGAGATTATGCTGAGGCCCGCCCAACCAGTGAGGACTGGCCGTTCAAGTATCCAGTACCAAATATCAAATAAAGTTATTCGTAATTTTCTTCTCTGTTGATAATTAGGAGAAGACTTGATCTGATTAGGAATTCTGCAACAATAGTGATTCAGTCGAAATTTCGTAGATTTCATGTTAGAGAATGAGGTAGAAATTGTTGAAAGGGATAAGAAAACTGTATAATGAAAAACACCATTGCTTAGATTGAATACGTTTGTCCTAATGGTTGGAAATTGATCGGCGTTGAGCGAAGACGATGTCAAGAAGACGGCTCGTGGAGTGGATCGGCTCCGTTTTGCAAAGGTTCTGCTCTTTCACCTATCACCATAACATTTTAATCATTTCGTATTTAACGCGCCTTCTACATAATATCGTTAAATAACACTCTCGTTTTCATCTTTTCTCTCTTAAATTTCTTTATACACTACAGTGGTAGATTGTGGAGCACCGCCCACAATATCGAACGGACGAGTTTTCACGTTGATGACAATATTTGGATCGCAAGCGAATTATTCTTGTCTTGATGGCTATCGTCTTATCGGTCATGACATTGTGACTTGTGGTTCGAAAGGAATTTGGGAGCCGGCAATTCCTGTCTGTTACGGCAAGTTTTTAGGATGTAAGATAAATCTATAGCAAAATTGTAATAGAAAAAAGGTAGAATTGGGTTGTATTACTTACGCCATTGTGTATTTTACAACAGTATATTTCTTGCATAAGAATAAAGAGAAAATTTTTGTTAAAACTTCTTTAAAAGTAGACAGAAGTGGAGGTGACGTTCTGGTAGACGATACTCCGATGTTATTTATTGCGATGATGATTTATGATTCTTTATTTAAGCTTAATATCCTGGCTAATATAAAATAATGATACTGAGATATTTGCAAAACTCCCGACCGGAGGTGTTTGCGGTGAGGAACGAACGCGCTATTACCCTTTCCGTGGCTAACGCGTCCATCAACACACCATGCGGACTCTTCGTTTCGCCTGTCTCTCAGCTGACTAATCTTTTCGGAAACCAAGTCGTAACATTAATAACGTTTCTTTTTTACTGTCGAAAAGAAAAAGACGCAAATATTTATTGAATGGAAGTTTTTTTATGGTAATAGCGCTTATGGTCTTTAAGATATGATAGCATTACGTGAACTGAAGACCAACACCACGGATGAGAGCAGTGTGGTAGGCATAACGGTGGTGATCGTCGTGATCGGCGTGTTGTTGATGTTAGCCGTTTTTCGCCTCTCAAGAACATCAGCATCAATCGCTATCACTGATAAGGTACGATGACGTCATTCATTATACAGTATCTTGTTTTCTTCACTAACATAACAACTATGTTTCTTGCCTTTTTTTTCTTGGTCATTTACTTCGTCAGATTTTGCTTATTTTATCGTCTACCAATGAAAAGCAGTGGAAATATAAAGTAGCAACTGCTGCTTTTGTTGGAAAGTAATATTCTTGAATTAAACTTCCCGTTGACGGATGATTGTTAATGGCACCGTTAGGTAGAAAACTAGCTGAAAGAAAAACAAAGTATGGGCCTTAGTGGTGCTGTGGGTAACACGTAAGCCGCCGAAAAGAGGAGCCGCCGGTTCGAATCTGGCCTGAGGTCCAAGTGTTGCAAATATTATTTAAATGGATGCCACTAATACCAACAAAAGAACCTTTCTGGGAGCTAAACGCTTTTTTCAGCTACATATAAGAAGTTCTCGTTGATTTGAAAGAGTCATCGCTCGTCCAATTCCAGTCATCGACGCCTTTTGGTGCTCCCGGTTTGATTTACGTCGCTCCGCCAAAGTTAACAAATCGATCGGCGGACTCGTCTGTCGTTTACTATGCGTCAAGTGGTGTACCGTTCGCAAAAATGGAAATTCCGCCACATTTGCTGTCATTGAAACAACTTCCAAATGGAAATATTGAAGCGACAATGCCAATCGGTCAGTTTTCCTCTAAGAAATAGCTGAAAAGTCGAAAGATTGAGAAAACGGGCAATGCAAACAAAATTTGAACGCAAATGACAGCACAGCACTGGGTTACGAAGCACTAACAGCGGAGTGCATATGGTCAGTTGACCTTTCGGTGAGCCTTCCATCTCTCTGAATTCGGTCAACTAGGAGAGATTGGGGCCAAAAGCGGACATTCAGATGTAGTTAGTTTCGGGAGGAAGGTGACCGGGAAGTTCATATGAGGCAGTCTTCCAGTAAATAAGTCCAACATGTAGCAGTACGAATTAAACAAGGTAAGATCAATGAGAATAATTAATTCACGGGGAGGGGGTTGCGGTCAATATCAATCAATGGTGTCTATATGATAGTGGAATCTGCCTCCATAATGATTTCTGACACAATTTTTTTTTTGAAGGAAAAGAAGAAATGACAGAAAGTCTCGACAGATTATATCTGTGAGTTGTGTTCTGTAATTGTATTTTGTTTGTAGGTCGTCCACTGATTCGTCCACAAATGCCAACATTCGCTCCATCACCGACACCATCGCAGTTGCTTTATTCATTTGACTACGAACCGATTTATGACATACCGCCTGATATGAATCGCTCAGAGAACAACCTTCGGGAAGAAAACATCTACGAAAAACCACCGGACCTTCAACCAAGCACTAAGTAGTTATGTTCGGTAGCTGTTAGACCGGTGCCTTAACTGGCTTATCAAATCAATCGATATGAGGGAATTACGATTTAATATTATCGATTTGACGTGATTCCTACACAGTCGAAGAATCCATATATTGACTGTAGTTCTAATTTTTAGACGCTAATGTTGAAGAGAACAGGTTAACAGACCATGAAAACTGTGATTTTGCTCAGCTTTATGGGATTTGCTGAACGATTGTATGCATTTAATAATAGAGTTTATAGTAAACAAGTGACTTCACTTACCGTACCTGGTTACGGTCCTTCCCTTCAGAGTGCAATAGCTCATCGCTGAACTTTTCTTAGTACTGTAGTTATAGTATTTTTGTGTTTGCTTTACATCGTATGACTGTTTTTTCCCTTACACCGTCGTCGTGATATTTCTTCGCTTCAAGTAACAACGGGTCACATTTGCGTTTATATTTACCGCCAGATCGTTCTTTCGTTTTATGGTACTGACGGTTTGTATATGAATAAGATGGTTTGTTTGGTACTGGATTCCTTACAAAACATATTTTATGGCTTAAAAAGCTTAAAAAGAGGGTATTTCAGGTGGGTAAGGATGTCCAGGATTTTAGATTTCTCTCGAAAATCGTCTTCTCCTTCTTCTTTGTTCTTGTTCAGAATTGAGATCATTGTTGTTGTTATCTCTACTTATTTATTTGAATCTACTTGAATCCTTTGATGGCTGTTCTTCACGAATAGAGCAGGCCGACACCATGCCTTCCTTTTGTTTTGTTACCATCCGCGATCCTCGTCCACTGGCTCTCTCTCATTAATTGAATCCCCGCTTGCAGAAGTCATTTAATTCAACTGCGAATATAGAGCTGGTTAACGTGAGGTGTGGTAGGAATTCCGTCCACATTTTTGTAAATGATTGCCCAACCTGGGTCACCGTGCGCCCTCTTGTTGTCCAGTCTGCCGTTCTAATCGCCTTGTCGTCGACTCTTTTTGTCTTCGAATTTGATGTCTATTGTGACGATTTGTGAAGTTTTTGAAAGCTAGAGGTACTTCTCCCAAGATCTAAACTGAATAGTTGTCTAGCTTGATGTCGTGCATATACTGTTGCTGGTTGTTATTCAGGTTACATCTTTCACGCATTCTGTGCTCGAAGTCGTCTATTCTGAGTATGAGTTGTGTTGATAACTCCAATTTCTGATGATCTGACTGCATACTGTCGGTGTTGTAACTCAGGACTTCAGTTAAACTTTAGTTAAAAGTGAACTGTATAGTAAATAAATGCAGATATACGACAGGGGATAAAGCATTGATGTGTTCCTTACGTATCCGTAGCGTTGTAGAGGTGACTAAAAGACTCGCCCTACACAGTAACTTTTGAAACATACTGTTGTATGAAGCCAGTGTTTTTCAGTCTCTCAGGCAAAACTGATACTAATTTGAAGGCCCTGGAGAGACTAATGGCTTCATTTGCACGGGATGAGGAGTCCAATTTTGACTATGTTCGTAACTCAAGAGGGTTAAGATACACTTATCTCATCCATGTAAGACTGAACAGCTCGTCTCCAAACTTAACCTTAGGACTTATGAAGAATAAAACGGTTGTGAAGAAAGCTAGATGCCGAAACGGCAGTTGAGAATGAATAAATACTGTAATGGCAATCTCATGTTTACTCATCAAGAACACAGGGAACTATTGATCAATCCCGACTTAAAAGAAAGTTGATCCCGAGATATTATAGGGTTGCTACAGCCACTGCCCCGCCTTCAAGCAGATACAAATGTAAAAGTATCGTATTGCGTTGTGTGCTTCTGTGTGCTTCCCAGCCATACATGACACACTGCCATTGACATAATTAGATGTAACAAGTCGTGAGTAAATATGATAGGTTAGTATCTTCTAATCACTAAAAATCTGTTAATGTAATCGAAAGAAAATTGTCAGGAAACCATATTGTACACATCGAAAAGCGTAAAAAATATCCATAGGGAGGATGGTGACCAGCTGTCCAAACAAGGTGTCTATTTGAGTCATCAAACGTTTAAAACCATAGTTTAGATAGAGTAATCAGCTTCTGATTATTGTTCCAGAGTGCTATCGTCTGCGGTGATACGGCATCAGCTGTATCGCTTTTCCTCGCTTTGTTCGTCGAATGAATTAAACTGGCATCGGAAAAGTCTTAATTAGTTTCTTAGTGTGTAAGAATTGCTTAGTAGGTTCTTTTCGAGAGAGGAAATCAAAAAGAATCACATGCTCCCTCAAGGATCTTCACGGAAAAGGCTGGCTATAAGAGAAGCAACGCTAGAGACAATAACTCATTGCCCTGAAGCTACCTTTTGTCATTTTTATGATCACTATGCAACTAAGCTACAAGTTACTACAATGACGATTCTATTGGGTCAACCATAGTTGCTATTGTTCACTTTCACCCAAAACATTTCCACGAAATGTAGGCAAACTGATAACGGAACGGGGGATGAATAAGTCTCCGCGAACAGAAAAGTGGTAGGAAAAACTAGTGGTAGGTTGGAGTATACAGAGTACTGCATTGCTTGGTGGAGTGGGTGAAGTTTTGATAACACCGCGCTGCATGGACGGTTGAACGGAGAAGTGGTTTAACTACAAATGATAACTGCACGATAACAAAATTCGCTTTTGCAAATGAACAATTGCAGGAAACACCTCAGTCAGAGATGATCGCTGCCACAAACGCTGTACTTAGTCAGATTACTGGTGGTACCGTTAGGGTAAAAATCTGGTTGAGAGAAAGGCATGGCCAAGGCCTCAATGGTGCAGTGGATAACATGTGAAAGGCAGTAGAGAAAAGTTATACATAGGTGTCCTCAGTGTTCAAAGTTTTCGCTGCAGTATTTTCTCCGTAGGACCAAATGATTTTCATCGTGTACATTGCAATGATTCTTGTCACCTCCTTATTAGTAGCACAAAACCCAGCGGAGTACCACCCATGCGATACTGTCGACCAATTTAATTACGCAAACAAACCTCTCCGAAGAAACGACGAGTCTGGCGAGGTGATTCACAAGGGGCAGGTTGTTCAGGAGCACACCAGCTGATTTCTCTGAGGAAAACTCGGGTAATTTGGACGTGAAAATGGTTCTTCTGTGATTTTCCAGTTATTACAAAATTTTTTTTCTTGCATAGGATTTTTAAATAAAAAATTTCTCATCATCAGTTCGTTTGTGACTGTCTAGGAGAATTTTTTATCATAGATATGCAATGACGAAATTCTATGCATATCGTATTCTCGTAGTTTCATCTCTTGTAGCTTTAATAAAATTCTGAAAAAAATCGATAAAAGGATAGAAGAATCTCGCTGTTAGTCAACCGCTGAGTATTACGCCACATACCTGATTTCATCAAGAAGCGTTAGAGGTGATTGAACCGGTAGAGGTTTATCTGGCCTATATATTGGCTCACGATGGCCTGCCGATGTATCGAGTCAGTGCTGCTATCCTCTCAGGCAGGTCTGGTGCCAATTTGCTAACCTCGGAAGGAAGGAAGGCTTTATGAGGCAGGACGCGAAATCAAGCCCATGTATATTGCAGGCCGTCTGCGACCACTGCGCTGCACGTGTCCCTTTGTAAAATTCAATAACAGTATAACTGGGATTTAAAATAGTAGAAACATGAATTTATCTTTGTTCAGTGGTGATATTGTATTTCATGATGATAACAAACCCTGTTGATCGGTTACAATCCTGCCGAGTGGTTTTTGCTAGCGTTTCCATCGGGACACCTTCAGATGACCCGATCGAGTTTCTGCTTGCGCTCTTTCAGTTCTAGTTCACGTTGTTTCACTCTGTTGTCGTCATTCCAGCTTCTCTTTGAGGGTTTCTCTGAGGCATTTGTGTACATGGAGGGTGAGTGTGTGTGCCTGTCTGGTCGTCCTTTTATTTTCAACACAGACTGACCACCACCACCCCCACCTCGACCACCAGCACCACCATCACAGTCCAGCGCCCACAAACAGTGATCCTTTCGTCAACACATTAACGCCATGAACATGATTATTCTCACATTACTACTCTTTAATAGAGGTAATATAAGAGATTCTCAAATACAGTTTCCTGGAATGCTGACATTTCTGGAATTTTCCAGTTATCTTTTAAGATTGTTCATCTTACACTAGGTGGTTACGAAACTCAGTCATAACAACTTCGTGTAAGCTGGCAGAGGTTAAAGCACGTTCGATTTTGTGAAGGCTTTTCAGTTCCTTCAATTTGAGGAGAAGGAGCAAGAAAAAAAGCGTAAATGAGTAAATTAAGTTTTATCTACTCTCCAAGCTATCTTTAATACAACTTTTCATGGAACGTTTACATGCCTTTATAAAATATCGAATTTGAAAGAGAACAATTCTTATCAAATTATATCGTTTCAATCGACCAATACGAAAGTTTTGCTTAGCGCAACACTTCGTATATTTCCATCAATATTTCCTTTTAATATTAAAAATCGTATTTATTTGTTACCTCCTTGTTATTATTTTTTCCATTGACCAACTGTCAATGATAAGACGCAAACTAGTTGATAAGCCTAGATTTCGAAGAATGCTCATTTTATCTTCTTTATATCCATTTCCTTACAGTTTCCTCACTTTTCTCAAAAGATTGTAGTAGCACCGTCATCGAAAAATCTCCCCTTTACTCTCCCACTTTTATATAATGTTATTGCTATGTTATGTTTATCTATGCATCTGATATTCGGAAAATATATTTCTAAAATTAATTAGTCCATAACAACCACAACGATGCTGAAACCTTCAATAATGCTGAAATCTTTGTAAAACTCCGACCCGCAGGTATCTGCGGTGGGGAGCTAAGGCACTATTACCCTTTCCGAATGCTAACGCGTACACCACCGCACCACGCTGGTTCTTCGCTTCGTATGTCTCCCAGCTAGTTCTATAGCTCAGTGCCATTAGCATCGTTCCCAACCGTAGGCACCTGAGGTCTGGAGTTTTGCAAATGTCTTAGCATCGTTATGGTTGTATTTTACATAATGCCCTGTCGTGAAAATTGTAATAGACATAAAATAATGAATAACAGTTTGAAAAGGTGCTACAAAGCTATTGCGGCCTTAAAATTTCTGGAGAAAAACAAAAGACAGAAAACACTTACTGTGGAAGAAATTTCATCTCTTGGAAAAAAAGCCCTCTTAGTCAATTACTTCTGAAGTATTTCTAATGGATAGCCTACCTTATCGCCAACATTTTTCAGTTACTAAAGCATCGTTGTTATTTCGCAGCGGTGATCAGAGTGTTTTAATCGGATGGCCATCGGACCAGATGTCGTCAAGTGGTCATCTCATCCAGCACACGTATCCGAACCAACCTTCGAATATCGTCTATCAGCCAGTCGTGTTCGATTTGTCGTCGCTGTATCGAACGAATCACCTTGCTCCTGTCACTCCCACCAGTACTGCTAGCACGTCTTCTGCAACCTTCACGACCAATGCTGCTGGAATGGCACCACAGTTCGCCGCCTACCGGATACCAGCAGCACAGGTGAAAATCTCATCAGTAACAAAAGTAAAAAAGCACAGGTACTTCCAGCCAACTGTCCTTAAGACAATGACGCTGAGATATTTACTCAGCTGAAAGACAGGCGAAACGAAGGACCCGCATGGTGTGGTGGTGAACGCGTTACTCCCCGGAAAGGACAATAGCGCGTTCGTTCCCCACCGCATACACCTGCGGTCCGGAGTTTTGCAAATATCTCAGCGTCATTGAAGTTATATTTCGCAATATATCCTGTCATTAAAAAAGAGTAGGCAGTAAATAATAAGTTGAAACTGTCTTTAAGACAAATCGTCCTGACTACTCGTTTTATGATGTTGCACCCGACTTTTTGAGAATACAATACGATATGTGTAAATCCCTATTGATTATCATTTAAACAAAATGTTCAATATCTCTATTATGAAATCAATAGCTGTAGAACCTGTGTGGTCACACACTTAAGTTATGTGCAGTTCGACGCCCACTCTTTAATACACACAATTTGAATAACCGAGTGGATTAAGTTGACTTTACACCATCAAATTCCACTCGATGGGAGTTCTTTAACGTTTTATTATGATCGTTATGATTAAATATCCGATATAAAGTATATGAGGTTTTCAGTTGCAAGATGCTTCATATTTTTTAAATTTGCGGTTTTCGAGGGTGGAAATGTGATAGTAAGTTCAACTCTTCGTCTAAAAAGCCCTATTTCTGAAGTTCCCCTTTATGAACAAATTCTCCTAGTCAAATAAAACGCATCTTTTCAGACGGATCAGCAAAACTTGGAAGAATACAACAAGTATCTCACGATTTTAAGAAACGCCTACGGTATCCAATTACCTGGCGAACTCGAAGAAGCAGCGCCAGTTCAACCTGACTACCAACTATCTGCTTATCCAACAACCAAAGCCGCAAGTTCTGAAACGGTCGCTGTTCCCTGTACTCCAAGTGCTTCAGAAGTATCGTCGAAGGCCGTTAATAATGAGATTAATCAGCTTGGATCCTCCTACACCACAAATACTCCGACATCTCTACCACAGTATCACGCTTTTCCCCAGACTTTACCTATCTATGTCTCACCGCAACAGCAGCCGTTCGTTCATCAGCAAACTGTACAAGTACAACAACTTCCTCAAACTCCATCCTCCTCTGAGGTATATTCACAAGCCACCTATTCTGAACCTCAAATCATTCAACAGCAGAATCTGGTTTCGCAGCAGCAGCAGTATCAGCCAACGTATTCTATCACACCGGTAGCTCTTCCTGCTTTACATTCTCATGAGTCCGTTATTCATCCATCTTACACGGTAAAGACACAACCACAGTATTCACAACTGGCAATACAGTATCCTGGACAGCAGACAGTACAGCATCCTGTAGAGCAGATTTCTTCAACTATTCAGCAACCACAGTATTCCTTGCATTCACAAGTCCCGCTTCAACCTTCAATCACCGCCGAAACAACTCATTCACAATCGGTAATACTATCTACCATTATTGTCAAAATGATTTTTCAGTAAACGCGATCAAATTGGTAACAAATTAGCATTCAGTAAATTAACAAAATAAATTTTTTTAACAAGTTTTTGATGGAGAGAAGAGAATATTATATAAAAAAGCAATGAAGTAAAAGTCAGAAGAGAACTTTGTCGCGAAATTTTTAATGTTCACTTTCAGATAGTTCCTTTATCTTATCAGAATGGCGCTCTCTTGATCAAACAAATACTAGGCGACCGGTCAAAACCTCAGGTAGTGAAAATTAGCGGTTTTTTTGCACATCTCGATATCACACGCTGTGCAGATTCCAACACCCCTTTTCACTTAGTCCATTTCCTCGCGTTCCTAATCTACGAAGATCTTTGGATTTGCTTACGGGTTAAACTGCTGTTTGTGGAAACATGTCTTCCCTATGAATGTCGCTGATTGATTCGATTCTCCCTTGAATCCAGAGATTGCTTTCTTAGCGCGTTCCCAGATGGTTAGGAGGGTGTGGGCTTATTCCAAACAAGTCTGTTAGCAATTTTCCGATTTCAAAGTAGTGATAGGATTAGTGGCCTAGTGTGGAGTCGAATATGCCTTGTTCCTTCTGAATGGCATCACTGCACTATCCACTGCATCAAATTAATATATCCCTAACAGCGATAAATCATAGGTGAAGTTAATCGGTCAGTTAAAATCAGCACAGTATAGATGGACCGAAAGCAGTCGGTGCTTTCGTTAGGGAATACCTCAATGTTTGATGGTGATTTGATCTCAAATAAGCTTCAGTTTTCCAAAAATACTACTTTACAAGGGAATTTTATTGCCAGAATTGGTTTAATCATTCCTCTGTTTTTAAACTGAACTTTACCGTGAGAAATAGAATAGAGAGCGAAATTGCTATGACATTCACTGTTTAACATATTAGTTGAATTGTTAGCGATAGTGACCCTTAAAGTGTCATTGATGATTTCCTGGGCGAAGTGGAACCCTCAGGAACGGGCACTAGTGGGCAAGATGGTCTTGATGTTGGTGAACCGCATCCGGAGTATTTTTTATACCATTTGGTCTCTGCCTTTCGTTTATCATTAGGGTTTCTAATGAATTCACTGTATTACCACAAAATGGCTTCATTTAGATATACACCTATAGAGGCCACGCAATCAATAGTCAGTCAGTGATTCCTACATACAGGTAAGCACAAAAACAATATATGAATATCACCGATCAGACTGATCAGATTTGTGACGATTTCTTTCCTCTAGCTTTCTCAAAATTTAAATATCGGAAAAATTCAGAATTACAGCTTAAAAATTGAACCGAGTTTTATTTAGTTAAAAAAAACTGACCCCAGGGAAGTTAAGTAAATGGCTATTGTTCCTGTACTTTCTTGCCAATAAGTTCCAAGACACTTCGTTATCCTTGCTGAAAACTTTAATCATCTGGTTACTAGTGAAAATATAATCTGCCATCACGTTGACTTTAAAATTTAACGAAAAAGAGAACGGTTTTTCTTTCTTTAAACAGACTCAAACAGACGAAAACAAAATGATAATTTCTGCTATGATTTGTTTAAGCTAACCATATCGATCCAAGAAACGGTTAAAGTATTAAGTCATCTAGTCCATTCAAAACAAGGCCTTCTATGAAATGAGCCATCTACTTGGTCGTTTGGTATGAACACTTCATAGAGTGCTTTTGAAACATGGTTATTTATTCCTATAAAGTACTTTCTTAGTGCTATCGACTCTTGAAATTGTGCTAGCGCTTTTCACTGATCAGCACGGAATTCGCATAAATTTTACTGAAGACGGTGAATTCCGCATTTCTAAGCTTCAGCATTCAGCTTCTAGCAAAGTGCGCCTTTATTCCTACCAGTGCCATAGAGTTTCCATTACTTTAGGCACAAAGTAATCAAGCTTAATGACGTGAATCATTGGGTAAGAACGTTCACTACTAAACCGTTGTCATCATCTCCACGTCGAGCTGAAGGCATCCACAATGGGCTCTGTTTGCTCGACGGCTACGAAGAGCCTCGTTCTTCTGCCACGAGGCGTTTTATTTTCAATTTTTTCAGTGAGAAAATAACTACTGCTAGCTTACTGGGCTCTATCTTAACATATAAATTCTCTTAGTTATGCTTCTGAATGTAAATACCAATAAATAATAGCAGATATCATAGACAAAAAAGCGCATGTAGTGCAGTGGTTAGAGGCGCCGTGCAATACACGTGAGATCGATCCCGCGCCCCAGGCTCACCAAGCCTTTCATACTTCCGGGGTCGGCTAATTGGAAACATTGGTAGGCCACCGCGAGTCATTGTAAGGCCCAGATATGGGTTCAATCACCTCCAACGATGTTTAATGAAGTCGAATGCATGGAGCATCACTCGGGGATTCGTCAACGTCGAACGCTTTATCCTATCCTTTTACCACAGACAATAGGCAATTGGTAGCCAGTGGATTTCCAAATGGAAGAAATATTATCACGCGATGGTTGGCCTTGGTGTTTTTGTAAGAAAAGAAAAATTCTGTACGGATACTATTCAGCACTGACGTCATTTTCACGACTGGTTCACATCCACAGCAGACGGTCGGACTTCAATCGAATTTGGTGGCTGAGTCGACGGCAGAGACTCAAGGAAGCATCTATGTGGGTGAGGTGAATAGTATAGGTCTATTAGTTACATAGAAGAGAGATTTTTCAGAAAAAAAAACTGCCCTTTTGATTTCTTAACGTACATCTGGGAGTTTCAAGCATAAAAAACTGTCGTCCTCTGGGAGAATCACGGACAAATTCTTCTTACAATAGAATTTACGCAATCAGTTTTCAGACCGAGAGCATACACAACACGATCTTCAGCTCCTACGCTACTACGCCGTCATATTGGCTTTCATCTGAGAGCAGAAAAACCACTGCTCCACAGTCGACGACATCTCGTCCGCATCCATTATCAACTAACACACAAACACCATCCAACACAAACAAGTCGCAGGAAACTGTAATCTCGGCACAGTCACTCGCCAGACAGGTATTAACACAAATCTGGTATATTCGCGTTTATACACACCTCTAAACACCAATAAAATAGAAAAAACTGTAGGAAAGCAAAGTAGAAACACTTCTGGAGTACCTTTAATTACAGACGAATTCTTAATGCTATGAAATTCATCTGGACACTTTCCAAATCTTACTCAATTCTAAAATTCCGACAATCTACGGCATCATGTTGTAATAAAATGATCAAACCTTAAGAGATGCGCCATGCATTAGACTTCATTAAGCATCGTTTGGAGGTGATTGAATTCATATCTGGCCTTTACAATGGTGGCCTACCGATGTATCGAGCCACTGTGGCTATCCTCCCAAACAAGTTTTGGTACCAATTTTGCCGACCCCAGAGGGATGAAAAGCTTAGTGGATCAGGAGCGCTGGAATCGATCTCATCTGTGTCGCACGGTGCCTCCGATCACTGCGCCACACGCACGCCTGTGTTACAGTAATAAATCGAAATACATGGTCAGCCGAAAAAAATAAACCGTAACAGGACTGTCGTATATGGTCGTTCGATTAAGTGTGTTGTGTGAATGCTTATGTCAGTTGTCCTACAGCATTAACACATAACGGACGATTAATAGTAGCATACATATCACTCATACCAAGAAAAAGATAAAACTAAGTGTCTTCTATAATCCTGTTGTATTCGCAACTCCTTAAGTACTCTAGTTATCCAGAGACTATCGTTTATTTTCGAAACATCACCATGGCTGTAAAAGGTGAAAATTAGGCGCCATCGTCACAAGCAGCACAGCCGTTAACCCTTTCACGACAATGCGCATCATTTCAATATTTACGTTGCTGTACGTTCCAGACAATACATATTGATTTCAATGCGCACGCTTTTCTTCGGCCTATTTTGCGGCTTCGTGATTCCGTTATGTGTTAACGTCATTTACTTTAGTCTTCAGTCAAAACATTATGATATAATTGAAGCCGTTGACCAGAGTGGACAGATAGGACATATGTTCACAGCAGGGGTGACGACATCAAGTATTGTTGTCGACGAGATGAGGTGTGGATTACGTCAGCGATTAGCGCTAGAGCATGTTATCGCAACGGATTAACTGGCTGTCCCGACAGACAGGTGTAGAACTCGCGCACCTCATCAGCGCTACATTGACTCTTGTCCTCAAATTTCACTAGTGGGCTCCTCGAAAACGGAAACACCTCGAAATCTAGGAAAATTGCTTTGTAGGAATTTTCGTTAGTTCGTTTTCGTTTTCCATAGGATGAACTGATTATACGTTCACAATGAAAGCAAAGAAAAACAATCTATGGAAATTAACGTAAAACCACAATGATGCTGAGTTATTTGGAATACATTGACCCCAGGTCAGATTCGAAACCATGACTACCCTTTCGTGAACTCACGCGTTACCCACTGCATCACTGAGGACAATGCTTTGCCTTTCTCTCTGTCACTTTTATGCAGTAGACAATAAATAAAAAGTTAGCAATGTGATTTTGACTAGAGTTTCAGCTTAACTGAGTTCAGTGCCGATTTACACTACCCAGATCATTCTTGCTGACGGGTGATTGCTGATGAAACCATTAGGGTGAAAAAAACTAGCCGAGAGAAACGCAGAGCAGTGCCTGAGCGGTGCAGTGGGTAGTATGTGAGCCGCCAGAAAGGGTATCCACGGGTTCGAATGTGACCTTGTGTCCAAGTTTTGGAAATATGTCAACACTATAGTGTTATATTTCGCATAATACAGTGGTGAGAAAAATAATAGGCAGTAAACAGGAAGTTATGCTAATATAGTTTTCAATGCCTGACTATTAATTTGTGTTTGTATTAAAATAAGACGACTGTGAGATCGGTACAACATTACTCGGTACGAAATATGTCATAAATCTGCTTACCCGTAGTTATATGAAGAAAACTTTTCCAGGTTTGCATTTTTAGTGTTTGACCTTTTCATAAAAAGATACGACTTCATTGTGTACTTTATATCTGCGGCTGTGCACATAGTTTGATTTTAAAAAACTCAAGAGTGAAGTCCGCAATCACGTCAAGATATACCCGACAACGCCTAGTTTTCTAAAGTGGCTCTCTAAGACTAACAATTTTCGCTCCATGCCGTAAAAATGTTTTTCGTGAATTATTAAATGTAGAGGGTAGCTTTCCATGAGCCACGTAAGGCAGAACATCTGCGTTGACTAAGGCATTGACTGAGCACAAAAATTGTAAATAAACACGATGTAGGAAAATTAACAATTGGAAGGAGTATGCATCGAAATCGAAGCACGCAGTTCACTCTTTACTACACGACTATGCATTGATGTTAATACGTACGGCCACTTTTGCGTAAACATTTCATCCGGATTTGAACGAAGTACTAGTTAGACTACCTCGAAACGAACTGTTCAACGATTAATAATTAACTTTTGTTATGGATCACGTTTCTGTTGAAGTGGAGTTTTTCCCACTTTTTTCTGTTTACGCGACAGTTTACGTAAGCCTTTGCGTTAATCTATTCGCGGACAGGTGTCCATGAAGATATGTCGCTGTCGTGTAAGCTTAGAAAATTACGCAACAAGATCAGTCGTAATGGGATGATCACCTGAAATTATCGAGTAGGCTCATTTGCGATCATTGATGAGCAATCCTGTAGTTTCTTCCGAAAACTTCAGTCAATCTGAGCTACGTGTTGAAAAAGTTCTCTTCAAGTCCAATGCTTCAGATCCAGTGCTTTCTCAACTCTAGAATTGTTAGGGTATGAGCAACAACTTGTCTCAAGGTAATCGGCTCCAACGTTGGCTCATGCTTTCGGACTGCGTCTACTCATAGGTTGTTTTGTGATTTCGTGAGTGAATAGCCTTCAGATCCATTAAACCGCAAGACACCGTCTATCCTTCACCATTCTTCATCCGTCTGTTAACGTTAGTTGTGCGCCATTTCCAAAATATGTTCCTTCAACGCTATGCGATGGAATTTCAATCATTACAACAGTCTTGGACCACTCCATTACTGTAAGATTTATAAATTCACTAAGATAGTAACAGAAAGTAGTTCTGGTTCCTAAAAAATTTGGATTTAGGTGAGTTGAAAGAGCCAGAATCAGTGTTCGGTCTCTCGCAGACGAATTAATTACAAACTGACTTCGAAGTAAATAAGAGCCTTGCTAATAAGGGGTGAGGGTTAAAACAAAGAATTGTACTCGCGGATGAGATACTTTACACATGAACTATCTTCACTACGCGAGATTGTTGTTGAAAAGTTTTTACAGCGCTACATCTAAACACCATTCATGGTTTTGCTCCTATACATATTTTACAAAAATGTTGAACAAACTGAGCATTTGTTTCCATCCGAAAGTTCAACTAAGAATAAACCAGCACCAGGATCCACCACCATCCTGATGTTAAATTAATCGCCTGGTGGAAAATCTCCCTCTGATCCACAAGGGCGATGACTGCCTGGATAGATGACGTCCGGGGAAGGCTTTAGCTAGTGCGACCTCGGGATTCCAGGTAACCCAATAGCTAAAGTGGTAAAGCTGCAAAAAAATGGAGATTATATTGAGACCCGCATAATCAATGAGGACAAGCCATCCAAGTATCCAACTATTGGACAAACTGATCGAATATTCAAATAGATGGGATGTTCGTCACTAAGCCTCATGTTGAAATGCCGATCCTAAAGTTTAATGAAAAAAGTGCTAATTCATTACTCATTATGATTTCTACTACTTCTATTGCTTTTTGTTATTAAATGCATGCAGCAAACTTACTTCAACGTTTTCACATGAGACCTTAGTGAGAAAAGAATGTGCGATAAGTTGCTATAGCACTGGTGAAGAACGTCCAGTTATAGTAGACCTACGAGCCGAATCCTAGACAATGGCTGGAATTATTTAGTGTTTCGAAAATCAGTTTTTAACAGACATAGTGAAGAGTAATAAGTAATGAAGTAAATGGCCAACACATGACGAATACTTGTATCGAGATCGTTTTCCACTACTTCCCTATAGGATTCAGGAACTACGATGAACCCCCCTAAAGAAGATGGCGGCACCAGGTAAAACATAGGTATTGATTGATCCAGAGTAGATGCTACGTAGTTATGTTGTCCTTGATTTTATATTGTGATTATATCGAAAATGAAAGTGTTTTTTACACCAGATACGACATCTGCCCGCAATTTTATACGCGGATTCGCGAAATGAAGGTAGTGAAAAGTTGGAGACGATGCTTAGAGACACTTATAGGCTACCTTTGGTAGCATCCTACGTTGATAAGGTAGGAAAGGGTTCTCTTTCAAAGTTTTTTGTAAGGTGCTTTTAAAATTTGTCATATTTTCTTCGATTTTATTTTAGTTAGACCGACCACATTTGGTAGAGAAACTTCTCTACCAACTAACTGCGCACAAGACGCTGCCTTATCTTTTCATATGTGGCGCCTTCATTGGAGGTGTGCTGCACTTTTTTACTAAGTTTTCCTTAAGTTCATAGTTTATCTTTGTTTAAAAACCTAAAGTACTTTTATTTATGGCATTTTTCAAATGTTTTCTGTCTACAAAAAATGTTTATTTGTAGCCAACTGTTCCTCTAGAATAACAAACATTGTTTTTCTTCATGTTGTTGATGTTAAGGTGAAGAACACATTCAAAACTACCATAAGAACGGTCAAATTTCGAAACTTGTCGAATATGTTTGTGGTGAACGTCGTGAAAAGAAGAAGGAAACGGAGAAGACTAAAAAGATGTCAGCTTAAGAAAAGACGTCCGCTTAAGCCATGAATCGGAATCATTCGCACTATAACTCTCATCTATTGTTGCAGTGGATTTCTTGACTAAAATGTACAGTTTTTACATGACAGTTCATCTGAATTCATTTTCACTTATTCTATTTATTGTACTAAGTTATCTATAAGCACTTAATTTGAACGTCATAACTTTATCCATTCTTCAACGGCGTTCACCGTCACCTGTTCAGTGAACTTCGCTATGGCCAAACACATTGGTGATTCTCTGTCTCTGTAAGAACTATGTTGGACATAATAAAGTCGAAAATCAACCTTTTATTCGTATAAATATTCCACCCAACTAACGCAACTTCGATGTTCGGCGAAATCCCACTACTTACTAATACACGCTATCACACTGTGTGTGGCTTGCTGTCTAAAGTCATTACAAGCTTGTTTTTTTAAAAGTTCAACTCATTAGAAAACTTTTCTGTGCGGATACACCGATTTACTATAGGAAAAAATGCTTGGACACATGGGTGACCGATCGTTTCAGCTCATTCAGGAATCCTACGGATCACTTCAAAAAATGTTTAGATGATAGTTTCTTTCGAATAGCGAGAAACTGATGCCAACGTATTCCTCAGCCAGACGCCTTCCGTTGAGGATCGAAGGAAGGTGGGTTTGTGACCTTACAACTAGCTTTTTTCCCCAGACCGCGGCAGTCCTTGGCATTGGTTTAATCATTAACTGGTTTTCTGGATGAAAATGTGAAAACTCGTTGTTGCCTTGGTTAGATCTATCGGAGAGCAAACACCATTTTGTGAATAGCCAGTCGGCCCCAGGAAAATCACCTACGAGGTAGGTTGATGAAGAAGAAAATAAAAAATAAATGGAGATAAAAGAGATAACTGGACAACAATAATGCATACAATTTTTTAGACCAAGACGTCAAAATGTTAATCGTGTAAGTATTTAATAATCACTTCGTGTTTGCTTACCAACGAAAAAACTATATAACGCTTTTGGGTCTTATGCTTTTCTAAAACTGACAACGCATTGATCCTTTTTCCCTGTAGTACCAGATTCTGAATCGCATAATAATAGCGATTCCTTTATCCCACTGTTCTCTAATACATAATCCAGCCAGCAGCTGTCGACTAGGAAAACCTCTTTGTTTGTAATAAACCGATTTTAGAGTCGAGTGTTCTAACGAGGAATAAAGCATGACAAAATCAAAGCAAGAAATGAAGAAAAATAAAAGAAAAGAACAAAAGGAACCGAAGAGAAAACGCTAAGTGTACGAGAAAAAAGGCAAATGTGAGGAAGCAATTTGTGTGAATTGGTCCTATTAAGATAGTTATTTGTCTCAAAATATAGGAGAAGCAGAAGAAATCTCGATATCAAATAGATGAGATGAATGACTCGGACGAGATTAACCGGTTTCTTTTCCTTCAAAAGGCAACCCAGCTGACGATCGTATTCAGAGACGATGCGTCGTCGAGGTCATTTGAATCGGACAAATTCAATGACATTGTAATCGTCATGGTACCATAAAAGTGAATACGAACAGCGGGATATCTCAGCCATATCTCATCTAATAATGAGCCGATAAATGAGAAAAGTCGGGTGTCACAAAGCCGAATGCATCTGATGAATCCCGCTGAAAGTAATGAAAAACACTCATCGTTTGCCGCTTTTCTTTTGCTTTTTTCTTATTCTCAGGTTCTTTACACATCATTTCCAATTGTTCTTTTATCTCTGTCTTGTCATTCAACTCTCTTACGGAAAAAATATCATGTAAAAAATCCCGAGACCGACTTTCTCTTTTTCTCTTCGTTGATCATTAATTCATCACTTTCCTCGATGAGCGAACGTTGCTATAATAGTGTTTATTAATACACAGTAGATGACATTCCGTCGCTTTCGCCTTCTTCAGAGCTTGGAAGAGTGGAATTAACACGCAACCCACTCAGTAATGAATTATCATAACCTATCAGATAAATGATTCTACACCGAGAAGATAGAAATGAATGACCACTTAATATTTTTTATAATCTTATTATGTGAAAGGAAGTGTGTAGAACAATGGTTAGTGATGACTTGCAATACAGCTATGGTAGTTGGCTCGATCTGCGCCACGAGCTAATTAAGTTTTCCATCTCTTTGAGCTAGGAAAATTGGCTCCAGACCTGTTTCGGAGTATGAAAAATACTGGCTTGATACATCAATGGGCTCTCCAAATCACTGTTCAAATCACCGTCTAGATCACATAAAGGATAAAGCTCTCGGGGCTCATCTATTCCTTACGGATGTGCCATGGATTCGACTTCATAGAGCATCGTTGGAGGTGACTGAACGCATATCTGGCCTTTACAATGACTGCGGTGGCCTGCCGATGTATTTAGTCAGTGCTGATATCCTCCCAAACAAATCTGCCACCAATTTGCCGACCGCGAAGGGATGGAAGGCTTAGTGGGCCATGGGCGTGGGGATCGATTCCACGTGTGCCTCCGACCACTGCGCCATACGAACTCCTTCAGTTAATTTCAGTTTAGGTCACATATATGCATTCAATCGTCTCTACACGCTATGAATGGTGTTGAATGCATGACACTTCACTCCGGAATTGATCAACAAGGAACGATCTTGTGCTTTTCTTCGTATTTGATTTTTGCTTTTCATTGTCTCCTATATTATTTAACAGTAGACGAAAATCAATTCATACTCTTACTAACCGTCACTGTGCGCAAATTTTCTGTCAATCGAAAATCTGTATACACATAAAAATGCTAACGAATGGAAAAAAGCAGAAAAAACTCCATCAAATCGATTACAAGCTAGTGAACAGGCACATTTGGACAGTTTTTGAGGTCAACGCGTCTTTCACATAGAAGCATTGCGATGATACTCGTAGTAATAATTGAATTAGCACATAGAGATTACGGTAACAATGAAGTACGGTAGCTGCAGATTTGTGTCGCAAAAGAACAACCGAAATCATTAACGAATGATGATGATAATTACACCCGCCATTGAAAAACGACGACGTATATGATTACGATCAGAATAAAAAACAATGACAATTAAGATTCGACAACTGTCACTGTTTTGGAACATTTGTGATGCATGCAATACAGAAACATGCTTGACCAAACGCTTTTACACATGGTGCTGGTCCCAGAGGGAAATTCAGAGGTCTAGGAGAAACACTGTATACAGTAGGTTGAGTGACGGGAGTTGTAACAGCTCTGTCATCAGAAGATCTCAGCGCTGCCAATTGTCGCTGTAATTCATGATTGCGAATAGTTAGTTGACGAATCCTAGAAAGACGAAACTTATCCTGAGTAGATCACTGTTTTTTAAGAACAAGCTGAATTTTTTGATGAAATGATGGATTTTTTACGATCACAATTACTGATACCACCCTGGAAGAATAGTTATAAGGTAGTAAACCTCTCTCATCTAAAAGAATCGATGACTGTCTGTAGTGAATACCTAAGATCGGACATGGATATGCTGGATTTCCATGGAAGGTGAAACCTCGACCAGGAATCATTTCATATCAAAGCCACATAATGAACCACACAGTCTCTAAGGAGGATAATGGCTACACAACGAAATCAATGGAAGAGCTGATGAGATTCCAACGAAACGTAGGATACGCACACTGAGTATCTCATTACGCAATAGCCAATATGCCATAAAAACAAGGAAAAAAATAGGATCATTTAAGAAATGTTTCCACTACGCTGAGAGTCGGAACACGATAAAAATCGTCACCGTCTCAAACACCACCTTTCGCAAAATTTCTGTCATTATTATTACTGTTTTTATTAATATTATTATTATTGTTGTTACTATTGTTGAATGACACGACATCGCATCTATCAGACTATGTGGGCCCCTGTACTTCTTGCATTCAATTCGTTTCCGCCTATCCACGAAACACGAAGGTTTTTGAACATTTTTATACGTGAGTTCGGCGCCTGCTTGACAATTTTTCCTTCTCCTTTGTTAATGTTGTTGATTAGTGGTCGGGTTGATCCTTCGGATAGCTCTTCTAAAGCGTTTTCACAGAGACTGCAAGTGGAAAACTGATCTCAGCCAAGTATGCTACCAATTTTCCGACCTCGGAGTAATGAGAGACCTAAAGAGTTAGGAACGGGGTTGAACCACCGCGAGAGTAGGAGGGTAATTGCATTGCCACATGCCGGATTTATGCAGATAGTAAAGTGATACTGTCCCGTAGTTATGAAAAGCAGGAGAAAGCAACTTTGTCGATCCACATCAAAAATCCTTTATATGGATGACTTGAGTTGAGCAGCTTGTCGCGTAGCGAAGGCGATTTTCTCAATTGTACAAATGAATGACCGTTCTCGATAGGAATGCATTGTTGTGCACAAAATTGAACATTTGTCTATTACAATGTACAACTTTTTTTTGTTCCCACGACCGACTTTCTAACCTCTGCATTAATCAAGCAATTCTTCGTATTTTTGTTGAGCAAACAAGCATTCGTATTTATTGTTTTTATTTATTGCTTACTAATTTTTTCACAGCAGGGTTCATGTGAAAGTAAGCGTCTCAATGGCGCTGTAGGCAACATGTTAGCCCCAAAAAAAGGTAACCACCGGTTCGAAGCCGGCCTATGGTTGGAGTTTTGCAAATATCGCAGCATCGTTTGTGGATTTTTTTCACCAGCAAATAGCGTAATCGTCACATTTAAATAAACGTAGTCCTGAAAAGCATTGGTTGTTTTCAGACTGATTTACTGATTTCACATATCACTCATAGGGAATTTTCTTCTAGTCAAAAATTAAAACTCATATTTCCATGTTTGCCTTTGTGTTCTCTTGTCTTCCATTTCTCCCATTTAAAAGTCATTTACACCAATCATTCACAACGTTACAAAAAGCACAGATTTACTCCTGCTTTTTATGAAACAAAAGAGGGCCGAGATTTGTTTCTTTCCATGTTCATCAACGATCAACCCTAATGTTACCACGTTTATAAAATGTGACCCATATGGCTCGTGCGCATCAATGTGTTTATATTTACAACTTCCTGAGTTTGAAAAAATACCTACGAAATGGATAGACCAATGGCAGTGTTTTTGTTCATTACGCGCCAACTATGTCTTGGTTTCTCTAGATCACCACGCCTCTCATCACCCCCGGGTTGAGAAATCGGTATCAGACTTGTCGGGGCCTGCTAACTCTCTTTAATCAATGTGGAGACGCCTTAACACGGGTAGAAAAAAAGCTCTCGGCTTTGATCGATTTCTGAGGGATGCACTATGCATTCGAATTCATTAAGCACCGTTAGAGGTGACTGAATACAGATCTGGCCTATATAATGACTCGCGGTAACCAGTGCTGCTATCTCCCGGGAAAACGATGGTGCCAATTTACGGAACGTGGAGGGATGGAGGGCTTGATGAGTTTTGGAGCGAGGATCGCTCTCATATGTAATACAAGGCACCTCCGACCACTGCTCTATACGCGCCTAACACATTTATTCCAGGAATCCAGGGAAATTTAACTAGACCAGCATTCAATGACGTTTGTGTGAAGACGAAAAAATCCTCAAGAGCCAGCCAAACCCACTGATAGAAAAGTTCGAAGGCCTCTGCGGAAGGTGGATGTAGAGAAACGAATCGAATGCAAGACGTAATGGGATCCGCACAGAGTGATAAATGTGATGCAGGATCATGTAATAAATAAATAAAAATATCTTTTAGAAGTTAAACGAGATGAAATATACTTTAAGAAAAAAGCATTCTTTTCGGGAAGCTGAACGATTCATACCAATTACTAGCCAACAGTAAGGTGTTGATTTTACTCATTTTCCGGGATGACGCATCTTGGGCATACGGTAGACAACTACGCAAATCTTCAAGCGCCTCGTTCAAATCGTGCATTCGTTTTCTTTCACGAGAATTGATGGAGGTACGTAGAATGTTTTGCTCCTGAAAAAAATATGAACGATTGAAACAGTGATTAAATTCCCAAGAAAATGAAACGGAATTGAATCTCAGGCTTTTTTTTTCTTCGACAAATCAATAATTACCTCTCTGATCGATTAAACTTTGCAAACTTTCGTCACTTACAACGTCTTAATAGACAGAAATCGTTTAAACAATAATTAGTACTTTACCTTACCACTCCTCACTATTTGAAAAAGAAGAGATTCCAAAGTGAAATCAAACACAATTTGACACATTGCCATCAATGAGGCAATGAAATTCGAAATACGAAGTAACGAACAATTTCTAAAAGTCTACCAGAAATAAATCGAAGTAAACCCATACATAATAACTTTAAATCGTTAGATCGTGAAAAAGATATGAAAACTTGTCTGCAGAACGTCTGCTGAAAAATATGGACTTTCTTCCTCTCTCAAACATGCTCTGGTCATACAGTGTTAATTAAGAAAATAAAAAGCTAGAAAATCGTGAAAGAAAGAACTATGAGGAACTATACAACCAAAGTATAAAGAAGAAAGAAAATCAAATAGACATGACGAGATCGAAATTTTTGAAGCAACCTCAGTCCTACCTCCTCATCAAGTGCTAGTAATCGTCGTCGTGGTTCAGAATCGCTTCTCTGCTTTCTCACATACGGTTCCAATTCATCTTCAGCAAGAAGTGAACGCTATAAGTTTTTCATAGGTACTGTAATTCTTGCCACCATTAGATTTAAAGCAATTCTTAACAGCTTTAAGTACAAATGACGCAGAGTTGTCTTCTTATAAGAATTCGCTAACATGTGCATACCTTAGTCCAATATTGATAAATATGCCGACGAAGAGAATAATAGGGATTCACATGGACTTCTATAGTTTCAAACAAGGATAATTTTCAAGTGCAGCTTTAAATTTAGGCAAAGTTTACGGAAATCTCGAAAGGACCATTAATTTTCTACGAAACAACACATTCTGACTTCTCCATGGAATTCAGCATTCAAGCAACAATACCCATAAAACTTAACACCTACCGCTTTAAGTGAAGGAGAGGGCGTGCCCATGCAGAGAGCAGGAACGATCTGTAAGTGAATTACAGTGTTATGGGGCGGAGACTCCACGCCTCCGTTGACCCGATTGGCCGAGGGATGGTTGGTAACGTAATGCGGCGAAATGGATTCCACCCAGGAAAACGTTCTCATTAGACATCTAGTCGTTTTCAAAAATATGTTACCAGACTTATTCGTATACTGGCCGTTCTACACTCTACCGGAATACCACTACCACTACCTGATTTCTTCTAACGTTTTCAATTTTCAAAAAATCTCAGTGAAGTCCTGAAAAGCAAAAAGGTAGTGCTCTAAACACGTGTTCAGCATATTGTCATTTTGTTTCTCTGTGTATGCAAAGATTTTATGGATTAAAAATCTAGAAATTGCTAAGAGGACTTCGATGGTTTATCTGACTGATAGGTTTGCCAACTTCTGTTCATATTTCTGGTTCTCCGTTCGCAGGCTTTACTACTGAAAAGAGCGAAAAAAGAAACCACAGCAACAACAACCATAGCTTAGTGGAACGCAGTTCCAGATATTGATTCGAAATTCACAATTTCTTCTGTTCAAAACAGTTCCAGTTGACAATAACTTAAACATAGGCTAGCCAATACTGAACAGTTGACGAGAACAACGTTCTTACCATTGCAAGCCATCATTTCACCATGTGCCCCGCTGAGTGTCGGATGATAATGAGGTGTCCAGTGCCACCAGAGGAAAGGTCATCCATGCCATCATTCAACGGTCTTCTTCTTTATCGCCCTTCATCACCTCGTCATCTCACAGCAAAATTTTTTTCTATATTACAAAAAAAAATAGGCAAGAAGATTTTCCTCGTTGAGCACAGAGACATCGTAAAACTTCAACGAATCAACCTAAGATTACAAGGTAAAGGTAAAAAAGAAAACAAAAAAGTTAAGGTAGAGAAAAACTAATGACGATTCTAAGCTCAAAGGTATGGATTTTCAACATAAAAACACAATCTTTGACGGAATTCCATGAGCTGTGAATAACCAGGAGCTGGTAGTTGTTGAAGAAATTTTGGATTCAGTTCTCTGGATAATAGGAGAAAGATGCATTTAAGTCCACGGGAATGTAACGTGAATCCTATGAAGTATATATAAAAAATAAAGAAATGAAATGTAATAAAATAAAATAAGATATATGAAAAATAAAGCCTGTACTTTAATGCTAAGGAAATATGATGAAACTTTATCAGCTCCGTGACTGTAACATACTTCCCCTAATCAGTGCTGCCAAGTATTTATCTGATGATAAGTACAGTAACAAGATCGTACATTTAACAAAGAAGAATAGGCGACGTTTACCTTAATGCACACCGCTACAGATTCCATTCAGAATTCATCTTTATAGAACATTGTTACAACGCCTCTTGACATAAAATCAACTATATTATATAAGTGGACAACCTTCGAGCTGAACCAAAACAGCTACTTGGTCTTGTCTGAATTAGAATAGTGGTATTCACGATCTTCAACGAGGAGCTGTTCTACTTTCTAAGCCACAATTCTGTGAAAGCTCAAACTTTACGTGTCCTTATCAGATGCACTGTAGAATCCTAGCCAAGCATGCACAATCCACAAGCAGCAACTTGCATCCCTTCACTTTTTGGCACTCTAAGAATCGTTGTCGAGTATCTTTTAACGAATGCTCTTAAGAAACTTTCTTTCCAAATATCTAACAAACAACATACTCCACGATGATGTTGCGACGATACCTGGAAGTAGCTATTACGGTATAACTGCATTCAATTTTGAAATATCTGTCAAATCACGCAGTCTTTCTTTAGAAAATCTCAAGAATCTGAATCCGAAGTTGAATGCATGGCGCATCCCTCAGGTGTTGATCAACCGCCGAGAGGTTTATCCTTTACCTTTTACAATCGTCCTTTTATGAAGAACCGTTCTCCATCCAAGCACACTCCACGCCACTTTGTTAGATAGCTCGGAAATTAATGTTCGATTTGTGATGTTATTTTTTGTGCGTATACTCTAGCAAAGCTTTTTTTTCTCTGATGCTCACTATCATACATCGCTACAAAACTCACCTTATGCAATTTTGCTCTAATTCGCCGAATTATTGACAAATTTTAATGACTAGGATATGAAGTGTTAGAGCAGCAATTTCGAAAAGTCTACTTTGACGAACCGAAACTCGGACATGCTGAAGCCAAACGACTTGAAGCGATAATGTCTACAGGGTCAAGAACATGTTAGCGAATAAACAGTGCGATATTGGATTTCGGTAAAATTCGTCGGAAGAATTCTTCGGATTCGTCGATATTGGATTTCGGTAAAATTCGTCGGAAGGTCGATCTTCCTGTGCGAGAAATGCTTCACAAACCAAACCTACGCCGAAACTACACTCGACAATTTTCATCAACCCCAGAAGTCCAGCATTGGGAGCAACTAGCATAAATAAAACTGTTCCTTATTGAAAAAAAAATGTAGATTGTAATGATTATCACTACGATTGATAAAGTTTATTCTCAGTTGAGATATGCCACTTTGAAAATACAGTTTAAAACTAGACAATAGTTTCCAGGAAAGTAAGAAAAAAGACAAATGATGAAAAAGCAAAAAAACGTAAACTTGGAAGTACCAAATACTGTACAAAATACCTTGATTTATAGTTGATCTTTACAAAGTACATGAACTACCACCATATAGAATTTAGACGCAAGAATAAACACAACACGCATAAGAGAAATACACATTCATATCATTCTAACTTAACTATTTGCTCTGCTTTTGGATAATTAGGAAGGTGTAAACCGTGCTCCGAAGCCAATTGCTTCGGCACAAATCGACCACCGACCTGGAGTGACAGTTCCGTAATATTCCTATTTCCATCATATCATTATACATGTGCCTTTCTAATAACTCACAAAGTGTGGGCCAGTCCATTCTCGAACACATAATTTAGGAGCTGTTAATGAGATAATACCATGCGGACGAATACATGGACCTTCCGACGGAGCACCATCTTCTACGTGCCATCCTAAACAATGAAACATTCCCACAAAATCATTAAAAAATAATCCATCTAAACATGAAAACGTACGGTCAACTTGGAACTTCAAAAACATGTGTGACAGTATTTCCCTACTAACGGTAAAATTCCGAATTTCACCACTTCAAGCTTTAACAAGTTTACATTCTTTCAAAAATTAGACATTTCTTTAAAGAAATTCGAAATCTGAAACGATCCTTGCAATGCAGGTAGTGGATTGCCTAGCAGATTGAGAATTACCTAATTGAGCACACTGACTCACTTGACCGCCTCGAAGAGGACCATTGATACAATTGGATCTGCGCTGCAATGGCAGACGCGCCTACTTGTTGCGATTAGAAAACGCTACGGACACCTTATGTGACCACGACTGGACTAGTTAAGCAATTATGAACCGCAACGGAAGATTTTTGACGATAAAACTACCTAAGAACAGTAGTTGAGAAAGAGATGACCAACTGCTTAAAAAACGCCACCTGAAGGTATATCAATCGAAAACACGAATATTCCAGACTGAGTCACAGCCTCAATGATTTTTCCAAATGGTTCCCGGACAGGTGGTTGAAATGAAAATCCAAAAAGGGCATCCACAACCAAAGAGAATTCAGAAAGCGATGGAAGTGACGACTCTACTGGTATACCTAAAGGAAAACAAGTATGGAAAAAAACGAGAAACCTGAAAAAACTACATGGCTGTAGGTAGCAAACTAGATAAAGGCTATATTGATTCGTTACCCATTCCAGAGCACTGTGTTACCAGCGAAGTCATCAAATCTGTTTTCGAAGGTTTTGGATACACGATGTAAGGATCAAATCCCTGAATATTAAACATTGCCTTGTTCTATCAAACAAGAAATTCTAGTAGCTTTTCAAATCTTAACCTACTGTTACACCACATCTTTATACAAATGATGTTAATTTCAAAGATGCTAAAAATCTCGTCTACTCTAAAACTGTTTACTCATCTATAATTCGAAGAAAGGCAGAAAAGGACGACTATGGACAGAAGACAAGTATTTAATAAGGCAGGAACATAATTTCTTGCAGACTCCTGTTCAGAATTAATTTCCCATTCCAAAGCAATTAATGCCCTACTGAAGTTTGTTATCTTGGATCATGTTCGGGAACATTATACAGCAAGAGTATAAAGAGGAACAAACACAAAGGTGAATGTAACATCGAATCGAGAAGGACTATCAAGAATTGAGTAACGATGCTTTACGAGCTCTGAACCAGAACACCGACAACCGTCATGAACGTCAACTCCGTGTCTACGCAACATAGCAACTAGTGAACGGACGATGCGGCTTCGGTTCAAGCATTCCACTTTACTTCACCAATATCATCACATATAGGGTCTGCATATCGATAAAATACTGCAAAGTGAAATCTCTTTGGTCGCTCCATGTTATTAACGACCACGATTGGACTGAGAGGACTAGGGTTCACGAGTCTATGCTTCTCCGTTTGCACTAACAAAACTTTATGATAGAAATCACCTGTACACGGCAAGAAGTTCGAGGATAACAACTGTCTTAAACATACACGCCCTTTCGTGAGAAAGAAAACCAGGATCTCATCAAATACGACACAATATCCTTCATGATATGGATCTGACCTGTTACATTATCGTCGACCAATCGTCCACTAATCGCAGGAATCGTTTCCGACACAGGAATCCCTAGCATTTTCGAAAAATTCTTGTCGAAAGGTAACGAACCTTACTCCGATCCATAAAGACTGGCGACCGCCTGTGGTGAAAAGCTGGGCGGCATTCTAGAGTTCCAAGAGAAAATTCTCAAGAATTCAGAATTCTCAACAAGAATTCGAGCCATTAGTGAAGATAGGAAAAAAGAGTCGTCGAGCAATAGCAGGATAAAAACACGGATCCGACCAACTCCACAACGGTTGGAAAATACCGAATCGCATGGAACTACCGTTGGGGCCCACAAGACATGAGGCGAGGGCTGTTGAATAACGCTCGTAAAGGAAATCTATACTTAAAATGTGATTAAAATAGGCAAGGACTTGTGGTCTTACCTATTATCCCTTTTGTGTTGTATTGCAAAACAATTAGTAGGACAGTCCCATAATGTTTTACAAGTATTGCATTTATTTTTCTTAGGAACATGTAGCACTAGAAGACGTGATTTTGAACAATTGAGTATGGAGCAATGATGTTATTGACAGTTTTCGATTCTTAATCCTCAACATCAATGGAGAGCAACTGTTCAGATTCGTTATGGATAACAACAGCATACATAATAGCTCACAATAGCAAAACCGCTCCTCTCAATGTTGGATGCGGGAGTATCTAAGTGGAGAATAACATAACGAAATTATCACTGAAATTTGTAATTAAGGTTTCATTTAAAAGACACTTGTGTTATTGTCAAATACTAAATGGGATAGAAGTATATTCTTATGCAGGAAGATTCCTGATCTCACAAATAGGAGAAACTGCAGAAATCTGTGGACAAAAATCTTTAGGCAATCAAAAGTTGAAAATGTCTCTTCCTATTTGCCCAGTCCCTTTGAAGACAATGTTAATGGAAAAAAGGATGAAAAAATACAACTTCCTCGTCCAATACCTTCACAACATCGCCAATAAAGCAGAGGTTAAAAACCACCTAAAAACGTTAGCCTCTGGAAATCCACTTGATAAGTATCCGCAGAGCTGCGCTAGCAGTAGACAACTACGAATGTCTCAGAGTTTGTAAAGCCATACAGAAATGCAATAGAAAACACTGTAGCACATATGAGAAAGCAAGCGCCAGTTTCGAATCATACGTGAGTGTGCCTCCCAACTTTTAATGAAGAGCATATTAAACCAGAGATAAATTTACTATACTTGGATACTTGGACAATTCTATTTCTTTCCAAGAAATTTACTATACGAAAAAAAAAGAAATAGATATAGATTCTTAACAAGATGCAACAGGACTTGTTCAAGCGAGGTGATACTCTAATATTCTGAAACCCACAAAAAAATTTTTCCAACTGAGCCATTATCCTAGCTGCGAAACAAGTGGATGAGTGACACCTTGCCCATCAAAACGCTATGATATTTCGGGATGTGTAGAACACATTTGCGGTTGCCACGCTCTCGTTAAAAATTAAAAGTACGTGGTCAATTTTTCCTTCGAAATTTGAATTTTAGGAAAATGAAAAAAAAACAGCTTTAGAAAGACTAATTGTACCGTGACTGTCATAATCACGAGGTAAGGAAAAAACAATAAACTCGAGAATTTGCTAAGAAGACAAGAAAATTAGCATTAACTTGGGTTACAAAAGTTGCGAAGTTATGGAAGTTGAAGAAATGTGGGTCAATATAGACTTTCACAATCTTCGCTGTCTACACATCAACATCAAACTATGAATAAAAAAAAGTCGGAGCGTTCTATATGGACTTGGAGAAGTTCTACAGAGAAGACCACACATTGTTCTAGACCATCATTGGAAATTTTAACGCTGAGATTGGACTAAGATGAAAGTCTGAAGAAGGTTACATTGGGACCCATGGATTAGAAAGGAAAAGCAGGGTTGGCAGCCGACTGAGTTTACCATGACGACCAAGACCATTTATGATAACTCTCAATTTCAGAAGCCTCACCCTCAACGCTTGTTGCAGGAGTCTCAAAACGGAGAGTAACATAACGAAACGGTCTACGTCATAATAAACTGAAAGTTCTCCGCTGCCGATGACGCTGACGTCTCAAAATTCTACACTGGAACTACCATCGCCTCCTTAATGCAAGATTTCATTTCTCGCGGAAAGCAAAAAAGGCCGCTAAGTTCAAGAAACGAAGTCGCAGCCGCCTTAAATTGCGGTTCATTTACGACATTAGTCAGCTCTTGGGACGACGTCATTATTAATAACATCAACGAGGAGTAAAACTAGCTTATTCAACATCTTCACTTCCGCGCTATGAAAGCTGGAAGTTCGAAACTCACAAAGAGACGTCTGTTTCAAGAAACATTCGAATTGATAATACCAATGTGGAATCGCTCGAGAAGCAGGCAACCGTCAAGTCGAGTCTGAATTTGCAAAATAATATAGACAGGCAAAAAAAGATCTTAAAGAGAGAAGAGTAGCAGTTATGGTTCAAGCTGCAGAGGCTGGGAAAAGCATTAGCAAAGTCCACCGTAGCTACGCTAATTATAAAATCAAGGCGATTGCACTCTGACAACCAGACGGAACAGTTACAGCGCCCAGAAAGACAATGGAGGAAACCATTCACGACTACTACTCAGATGACAATAGCAACGTCCTCCTTCACTCATATGAAATAAAGAAGGGCGGATATGTCGCAGGTTCTCCATTCTGAAGTACGAAATGCCATTTCGTTGGTGAAAAACTCCATTTGGTCCAAAAACTCCATTTGTGAAAAACTCCATGAACATTTGGTCCCGAAAGGATAACACCTGGACATCAGAAGAACGTGCCTTCCTTATCAACAAACTGGCTCAACTCTCCACACTCTACCTGTCAGAATGCAAGGTTCCATTGAATGGAAGACCAAAAAGACCATGTTATTGTTCAGAAAGGTGATTTTTACCATTTGTGCAACTATCGCCGAATCCGCTTGCCGTCTATCGTCTACAAACTCTTAATTCGAGTCATCCTAAAGAGTACTGACAATATACTGGACGAAGGACAGCCATGTGAGCAAGCAAGGTTTCGAAGAGTATTCAGTACGATGGACCACATCCACACGATAACAAGACATTGAAGTATCGCGACAGTACAAGAGACGGTTTCTCCAACTTTCATCACTTTGAAGGAAGCTTTTTAAAGAGTAAGGTTTTACAGTATATTCAGCACGACAGACAAATTCCACGCGATCATGAGACTAATGGAAGTATCGGGAGAGTACAAGAGACCGCTCTGGATCACTGTCATCCACTTAAGACATGGTGGGCCATATAAAAATTTCACCACCAAAATAACACCATTCTATAACGACATTAACATTGATGTCAATAAAGGGGTTCGGTAAGGCGAAACTACATCGCCAAAATTATTTACTGCCATCTTCCAGAACGTCATGTAAACAGTGAAATGGGACAACGTGGGAGAGAAAAACGATGGTCGGCAATTACATCAACTTCGCCTTGCTGATGCAGTCGTTCTTATAACATCAAGCATTAACTAGATGGAACGAATGCTAGCTGATTTTAGTACCGCTTGTGGAATTACTGCTCTTCGACTAAATCTCACAAAAACGGTATTTATAAAAACCGATTTTTGTCGTATGCCTCATTCATGCTTAACGGACGGATTTGTCTCCTTTGTTCCGTTCACGCTAAACGGAATGTACATCTCCAGATGCTCTAGTTACGTCTATCTAGATCGGGAAGTTGACATGATGAGCGACTTAGTTAAAGAGTTGAAAAGGAGGAAGCGAGCAGCTAGGAAAGCCTTCAAGATCATGGAGAATGTAATAAGGAGAACAAAGAACACCCTGCTTCGTGCCCACTTTTTCGAGTCCACGGTTCTTCCTCCCTTGACGTATACGTCAGAAATCTGGTCGCTACGTAAGTAGGATGAAAGATCACTAAGCGACTGGACACGCGGTCGAGGGACGATGCCCAGAAGTATCCCGTGTCACAAAAGAGGGAAGGCATCCGAAGTCCTGATCTACGTCAACGATCAAAAATCAAAGTAATTCTATATTCCAAACCGCAGAAGATAAGATGGGCCGCAGACATAATGCGTATGAACGACAATCGATGGACAACAACCGTTAGCGACTGTGTTCTCGAGCTGTCAAACCCACACCAAGCCGATGGTCAGAATTGTTGGTGAAAACCCTGGAAGAGAGATATGGCACTCAATGAATTCTTAGAGCGAGCAGAACCCATTGGTCTATTTTAGTACGCGACAGTGACAAGTGG